AGATATATATATATATATATATATATATATATATATATAGGAAAATTGTTTCATGCGGGCTGGACCGCATCACTACATATAGTGTCTAAAAAGTATAAAGCATCTATCTTAAAGATGGATGCAAGTAGGTGTTCCATCTAAAAACAATGAGAACTAACGGTCCAAATGTTTCTTACTAGAATTATTATTTTAATTTTTAAAATTTACTTATTTTTTCATATTCATGATCTCCATGTTAGAGATTACATGTCTTTAAAAATTAAGTCCAAAAATCCATCTTAAAAATGGATTGATTAATAGGCCCGCATTTCTACATATGCGGGCTTGGCCGTATAGAAACCGGGTCCATATATATAAATATAAAAAAGGAATGCTCTGTAGAATAAGATTATAAGGATACCATTTTCTATCTTCATAACACTTTGAAGCATTGTTTCCATTTTCTTCTTCATCTCAGAGTTGTCATCCATAAGAGGGGCTACAAGAGTTAGCTTCCTGTATATATCACGGACAAATGTACATATTCTCTCTGCGTATGCAAGCTCACCATCCGATATTCGGCCGATGGCTAACCTCATAAGCTCCCCTGTCAAGTCCCCAACCTAAACAGGAAAATTTGATAACTGAATTTCAAATGAGACTTGTTCTTGAAAAGAAAAAACAAACTTATGTTCAAGTTAGATACCGAGGAAAGGGAGAATTTATAGTTAGTTTATGTGTGTGTAAGAGACGTGATCCATCCAAAGATGCTATATAACAGAAACCATCTCTAAATTTCTATCTCATTCATTGGCTAGACCAAATGCCAGCTACAATTCATCAAAAATCTAACCCACGAAAATTGGAACAGAAAGAGAGGAAAACAGGTCAATACCCCAAGAAGATAATCAAGGATATTTATTTGCAACGGTTCAAGAGATGGATCACTAAGCCTTAGCAAACTCCTATTGATTTCAGCAAGTTTCAAGAGGTTCCCAGTCTTACAGAACTCGCATAGTGTTGCAGCTTCAACATACTCCTGGACCTGAACTAGACAAAACATCAGGTTCACTTACAAGGTTAATATCTATTAGACTTTCTCTTTTCAAATTAACAAAAATTCGAAGGAAAAGAATACTCTCAGCAAAATTCATCCATGAGAAATGATATGAGCTGACCGCAGGAGAGTAAGCTCTTCTAAGCTTCCAAAAATCACTCCCGTGCAATTCTCTTACTAATCGTAACATGTATTCATCAGTCACAGCCTCAAGATCTTTTGCTGCTTTCTCCAAAACTTCATCCTTGTTATGTTTACTTATTCTATTACAAGAACAAGTTAAGCACTCCATCAGTATATATTGAGAAAGCATGCCAAAATAGAAGGCATAGCTCGGTGATCTTCTTTGACAACCAAATTTCATTAAAACTTGATGACAGGAAAATATGTGCATGCAAAATCAAGAATGCAAAGAGAGTTTGATAAACAATTTTGGAGAAAATTTGTGAACAGAAATCATAGTCAAATCTAGTTCTTGGAAATTCCTTGGTGGCGAAATTTCTCACGAGATATTATTTCAAGAAATTGGTTTTCCTAGGGAAATTCTTGAAAAATCACAGGGAAAATTCTGAAATAAGCAGATTTGTAGAAAAGACAGAGAAAATAAGTGAACTCATTTCACATAGTTTTCATAAAAGTTTATAAAGTTCTAGATTCTCCACTCCGGGAAACTCCTGACCTTTTTTTTTTTTGGTAACTTGCACAACATTTGAGAATAATTTTATTTTGTCAAAACAAAGAGAAAAAAACTGGAAAAGAATATGGTAAAGAGAAAAAAATCGAAAAGAATACGGCAAACTCAAACTAATAAAGGGGCTTCTTTAGAGTAACACAATAATATATGATATGACAACATACCTACCTATGAACTTGAAATATTACTTTTTTGCTGTTCATTGTCACATCGCGGCTTGCCTTCACTACCCTCTCCCGTTTCTCATTCTACAATCCATCCACACAAAAATTATTAGCTTCCTAACTTATCTAAACAAAAATTACAGCTAATTACAAAAATGTTCAGCTTCCAAACTTATCTAAACAAAATCATAGATAATTATGTATTGGAAAAAGTTCATAAAAGGTACTTATATTATACAATTGAAGTAAAATGCACCTCAAAATCCTCTAGAAGAGTGTCCCAACATTAGAAAACCCTCTAATTGACAATCTCGACCTCGAGATGTATGGATATGAAGAAAAAAATAATTTTAAGCCCTAGAAATAATGTATATCATAACAAGTTATTTGAACCGTATATTTTCAATATTTTCAAGTGTCCATAAATCTACTCGACATGTACCTTTTTGGAGTTTTAAAATTTTAACTATAGGGTTGAAAATAAATTTTCAAGCCATCACAAAGTTTCCGACAACAGAACTATATATCTAGGCAAAAGAGGTGTGCCTTACTAATATAGCATAGGGAAGGCACCTTATATAAACCTCACCCTTATTCATTTGAAAGGCCAAAGTATCGCTTCAATGTCACTGACGCCTTTTCCTTTCTTTTCATATTGAAATGATCTTATAAAAAGGTTAGCTTCTATATATAGTATAAACAGAGAGTTAAAACCATGGTATACCCATTACTGAGAGAAGTAGAATCGTAAGCAATCCCATAAAGCCAAGTTGTCAAGACAAACACATGCTTGCCAATTTATCACTCTTCGTGCTCACCTCTCTAGGCACATGAACAATATCTACAATATACAAGTCATCATCATCATCATCCAAGCCTCATCCCAATGATTTGGAGTCGGCTACATGATTATGTTCCTCCATTTTTCTCTATCAAGGGCCATACCTTCAATAAGAATGTGTCACTTCGAAGGAATTCCCTAGATAACCCTGGCTTATTTCTTACTGCACTCGGGTGGTGCAGCGCGTCGCTTGAGGGGAACGCCCTAGCATAAGCATATAACATAGGTTTAGGATTTATGATAAGACGTAGCAAAGTTTTATATTGACTGCCTACTTAACACAACCCACCTCTTTTACCTATGCCTGAGACAGGTTAAGGAAACTTTAAGGCCTCACCCTTACTAAACCAATCTAAAATATACAAATAAAAAATGAAATCCCTAATTTCCAAAACCTTCCCTAACAATGAAACGCAACAATTGTCCCACCAAATTACCACAGACCATGGAAACTCCCCTTCAATAAACCAAATACCATTCAAAGAATACCCTTCATAATAGTCAGTCCTTCAATGTTCAATACTTCAACATCTAGTTCAACTCTAGAGGTATACAAATAGAGCACCTGCAGTTCGTTCTCAATATAAGACAATAGAGAGAGTAACTGTACCTGTGTGAATGTCCAACATCAAGACTGATCTCCACCATCCATCAAATACCAAAAACTTACCCAAGCTCAGAGCAACTAGGAAACCTCATTCAACAATCAAATGGTTTAGGTTGAAGCCCCACTCAATGTTGCAAAGATTGAGGTTTTTTTTTGAACCCTAAGCCAACTTAACCCCTCCCAGTCTTTAAAACCCACAAAAATAAAAATAAAATAAAATATTAGCCCTACATAACAGCCAGTCCTTTGAAGCTCCTCTTAGGTTCCATATCATATACGAGGCTATAAAACAATTGTGCAGAGCCACATCTTTGGCCATTAAAGCAACCCAAAATAGTTTGTGACCCTCCCTCCCTCTCAGTAAAAGCTTAGTAAATTTCATCCTCACCATCGTCAAAGCCTTTTCCCAACTAATTGAAGTTGTCTACACGAATTGTGGTACACCATTCTACTCTATTAAGGGTCATATCCTCAGTGAGGCCATAGGTCCTCATATGTTTTCTCACTACTTCCAACCATGGTCTTTTGGGCCTACCCCTTGCCCTTTTTTAGTCTTCCACTTGAACTAACTCGCACCTCCTAACAAGTATTGTATTAGGTTTGCACCACACATGACCAGCACACCTAAGTCTGCTATCTCTCTCATCTTATCGCTTATTGGAGTCACACCTAAAGTTTCTCAAATGTATTCATTTCAAATTCTATCACTTCTTGTCTTTCCACTCATCCATCTCAACATCCTCATCTACGCTATACTCATTCTATGAGTATATTGTTTTTTAACTGCCTAACATTCCGTCCCATAGAGCAAAGCTGGTCTCACAGCCTTCTTATAGAATTTGCCCTTCAGCTTCATTAGTATGCGGCGATCACATAGAATTCCGGTTGTATTTCTCCACTTCGCTCACCCAACTCTAATTCTATGTGCGACATCTTCCTCAATCTCTCCATTTTATTGGATTATCAACCCAAGATATTGAAAGTGCGCTCTTTTTAGTATTTGTTAACCATCAATCTTAACTACTTCCTTGTCTCTACCCTATTATTATTGAACTTGCATTCCATATACTCTATCTATTCTGGCTAATTTTAAAACATTTATATTCTAGAGCATCCCTCCAAAGTTCAACTTTGTGTTGACACTATTTCGGGCCTCATCAATTAAAACTATGTCATCTGCGAACAACATGCACCACAATACCTCATCTTGCAAGTGCCTAGTTAAGTCGTCCATAACTAAGACAAATAGGGATGGGCTCAATCATGACCTATGATGTAGGCCTATTGTCACTGAAAACTCACTCGTCTCTCCACTAGTTGTTCATACACTAGTTAGCGTGCCACTGTACATATCTCTCACCAAGTTACTGTAGTGCCTGGAGACTCATTTCTTTTTCAACACCTATCAAATCAAATCTCAAGATACTCTATCTTAAGCTTTCTCTAAATCAGTAAGGACTATGTGGAGGTCTTTCCCTTCGCCCTAAACTTCTCAATCAGTTGCCTATGTCAGAAAATAGCCTCTGTTCTTGACCTCCCCGGCATAAAACCGAATTGCTTTTCTGATACACTTGTTTCATGCTTTAGTCGTTGCTCAATCACTCTCCTCGAAAGTTTCATAGTGTGGCTCATAAGTTTGATCCCTCAATAGTTCGCACAATTATGCATATCTCCTTTGTTCTTGTAAATAGGTACTACAGTACTTTTCTTCCATTCGTCTGGCATTTTCTTTGTTCTCAACACCTTGTTGAACAGCTTGGTCAGCCAATCAATGCCAATTTCTCCCATGCACTTCCAAACCTCTATCGGGATACTATCTAGTCCTAAATTATTTCCTATCTTCATCCTTTTTAAAGCTTCTTTCACTTCCGATATCCTAATCCTACGAATGTATCTATGACCTCCACCCTCATTTATACCAACGGTTTCTTCAATCGCTATGTTCCCATTGTGGTCGCCATTCAGTAATTTTTTAAAATAAAATGTCCACCTTTCATTAACATCTTCATCCTTCACCAAGACCTCTTGATCCTCACTCTTACTGCAGTTATCGCTACGCTTTTTTTCTCTTGGTTTTGCTAATTTGAAGATATCTTTTTCACATTTTCTTGTTCCTAGTTTACCGTATAAATTATTATATGCCTTAAGTTTAGCTTTACTATTTATTTAGCTTTTTTCTTTAGCAATTTTATATTCTTCTAAGAAGTCCAATAAAGAAAATATGAGGACATCCATGGAGGAATGAGCAATGAAACAATAAAAGTTCAATGAATGAAAGATGATAATAGCAATGGAGGAATTGTGTCTATCTAGTGATACTCACGCCAAAAAAAGAAAACCGTCTCTACTGCAAAAAGGTTGGCATTTGCATTTCCAAGATAAAATAACCTGACTGACAATAATGAAACGCTGAATTACACAACATTTGTTACAAGTTTTGTGCTATATTTTGGGGTTTCCATTGAATCATTGAATTGCATTCGATTAGCCATAAAAAGAGCAAAAACTAAGTGAATGTGTGGGACATTAGGTTACCAATTGGTTGAGGTAATCAGTGTACTTCTCAAATGCTTCGGGCATGGCAGACACAGTGCTCATCTTTCTCTGTTTCTTGCTCTGTATCTGTGGAGAGATCTCCGCAACTGCTGCCACTCACAGAAGAGGGATCAAGTGAGAGAAAAAACGAAAAACTAAATGCAGAAATCACATTATAGAGAGAGAAAAATTAGTGCAAACATAAATAGAGAGAAATTGACAACAATATCCATGAGAGAGATAGAGAGAGTAGCAGGGAAATTAAGAAAGATGAATGACTTTAAAAAAAAGTAAATTACGATAGCAAAATGTATGAGGAAATGCATAAATAATATGAACAAGAAAAGAGAAGAGAATTTGATAGAAATGGAAAACGATAAGTACATAGAACGAGCATAAATAAGATAAGAGAGAGAGAGAGAGAGAGAACTGCACAAGGAAATAAGTTGATGAGGTAAGAGGGAAACAGAAAAGAGATTGTGTGATATGCACAACGAAATGCAAATGGTGAAGAGAGAGAGAAGGAAAGAACAAGAATGAAATGCAGAGAGAGAGAGAGCAGCAAAGCGATTAAGAGTGAAATGCATAGCCAAAGGCATTCATGAGAGAGAGAGGTGCATTTATGGGAAGAGAGAGAAAGAGAGGGAACAAACGTTGATAGACATGAGGGAGCTTCGCTGCCATTGGTAGCAAGCGGAAGACGAAGGAGGTCCGACACAGCATCAATCTCTGTCATTTGTCACACTTCTTCTCGCTTCTTTAAAACACCTGCTGCCTAATCCGACTAATATTGATGCCCATATTCTAATAGTTTATATCAACACTATCTATGCAAAATATTTTTGGAATGGAAAATCTCTAAAATGGCTCAAAAATACGTTTCTACTAAAGAGACCATTTACTTTTAAGATACGAGGAGGTCACCGTGACTCTTGTCCATCAAATTTCAAAATGGATGATTGTAAATGTGTCATTGACAAGACCCACTCTTCAAAAATAAAATTTTCAAACTTTGTGATAGATCTCAAGCCATCCAATTTTAACATTTAATGGTTAGTACCAATTGTGACCTCCTAATACCAAAAACAAAAGAGAAAAATGGTATCATAATATACAATCTCGAAATGAAATTTGTAACTCAAAAAAAATTTGGAAATGGACGGTTTAGATAATGTGTCAATACATGCTATTTTAAGGGATTGAAACCTTAATTTTTTTCACAACCATAATGATCAAGGTCGAGATAATCGATTCAAAGGTCTTATGATGCTGAAACTATAATTTTCTATTGATTTTGAGGCGAGGTTTTACTTTCTTTTAATAAAGCCTTGGCCTTATTTTATTTAACATTTTCATAAATTTATATATTTAGAAAAGTGACTATTAACACCTTACTTGGCTCACATATCGAACTTCCTCATTATTCTCTCCACATAAGAAACGTTCTTATCAAAATTTCAGTAGAAAATAGCATTCTAAAGTTAGAAAACCTTCCAATGGATCATTTCGACCTTGAGATGTATAGATATAACAAAAAAAAAAATTTCAAATATTAAAAATAATGCATCTTATAGCAAGTTATAGCGACTGTCTATTTTCAAGACTTCAAGTGTTTATATCTCTACCTGAGCTGCATTGTTGTTTTTGAAATTTGAAATTTCATAATTAGGTTGAACATGGATTTTCAAGTTATCATAAGCTTCCCAACACTAGAACTACATCTTCCGAAAAATTTTAAGTATGCCTTACTTATATAGTATACTATTATGAGGTGAACATTTTATTCAAACCTCGCCCCTTAAAGTCTTGGATTATGTTCCTTAGTGGTGTAAGTTATATGATGGGTGTTGTTCTCTTTTACATCATTTTATTGCATTCATAGAATCCCCTTCTATTGTGATACCTCTACGAGTTGTTGTCGGTACATTATCGGTACATTGGAGTGTTTTTTTTGCTCTGAGAAACATGACAACATCATTATTAAAATCTTTTCCCAACTAATTACAGTCAACTACACGAATCCTAATCCGTCATTCTATTCTGATAAACATGACATGCACAATATGTACAACACACGATTTCTATACAACCAGCCCGCATATTGTAGAAATACGAGCTTGACAAGAAATATATTTTGAAATATAATTTGATCTTAATTTTTAAAGAATATATAATCTCGAACATAGAGACCATTAAAAAAAAAAAAAAAAAAATTGAAAACTAGAAATAATAATTATTTAAGAAAATATTTGGATCGTTAGTTACATTTATTTTAAAATCAACCACTTATTTGCATCCACCTTTAAGATGATGGATGCTTTATACCTCTAAACCGCTAATTATAGAAAAGCAGTTGGCATAACCAATTTTCCATATGTAAATACTATAATACTATTTCAGGTGTACTTGTCAATTATTGAGAATTTCCATGATGAAATGGCCTATTTTCGGAAAAGGGATTGGGACATCGTTGGTTAGTTAAATGGATGCCTCAACGTGACGTCTCACCCTCTATTCCCATTGTTAACATACAAATATACAAAACTACCATTTAACAATTACCGCAACGTAATGTCTATTCCCAGCGTTTAAACATATCCCAAGATACCATAAGACTTACTTTGTAGTTCAACAAAACAGTGTCTATCAAAGATGTTGAGCTCCCCTTAATTATCAAGTACGAGGGGCAAGAACATAAGAAGCAGAGCAAAGAGACTACCCACGGCCATGGATGTCGGCAATAGATGGCTGGGATTGCTCGAGAAACGACACACACCAGACATCTCTGGTTGGCTTCCAATGGCTAGGTCGATGATTTGTTTTATTCTTACAAATCCCTTAACTGCACTCCTTGCATATAAACCCCATAATGAAATCCCACAAGTCATAAAATCAAAATGAGAACCAAACCACCACTCGATGCCTGTAACCGTTCTTTTCAAAAAAAAAAAATGCCTGCTGCTAAAATGACAAAACAAAATTAAACTGCTCAAATTTCCAGGGAACAAAACAAGGGGAAGAAAAACTAGCCAACAAACCCATCATCACAAACATTCCTCTGTTACCATCATCACCTTCCACCTTTTATGATCGCATCCCTCGATCCAACACCTCCCAAAACAAGATCCCAATGAAATGGAAAATCCCGAACTGTTGATCTACAACCCCATCATCACATGTTAAAGATCTGAACAGGAAATGTCTGGGTACCACCATCATGGCCAACACCTGTGATTTCCATTGAAGCATCAATACTTCTATGCCGAGAAGCCCTAGCAATGCTGATGCGACCCATGATCTTCACAGCAGGGTCCACATCGGTACCGATTTTCAGGCCAGATTTTCTGGCAGTCTCAGAATTTTGCAGCGAGTTTTCCGACAAAAGGGCAATGGGTTCTTTGAATGTGAGAAGAATTTGAGACCAATGTGTTTTAGGGCCAAAAGGAGAGGTTGATAGAATGGTGGGCGTTTCTTTGCAGAAGCGGCTGGTGAAGCCAGTATCAAACCATAGCACGACTCCGTAGCACCAAATTGCCATATTGGGAGAGCTTGATGGACTGTTTTGAGACTTGGGTGTTAGTTCAAAGTTTGCAGTGAAGTCCATATCCTCTCGTCTCATGGTCACCAGGTCGAAAATCTGCGAGATGCACATTTATTGAATCAGAAGCAAGATATAACACTAGAAAATCAAGTAATGTGGAATTTAGAGTTCACGTTGAGTATATAAACCCAAGTAAATGTACAATTCTCAAGTCCTGAGAAAGAAGGCACCTTTGATTGTATTGGCATTTCTTATGAGTTAGATTAAAATAAAAGCTTAGATAAAAACAGTGTCAAGCAAAGGATAATCATTTTCTTTTTCACTTTTCAGTAGGTAACCATATGTGGGGGCATCGATATTTCAAGGTTTTATGATAAGTATTCATGCAGAGAACAATCAGAGTTTAAGCTCAGAAACTTTGAGACAAAACAAGCACGATTCTAAATAGTGAATTTCTACAATAAAAACTCTTATGGTATTTGCTCTAACTTTAGTTACAGAAGATAAACAAGGTTTCAAGAATCAAACCATGCATTATTTGTATGTGTGCACCGCAACCACAAAAAATAAATGAAATATTCAATATCAACTTACATGAAGAACACAAGGGTCAGTCACTAAGGTCTGGCTGTCTACTATGTCCACAATTGGAAGCTGAGCAGCATCTTCAGTGACCTCCTTGCCGATGCAAGACATATCAAACCCATATACATCTTCCCAAAAGGGAAAGCTAGTCCCACCTCTCCCGAAACCAGCCACAAACTAAAACCACATAGAGATAACAGGTTCAGCTAAATGACAATGCTCAACTTTAGCATCGATATGTAAACATACCCACTCTAAACCTGACATTAGCTAGTGGCAATAATAATCATAAGAGCTAAAAAGTAACAATTAGAAAAATTACTGAAAGATAGCAATCGACAGAGAGAAAACTAGAGAAACTCACAATGGTTGCCATGTCGGGGAGAATTGCACCACCAGGTTTTAACCAGAGATCTCGTGCATAAAGAACTGAGCTGAGCATCGATTCATATAATAGGCAATACCCCATCCACTCACTCAATAACACGTCTACACTATGTGGTGGAATCTCTATTCGTTTGTCTAGTTCTTCAACCATGCCATGCACCACATCGATTGCTCCAGCTGGTTCTCCATTCTGCTTTAGAAGGCCATTATCTTTGGCAATCTGCCAAATAATTTAAAAGACGTCAGGATATAGAAAATGACATTGCAGGTAACAGAGGTCAGGGGTCTTTTACAATGCCACCCATGGTTCCCTAGCATTTAAAAAATTGTTGGATTTCCTTTCTGACAACAACCAACAATAGATAAAAACCAAGCTATTATCAACACCCTTGTTCTGGCCTTCTAGGTATTTAAATGAATAGAGTACTGGAAGTGGAATGTAAAGTTAATCTTGATAAATCATATGTAGCCATGAGTAATTTAGTCATGCCTTCTAAAAATATCAAGAAACGTTCACACAAGATACTTTGTACCCATTTATAAATATTATTTGAATAGTTTGAGGTAACACTTAAAGAAACTGATATGATTAGCTAGAAAGAACCAATATCCACAGATGCTAATGGAAGGATTTCCACCCACATGCAGAGGTGCATGCACGCGGGAATGCAAGCGCGCATGCACACACTGTCCACACATACATGCATGCACACGTGCCCCAGAGGTGCTGAAACAATAAAGGGACTAAACAACCCAAGGTAAAGTGCAGCTTTAGTTAATGAGAGAATTGATGCAATTCAGAAGGGAGAATCTGAACATGTTTCCATGGCAAGAGGAAATCAGTTGACATCAAATCTGTGGGATTTCCAGTAAAATCCCAACAAATATATTTAGGGATAATATTGAAGGCTTGAATATCTTACCCGCTTAGCTACAGAAGCCATTTTTTCACTTGCCTCAATAGCAAACACCCTGGAAGCCCCTGCTTGAGCTGCAAATAGACTATAAATTTGTAGGTAAGAAAAAGAGAAGCAGAAGAAAAGGAGTATGAGTGAAACCATGTCCACAATTCTACTTCATCCAATAAAAAACAACAATCTGATGAACAAAAAGAGAGCTGTCAATAGGTGCGCATGTATACACTTGTGCGCACACAAATAAAGATGACAATGCAATACATTTGGAATCAGACGCTGGCACCCAGGTGTTGGATGAATTGCCCTTGGGAGAATGTCTAGACCTTATTTCGTAAGTTGATAGATACAATCAACAAATATTTTCCTTTCATTAAATAATGCAGCTCACCTACCCGCTAATTTTCACATTCTGACACTACCACTGCCCTTCCCATTTTGCTTGTATTCCAACTAACCAAACAATCCTCAAGGATACAGAAAGCATATGCAATTTACTAGCACCAATTAGATGTTGCTTTAAATATTCAACCTGACTTGCAAATTTATTTGTTGGCAATGGCTTTGAGTATCCCCAAATTAGAAGATGTAGGATTACCGACACACTCAGCTTAAGAGAGCTTCCTAAGATGTAATAATCTTGGAAGGTATAGCAACAGAATGGTCAAGCATGCTCAGCTTCATGTATTTGAAACTTGATTTGGGACATTTGAATAAAAGTATAATTGATGTCAGAAAACTGCAATAAAAACCTCCGCAATACAGAAAAAACACAAAAGGCATCAGAAACCATTGAATAAAAGAAATACAAGAGCAATATGCAAGCACACCTTAAAATCCCAGTGCCACAACCAACATCCATGACAGTTGCCTGGTTCATGAGGGTAGGGTTACCAAGAATAGCTCCCCTGTATGCATCCATTCTTACCTGCAAACAAATTTATGTATAAGATTTATAATAATCAGACATGAGAATGCCAAAAAATTAGTTTCTTAATTAATTTCAAAAAGTTAGTTTCTTAATTAACTTCCAAGTCATACAATGAATGCTCCTATCCTCTTTCTTTATTTCTTTACTTTTGACGTTTCAAAGGTCTTCCATTCCTCTGATGGAAGCTTGTACTTTGAAGCCATCAGTCTCAATACTCGCTAATTTACCTACATATGACTATTTTAGTAGCTCCCTTGGCCTAAGACAAAGTGAAGCATTTGTCCACCTACCTTTTCACCTTTGACTGAAGAAACCTGCGTAGATATTTTTATTCTTGATAGATGAAACAATGAGTAGGAAATTAATAATCGATCTCATTTTTTGGGCCTTGGGTCAATTAGGAGTTTTAGGATTTTGAGAATGGCCAATAAGAAAACGGAAAAATTTAAGAGGACACAAAAGGACAGCACATCAGCAACACATTAACAACATCCCAAGTTTATGGAGGCATAAAAAGAAAAGGTGGAGAATCTAGGATCGCCTAGATACCATTAAGTGACTGATTCTAAAAATGAATTTTTAATATCCAAATTTTACGGAGTAAATGTATAAATGGAGATCGCAATGGAGTTTGAATGAGTCTAGGGTTGTAATGTAAAGGAAAACCTATGATATTCCACCATGATTGAAAGGTTAACATCAATGACACATGGGGCAGAGGTGGAGGATGTTTGGAAGGGACAATTCTTATCAGGTCAGGAAAACAACTTTTTGTGCAATGAAAAGCAACTTTCTAAACCATTTTTCTCAATGAACAGGAGACAACACCAGAAGCTAGGCTGCATCAAATAACCTCATCTAACATACAACTCCAATTGGTGATGAGGATGATGTTGATGATTACAACAAGAGAGAGAAGATTGAGACAAGAGATTGGATTTTAGAAGAATTTCAAATATTGGTGGATAAAATCCTTTGGAAAAGCAGGTGTTCTAGTAGAATATGGTAGGGTCTTGAGTTGTATAGGGAAAACTTCGCTTACCAAATGGAAGGGAAGAGTGATTCTCTTCATGTTATCAGATGGTTTAAAAGGAATGGAACAAATCCATGAAGAATAACATGGATAAATTGGATATCCAAGGTAATGTAACATAGAATGGGAAGACCAGTGCACGAATGACTGACAAAACCAGATAATAAAAGGATGGGAAACATGAGTATGACAGTTTGAAAAACTCTAGCACTCTCTGAGTTTGAACCTGATTGAATTTTTCTTTCTAACTACTACAAAAATAAATCCTTTTCCACTATATGTCCCATGTGTTCTTTCAATGAGGTTCCTGGAACATTACTAGCCAGGAGAAAGAAAAGAGAGAAACGGTTCACTGAATCCAACAAAGGATAGGTAAGTACCTTATCACTAATCATCTCTTTATGTATGCTGAAAGAACTGTATGACCCAAAGTAACTCTCATTAACATTCTTAATTTCCCTTGCCATGACATTTGCAAAAGAAACTTTCAAGCTTTTGTCCTTCGATTTCTTGGATGGCACTTGAGAACTTTGACGCACATCCATGCCTTTGATAATTTCATTTTGAACACCAGTTTCAGTAGCAACAATATCCAAAATGTCTTCCTCATCTATCACACTTTTCATAAGAGCTTCATCAACATTGACCACCTCAACCATTGGATCTCTTTCATCGGGCAAGAAGGTTGCATCATAAAAATCATCATCATCATCATCACCACCAAAACTATGCAATAGGGCATCATCTTGCAAGAAAGGTTGGAGATATTTATCATCCCCCCAAGGTGCTGAACAATCATAATTGAAACTCTCCACTTCATGTAAATGATTCAAAAGAGATTCCTTTGATTGCAGGCCAAGTCCACATCTCCAGCATTTGTTTGATGCCACCTAATAAATTGGAAATAGGAAAATAGCACAGAGCAGATATTTTGAGTATTTAATAATACGAGTGGCATACACACATGAAACAAATAAAGTGATAAATCATACTACAAAAATCTTCCAGAAAAAAAAAAAAAAGACAAAGGAAATGTAATATATATAAGAACTATCTTCATGATATATTCCGTAGATCTTTCTTCAAGTTGACACATTGGCTAGAGGGTTTGTAAGTGCAAATATATACATAAAGAGATGTGCATATGAGTACCATCCCTTCATCTTCATTGAAATCAACCAACTCAGAAAGTTTTTATAACTACAACAACTAAAAATACATATATCTTGCAAAAAATACATACATAAGCACATACATGCCTACACACATACAATTGAAATCACCAAATAAAAAGAAAAAAATACGTACATAAGCACATACATGCCTACACACATACAATTGAAATCACCAAATAAAAAGAAAAAAGTTTATCCCTTGCAGGATATAAGAAAGAAGTTATGGCATGTGAATGTGACTATGCGCTTATGGGCACTATGTCTTCATAATCATTTATAAATCATGTAAACAAAATGTCATACGCAGCATTTTAAGAATTCCTACTCTCCGACTTGCCAGGTCTGAGCCAGAGGCTCATGGAGTCCTCGTCAAACAGGGAATTTTACAAGCAAAAAATTAGAAGTTCATGAAAAAATATGGATAAATTGGGCAATTCCAGGCATTTTGGGGCAGAATCGCCTGGCTCCCAATGCAGTCCGACTAGGGATTTTAACACACCAAAAATACGCATTATGTGCATAAGATCATCCACTGGGCGTATGTACCACATTGAATTTAATTTCCACCATGATGTCCAAACCAGGTTTAAAAGTTGCTCCGACTCGCCAGATGCTTGAGCCAAAGTCTTCGGGGTCAATCTGGGGCGGTTCCAAATTGGGCTCCGAAAGTTTTGATAAGAAAAATTTAAACCTGGAAAGATAACTTTCATCTTTCTACCTGGAATCAAGCAAATCCATGGATTTTCTACCTGGAAACGCCTGGCCCCAATCCTGGTCGACTCAGCCCCGCAAGTTTTTCAACACTGGTCCAATTTTCTTTCTTTCTTTTTTTTTTCCTTTTTTTTTACGAGCATATGAATTTATTCATGTGCGCCTCCATATTTGTGCATGTGTGTATGTATGTTAATAAGCATGATGTGTATTTTTGCCTCTGTTTATATATGCATGTGTGCATGAACCTATCTATCTATCTAGCTTCTACACAATTGTGACCTTAAAGCGAATGTAATTGATGAGCTTGAAGGAGCCATAAAAACCTAAACCCATGGACTTCCTGATTCCTTCGAAATCAAATGCATGATCAGAGACACAGTGATTGAATAGTTCTTCTCTGGAATTCCACTTAGTGTCACAAAATAAGCACAGGAATTCTGCTTCAGAATCTTCATCCCCAGCTTCCCAGTCATTCCAACCATCTGCTTGCTCTTCTTCTTCTATTTCTTCATCTTCAGATTCTTCCTCCTCTTCTTTGACAGGCCTTGCCATTAGATTCAGAGCTAACAAAACCCTATAAACCCTGAACAGTTAATTGAAACCCTGATTCCCTGAAACCTAGACGCCCTAGAAGCTCAAAGCACATGTACCCCAATTATCTGAAACCTTTAACCTTAAGCCGGAATTCCCTGAAACCTTGAAACCCTGAAACCCATAAGTGCAGAACGCTTAAACCCTAAAATCTTCTTCCCAACTTGAGAAGAAGCTTGGAGTATCGTGCGAGATCGTGTGTGAAGTTTGGACTATCGTGCGAGGTTGTGTATGGAAACTGCGGATAAACCCTCTAATCAACGGTTCCGATTCGCGTCCTAGGGTTGTCGCGGCTCCTTTGACCGCGATAACGCAGGAGATATCCAAATGCCAAAATGCGCGTCTAACGACAAAAATTGCTTTTCTTTTTTATAAGGAAAAGTATATAATAAGAATATTTATTTTCGGTACAAGTAATCACATGTAATCTTGACAGTTAGATGTAAAATTGGGCGGCTATATTTATTCCATCACCCAGCTCAATTGTTCAAAAATTAAGAAAAAATTTATATAGAGCCAAGGCTCTAACAATCAAATTAGAGCCCATCTCAAAAATTTCACTAAAAGAGCCCATCTCAAAAATTTCACTAAAAGAGGTTGTTTTGATGCCCAAACATCTTCAAATTGATCATTTTGATATCAAGACGCATGAACATACAAAAAAAATAGATTTTAAGTTTTAGAAATAGTGCATGTTGTATTATATTTTTTTACCGTCAATTTTCAAGATTTTAAAGTTTTCATAGATATGCTCGATCTACACTATTTTTGAAGCTTTAGATTTTATAATTAGATATGAAAATATATTTTCAGTCTATCACAAAAATTTCTAGCATTGAAACCATATTTCTCGATACTATTTGAAGGTACACCCTACTTTTATTGTTTAGAGCCTCGGCTCTATACAAACCGTACCCCACAAGTAATTGTGACTTAGTTGTACTAAAAATAAATAGTTTCATTGTATACAATCCCCTTTTATAAACCGGTATAATTTGTATAAGGTTGCAACTTTAAACAATCAAATTAGGATGTACACCCAAACTTTATCAAGAGACGCAAGGTGTACAAAATTATTAGAATCATGTGAAGATCTTCCTTTTTTTTTTAATTATAAAATTTTAAACTTAAAAAATGGCTCAAATCAAGCAGATTTATAAAAGCATACAAATATTAAAAATAGATATTCCAGATTATGTGTTGCAAGATGTACTATTTTTAATATTTGAAATGTGTTTTTTCTCGATATTTGCACATCTCGATGTCAATATGATCATTTGGATGTTTTTCCAATATCAAAACAACTTTTTTCGAAATATTTTAGAGGAACACATTAATTCTATATCTTAAGGTATCAACCTTATATAAAAATTTTCCTTTATAAACACAAATGCAAAAAAAAATATTTGTCCAGGTACTAGAGTGATTATTTTTGAAAAAACAAAATAAATGAAAAATGGGTTTAAAAACACATAATCCTTTGAAAAATCATAGGGGATCAAATAATTCAAATTGATGTTCAGTTTAACCTTTTATTTTTTATTCAACTCGAGTATTTCGAGTATGTGCTCAAAGGATATCCTACAACATATCTCATTGAAATAATAAGACATTTTGTGTTTGTTCAAACAATATCTTAACAAAAATATCATATTCACTGTTGGGAACCATGAACAAATAGGGACATTTTAGTACATTTAATCGTAATTTATACTTCATTATTTGACTGGGGCCTCTTGGGTGATTGCTAAAGTGCTCCTTGCAAGGTTGTCAACATTGAACAATGGGAATTTCGATATTTTATAATATAATTTTTTAAGTATATATACTATTGTACACCTGCTCCTTCAGTTAGAAACTTAGAATACTTATTTGGGATAATTTTTTTCAGTCCAGAATTCGACAACCACGTGTTTTCAAAAAGGAATAATTTGAGTTTTGAGTTTTTTAACACTTACTTATATGCTTTTAAAGAGGACGGTCTTTGTTCAATCTTGATACATTATTGTTTTTCAAGTTCATAAAGAGCCCAATTTGGAAAAATTCATTGTCAACCCTAGCCAATGGTTTGAAGAGCTTCCATCCCCAAAATTTGGAACCTTAAAATTATTCCTAGATTATGTTTTACTAGAGAAAGTAATAACAATATACTCTTAAGGGAGCATAGATTTTTTTTGACTAACTTTTTGGGAGTATATGAGTGACATAAAAATTATAAAATAAAACTTCTAACATTAATGAGGTAAAGAACCTGAGCTTAATTAGTTAGTGCTTGACAATTTGCAACATTACATCCTAGACCTCTAATTGGGCCGGTTTTAAGTAGACAAATCCCCTCGCCGGTTTGAGCACCTGTCTGATATTGATAACACTGGTTCATCATTCTTGTATAATGTCCAGTAAAATGGTTGTCACTTTTCAATGATGTGTTACATTGAGGTTGGATTTTGACTGCTGAAAAGCTTATTCAATTCCCCATACAATATTGCAGAGTTTAGGAAATTTATGGGCAATAGGATAAACCAATTAAATTTCAAGTGTCTGCAATAATCATATTACAAAGTCCCTTTGTAAGATGAAAAGCGCTAAGACTGTTCCTGGTTCTCACTGAGGGGACATTTCACCTTTCTTCTCGGTGAAGACAACAAACTCATGTCCCATTTACAACTAAAACAAAGTTAACATTTCATTGTTGAACAAATCTTCCAAATTTTGAGGGGTAATATTTAAGTGTTTAAGAATTCAAAATAATTTTTTTTCTCTTAAAAATACATGTATTGGAGTTTGCTTTGTCCAACTGTCGATTGATCATTTCTAAGTGTTTAAGAAATCAAAATAACAATCTTCTCTTGAAAAGACTTATATGGAAGTCTCGGAGCAATGAATTCCAAAATTTCAACTCAGCATGTCCTCTTAGGTAGGTGTTTTGTAGGGCTGTCAACGGGTTGGGACGGGTTAGCTCGGTTGGCTTGGACATGGACCCAACTTTACAAGGTCCCCCATGGACCCTGATCCAATTTGGGTCCAAGTGACTTGGGAACTGATCCAGGTTCAAGTCGTTGGTCCGGACCAGACCCAGGTTCCAGAAATTAAATAAAATAATAAAATTAATTTTTGTATTGTAAATATATATTTTTATATAACTTATATATATATCGGTTTGGGTCGACCCCTACCTGACCCAACCCCACCCAATAGGAAGTCCGAGCAAGATCCGGACCCGAACCGGGGTAAGGTCAAAGTCATTTGGACTTGGCAACCAGGTCCAAAACTTGGACATGTACATGTACCCATTATAATGTGCTTTGATTGAAGTATGCCATAAGTGCTCTTTCAATTTCAAGATATTCTTAATATCAATTTTTATGGGAGCTTTATGGGGAATCTTGGTCTAGCTGACATAAAGGGTGTTATTCGTGACTGTTATGGGAATATTGTCTTATCCTATATAGGACTTATTGGTTTGGCAACAACGAATTTCGTAAAAATGAGCGAACGGAACTTGGGTACTACTTGCCTGGTTGAAGGTGACTCCTTGAATGTTATTAGTTGGTGCAGAAATGAGCAGAAGGTACATTGAGAACAATGGTCCTTATGGTTGAAGATTATGAATGCTTCCACATCCTTATCTATTTCTTTCTCCTATGTTTATCGCGAGGCCAATGATGTTACTGATGCAGTAGCCAAGGCGGTGTTTTACTTGCTTATTTTTCTTTTTCTAATGATGTAATTTCCTTTTAGTTTTTCAATAAGATGCTTGAACTTTGGTCAGTTTTTTTTTCAAGATATTATATATGGAAAAAATTTATATAAGGTTGCAATCTTAAATGTAGAACTAAGGTGCACCTCAAAAATCTATAAAAATAAAGGTGTTTTGATAGTTGATCATCTCTACTTCGAGATATACAAATATATAAAAAAAAAGTTTTCAAGTCCTAAAAATAGTACATCATACAACACATGATATGGACTAAACCAGTTCCAAGATTTTGATGTGTTTATAATTTTATTTATTTGAACTATTTTTTAAATTTAAAATTTTATAATTAAAATTAGAAATGGATTCCCATGTCATACAAAATTTTGACACAAAATTAGCATCTTACAATAAATTTTGGAGGATTGTTTAATGTTGCAACCTTATGCAAGCCACACTCATTGTATAATTCCGAGTTGCCACCAAACCACACTCATTATATATTCTAGATATTTTAACCTGTTCACGCGCGAAAAACAATTAACTAGGCATAATTGACTTATGCTAAAAGGTTTCCTACTCCCAATAGGGATATACTGTCCATATACTCCGTCGAGCAAAACTAATGCCAGTAATATTTTTTAGATCCTAATTTTTGGAGATGTAGTCTTTAGATCATATGGACAAAAAAAAAAAAATTGAAAGTCTCACTTGAAAGAAAGTGACATTCCAATTGCACAAGAACAGTCTAATATTTAGAAGAAAAGACGTAGATGTTCAAGAAGTCAAATCTCTCGCTTTATATATATATATATATATATATTTATATTTATATTTATAATAATCATCTAGTCTTGAATTGATTCCAAAATTTGGACTCAGAAAAAAAGAAAAAAAAAAACCCTTAGTAGCTATTTTTCCCGACGGAGTTATTGTACAGTATGGTCTCTCGAAAATACACGCTATACGCGCCTTGACTTATTATACTAATCAAGCTCATTAACCGTCCACATCAGTCATCTTTGTCTAGACCTCGCCCACAATACATCGTATTTTATATGTTTTGACCGTATATACACGACTGTAGTAGAGCAGCTACCGTATAAATAGAGCACTACTAATTCTCGACATTATTTTCTCTGGTTTTTCTATGTGATTATTAGGAGAGAATATCAAAAGAATAATGATTATCTCAAGCGAATAATATCCGTTAAAAAGGTATTTCTGATGATTTATCATGCAATTTCATGTTTTACTTGTATTATCTGCAGTTTGGATTTTTTTTGCTGTGTTTATCTGCATTTTATTTGTTTTGGTGAAAATGGCATTGCATTGGTCAATTATGGTTCATGATAGTTAAAGACGCGTCAGATCCACTTTCGGTATGTGAATTGCTTGAGTCTTTGCGGAATGAAATCTCAGAATTAGTTGTATTTTTACTTGTTTATTGTGTTTCTCTGTTATTCCTAGAAAATTCAGCACAAAAATGCGTTTTTTGCTGTTGATTTCCTGTGAACAATGTGCCCTAGTAACGGAGTGCTCATGAATAGCTGCATATTTTGCTCCATTTAATATTTGATACTTAAACAGTTGCAATTTTACTTATTAACTTCGTTTTTCATTAATCAAATATTTGAAGCTACGTTCATCAATTACATAAAATGGCCGAGTCATTCTCAGTGCGTATTGATTTTCACATAATCTAGCAGTCATGTGATAAGTTTGTGTACTATGCTCTACTGCTATATATGTGCTGATTTTTCTCATTTCTTGTTAATTACTGCACATTCCACAAAAAGGCGTTCATGATCCTTAAACTGGAAGTATTTATTTAATATATACTTCAATCAATTTGGAAGTATTATACTTTTAACTTTAATATCTAGTTTTTTATCTGAAGATTCAAATTGAATCATTCAATGCAATGTTTTGTCAATTTTGTTTTGTGCTTTTAAGGATGTGCCAGATCTCATTGTATTGTATGTGAAATGTAACTCATTACCTCAATTCTTTTGTCGTAAACTGGAAGTATTTATTTGTCCACTTTAACCAATTGGAAGTATTATATTTTTAACTTTAAAATCTAGTTTTTTTTTTTTGAATATTCAAATTGAATCATTCAATGCAATGTCTTGTCAATTTTGGTTTGTGCTTTCAAGGATGTGCCAGATCTCATTGTATTGTATGTGAAATCACTGAAATGTAACTCATTACGTCAATTGTTTTGTTGACTTTCTAATTCAATGGTCTTTTCCATATTTCTAATGATCTTGTTCTTTTTTAAAATTTAAATATCATTTTGTTGGGCATCATATTTATCAGATATTTCCTTAAGTTTGAATCTGAACTCAAGCAGGTAGCATTTTATTTCTTTTTTATATTTTCTTATTGATTTTTGTGTGCATATAGTGCATATTCTGATGCAGCATATGTCTTTCTTTCTTATGTGCATCGATTAAGAAAGAATCCTTCATCATTCTGTTACAGCATAAAGGCTCTACTATCCTCCTAAATTGCTCATATTTGATTTATTATTCCTTTATCCTGATCCATTGCATTGCTTCTCTACTTGGTTAGGTTTTCAAGACATCAGCATAACATTAAGCAAATGGATTTATACTACTCTTGAATACTTGGCACGAAATTTATGTGAATAATTGAGGAGTAATTTGAGTTCGTCACCATGGAAGAGTAAGTATCATCCATGCTGCCCCATTTTCTTTGTTTTTATTTGATTGATGGGTCCTAAAAGTTCAATCTAATCAGACAAACCCATCTCGAGCTTGTCCAACGCTATCGACGAGATAGAAGCACCCTACTGAATTACATAATGTCCAGTAGTCTGATTAAGAAAGTCGTGATGCCTCCTGGTGCTGTTTCTTTGGACGATGTGGACCTGGACCAAGTTAGCATTGATTATGTTATTGAATGTGCCAAGAAGGGTGAGTTTGTAATCATGTCCAAACTTGTTTAAATTTTTTCTAGCTTTTATGAATGAAAGTGTCATGGATTACCTTTTGGTGTAGGTTTACCATTGGAACTCTCAGAAGCTATAAGAATGTACTTTGACAGTCTTGACTTCCCTCCAATGGTGAGCAGGGAATTTCTATTTTGTTTCACGTAGATGATTTATGCTGTTGATGAAGTTATTTCGTGCTTTTGCTCTGCTTTTACTTGATTTCTTCAAGTGGCTATGTTGGAAACGTCTTTACATGTCCTGGACTATACACATGCAATTGCATTAAATACAAATTAGTGAGGCATGTAATGTCATTCTCATATTTAATGGGAGTGTTGGAGATACTACGTGTGAGATGCTGTGATGCACGATATGGTTATGCCGCTTTCTTCTTGTGACATTACATATATCATGCTTTACTTCTACTTCCTCTCTCGGATGACCTATTTGGGAGAATTTTTTCAGTCTAAAATTTTGAGAACCACTTAAGAATTACTAGATGATTATTCTTGAAAGAAATTTTTTTAAATTTGGATTTTCTAACACTTAGATCTCATCCTCTAAAAATTGTATTGTTTCTATGTGTAGAGGGTGCAATTAGGATTTTTTTTTATTGAGGTTAATCTACGGGTTAAAGAGGTCATATCCCCAAAATTTGGGATCCTAAAATTGTAAAATTAATCTTAGGTGGGGATTTACCAGAGGGAGTAAATGGGCAGTATACTCCCCAGAAAGTAGAATATCTTTTGGTTTTTGAATATATTAGACATGGATGTGGAGTCCATTTCCAAGTATACATGCACTATAGGTGTGATGTTGTGTTTCTTATGGTTGCTTGATGCGATTCTTCTGTTGGAAAAAAGTCAGAAACTTGTGAACTGTGTCCTTTGTTTGTAAACTTGAATCCACACCTTCAGTGCCAGCAACATATGCACCAACATTTATTGAGGTTCGTCTTGTTTTACAAGTTTATCTTGTTCTGAAATGGAAACGAGAAAAAGCGTATGGTCTTTATGACATCCTTGACGAGGTGCTACGTATGGGCTTTGGAAGCAAATGGAGGACCTGAATCAGGGGATCTATCACCACCTAGTTCTCTGTCCTGCTCAATGGTTCTCCTAAGGGCTTATTCCTTGTCTCGAGAGGCCTCCGCCGAGGAGACCCCTATACCTTCCTCTTTGCTATCATGGCTGAGGTCTTTGGTAGGGGTGGCAAACCCGAAAAAATATTACTGTGACCCGGACCCGATCCTACTGGAGCCGATCTGACTACACAGACGATAATTTTTTTTTTTTTGTGACAGCGACCCCCTGTCAAGTGGATAAGCTTGGGTTGTTAAGGCATTTCCAGGTAGGAAGTCTCTACAAAATCAATATGCAAAAACCAAATTATTACAGGTGTGCCTCAAGCTTGCTGTTGGCTCAACATTGGCCAAAAGGTTGGGGTGTGGTAGTGACTCCCTGCCGGGAAAATACCTGGGCCTCCCCCTATGTTGGTAGGTCCCGAAAGGCCTAATGGCATATGCCATTGCGGAGCATCTCGAAGGTAGACTAACAGCCTGGAAAAGCTGCTTCCTGTCCCTTGAAAGAATTACTCTTGCAAAAGCACACTTTCTAATGTTCATACATTCCAGATGTCCCTTTTTAGAATGCTGGCAGTGATGGTCAAGCATCTCTTGAGGTTGGTGAAGGTATTTTGTGGTCAGTGCTGAGGGAAAACACAAGTTCCACCTTGTCAAGTGGGACATCGTCTGCCAATCAAAGTGTGATGGGGGCTTGGGCATTAGAAAATTAAGAGAGTGCAACACAGTACTTCATGGAAGTGGTGCTGGTGTTTCATAAACCAGGATGGCCACATCTGGCCATATGCAGTCAAATATAGATACATGACGGATAATTCTGGATGGCTTCCCAGAGGCCTCGCTAATGCATTGTCTTAGAACATGCAGAATTTATCCCCAATCATCCATTGTATGTTCTAATTTGGGTGCAAAGTAAGGCTTTGAAAGTATGTTGGATTGGACAGGATACCCTTCAGTACCATTTCCTAGCCTTTCCTCCCTACCAAGTGTCCAAGATGCCATTATGACGCAGTCCTACAAAGTCATTGTTGGGTGACCGGTCTGGTCCTCCCTCCACCGCCCCTTAGAGGCACAACACAATCTTGCAGAATCTGAGAACCTTGTTGGAGCTCTTAGGGAATCATTACATCCCAGGAAGGGGTAGCGACAGGATGGGTTGGAGCGCTGCTTCCTTGGACTCTTTCTCTGAGCTTCTTTCGACTATGGAATCACCCAACTTCACCAGGCTAGTAATCCATTTCTCTGCCCTCTAGGGCTTGTTTTCCCTTGGCCCCACAAAATCCAGGATTTCAACCTGTTGGTCCTCTCCTAGCGAGTATTAAATGATATGCCTAACCGAGTTGCCCTGTCTAAGGTGGAAGAGGAATCTCTGGACCCCCTCTTCATCAACTGCTTTTTCACTGCCCATATTTGGACCTCCATTCTTAGCCTCTTTGGCTCGGTCTGGGTCCTGCGCCAAACTATCCAGCTACTCTTTGTGGCTTTATTTAGTCCCTATTCCCTGTGTTTGGGACTCTTCCTTTGGAAGTCTCCTCTCTTCGCCACTTTTTGGATCATCTGGGTGGAAAGAAATACACAAATCTTTGAAGCCCGAAAGTTTTGGGCTTAAGGGGTTCTAAATCAAATCATGGCATCTGTCATTCTTTGGACCAGTACTAGGAAAGATTTCAGTGGGAGGGCTTCCGTAGATTTCAACCAGAATTGGGAAGCCATCCTTCTATTCCAGCCAATGTTGATACAACATTCTAGCCTTTCGAACCCCCAGAGCTTGGTACAGTCAAGCTCAATTTGATGGTTGCTCCTTCAACAACCCTTGTACAGCAGGGTCAGGTGGATCTTTGAAAATCCTTCCCTTGTTTCTTTTCAAGGGCTGCATTGGGGTCCCAGATTTGACAATGGCAGAAGCGCAATTCCTTCTAAGCAGTCAAACTTTTTGACGGGATTTGGGGCACAACCTCAAAGTTGGGAGGTAGTCCAAGAGAATTACATCCTGGGCCCCAAAGTCTGCCTCCTGCCCTGGGAGAATACAAGCTATCCTTGAACAAATCTGGGAAATTACGCGGCCTTTCCAAGTTACCTACAAACTTGTGCAGAGGGAGGCCAATACTGCAGTGGACATACTAGCTAATTAGGGGCTAGCCCCAAGTTTTGTAACAATGACACCATAGACAGGCTTTCGTAGGTTGGAACTTCTTCCTAATTATTTGTCTTCAGATTTTACATACTTTCCCTAGTTTGTCTAGGGGGGCAGGAATCTTTGTATTTATGTTAATACCTTGATACAATACAGTCGCTCTTTCTCTCTTAAAGAAAAAAAAAAGTTGGTCACTATTTATGTATGGATTCAATATATTGAGAATAGATACAAGTTAAAATTTTGTGAGGTGGTCTGCGTGTTTGTGTATTGACCTTCTGTCGCGGCCATCTGGTGGCTCCATGTTGAAATTTGTTAACATATTTCCATGCTAAGACAAGATTTGTCCAACCCATTCTGTTATTTCTTTCCACTTACATGAAAGATACCTCCTGCTTGTTTTCTTTGTTCCTTTTGTGGAAGATGTCAATTATCTATTCAATTACCGGGATGAGTTTGCTATGGTGCATGGAAATATGGCAACTGTGATGTGTCTTTTATTTGAAGATCTATGTGTATCTTTTTTAAGGGTTTCTAGAGTTTTTGGTCATTTCCCTTTTCTGAATTTTTTAATGTGTTTAGTAAATCATGCTTGAGTACTGTCTTGGTCTCAGTGCGAAAATTTTGAGAAACCTTCTTGCATTGTTGAATCAGAGTAGCAGGGGTTTGGGAGACGAATTCTTTCTGGTTACAGATGTTGAAAGCTCTGGGCCTCCACCGACATGGGCACCACCACCCGTTCCCACTGCATTGTCATCACCAATCATTACAAATCTTTCTAAATCACAGTCTCTTCACTCTGAGCAGTTTCGAGAAGTATCCGTGGATGAAGAGATTGATGACTTTGAAGATGACGATGATCAGATATCTGATGACCACCATCTAACAAGACGGCGCCCAAATGATGCTAGTGATCTAATGTTCTGCTTGCCATCTTTTGCCACAGGTAAGGTTGATGTAGACCTTATTGCAGTTCCTGTTAGTTCTGAAAGTAGGGTAAATTTTTTTATGTATTCTATGCTTTTAGTGAGGAATTTTGCATTCTGCACATTGATATCAAACTAAGAATGTTTCTATCTTCATTGGTGAAAACTAAGCATGAGGGAGGGAGGGTTGAGGTAGACCTTATCGCAGTTCCTGTTAGTTCTGAAACTAGGGTAAATGTTTTTTATGTATTCTATGCTTTTAGTGGGGAATTTTGCATTCCGCACATTGATGTCAAACTAAGAATGTTTCTATCTTCATTGGTGAAAGCTAAGCATGAGGGAGGGAGTAAATTTTTTTTATGTATTCTGTGCTTTTAGTGAGGAATTTTGCATTCTGCACATTGATATCAAACTAAGAATGTTTCTATATTCATTGGAGAAAGCTAAGCATGAGGGAGGGAGGGAGGGAGGCAGGGAGGGAGCGAGGGAGGGATTTAGGTTCGTTTTCAAAAGAGGGATACTTGCATCCACTATATGTTTGGTTAAAGGAGTTTTATGGAGGGAGGGAGGGAGGGAGGAAGGGAGGACGGATTTCGGTTAGTTTATTCCATTCAAAAGAGGGATGCAGAGGGATACTTGCGTCCACTATATGTTTGGTTAATGGAGGGAGGGAGGGAGTGAGGGAGGGATTTAGGTTAGTTTATTCCATTCAAAAGAGGGATACAGAGGGATACTTGCATCCACTATATGTGTGGTTAAAGGAGTTTTGTGAAGTTAATCGGTTGAATTTTTATCAAGGGAACTGTGCTTATGAATTGGCATTTGGTGAAGGGGATTTGCTTATGCTCGTGAAAGCATATGTTATGTTAAATTACTACTAAGGAACCTGAAACAATATTGCTGTTTTTAGGTTATTGACTTCTATTTTCTGTATTGATTGCAGGGATAACGGATGATGATTTTCGTGAGACATCTTATGAAATCTTCTTGGCTTGCGTAGGGGCTGCAGGGTACAGTATTTGTTTCCATGTTTTGTTTTGAAGTTCTCCACAGCTTGTGTGCTACATAGGTGCGACCAGTGATAAAAAAACCATTGATCTGAGTTAGGAATCACCGTTGACAATGCTAGTTCTTAGACTGAATTGGCGGTTTGATTACTATAAGTATATGAATTACATAAGTTGTACTGTACATGTCAAATAGCTCTATTGGCTAGAGTGCGTGGTTCTTATCCAAAGGTTGGAGGTTCTTATCCTAAATGGCTATTTTTTTGTAAAATTCTTGTGTACTTAGGGGCGGTTCAATTATAAATATATAATATATGTACGTTATATCATAAAAGTTGAATGGGTATGTTGGCTAGAGCATGTGAGTCTTATTCACGAAGTTGGAGGTTCGATTGCTGCAAAGCATATATAGATATTTTCATCTTTATTTATAAAGTTTAAGGCTTTTAAAATAGTGTAGATCGACATATCTATGAAAACTTGAAAATCTTGAAAATTGACGGTCCAAAAATGCGTTACAAAATACACTATTTCCAAAACTTGAAATCCATTTTTTTCTCATGTCCATGCATCTTGATGTCAAGATGATCAATTTGAGGATATTTGGGCATCAAAACAACCTATGGAGTGAAATTTTTGAGGTAGGCTCTAATTTGATTTAGAGCCTCGGCTTTCTATAAACTTTTCCCTTTAAGTTATATATTTTAAGGATATCACAAAGATTTCCAATATTGAAACCGTATTTCTCAACATTATTTGAACGTGTGCTCTACTTTGGTTGTTTAGAGCCTCGGCTCTGTACAAACCACACCCTTTTCTAAAATACTAGGTGCAACCAATCAAATTAGAAATATTTTTAAATTTCATATTTTAAATAGCCGACCCCAATTAGTTGAGACAAGGCTCTGACGATGATGATGATATTTTAAAATAATAAAAGTTATTCTTAAAATAAGGGAAATTTACAAAAAATCCCATTATTTTTTATATTTAAAAAAAGACCCATATTTTTGGGAAATTTACAAAAAAATCTCATTTTATTTTCAATTTTTTTTATATATTTCATATTTTACGTTCAAGCCCCACTTTTTTAGATCATTAATGTATTTAAATGTTATTCTCTTTTTTATACATTGGATTAAGCTCAAATTCGGGTTGTCCGGACTTACTCATCTGTGTTAAAAACATATAAAAACTCAACAATAAAATAGACCAAAATATCGCTACCAGATTTAGAGGTATTCTGGATTTTATTTCTTTCAATTATTTTATGGCGATTTTTACAAAGCCTGATGGTGAGAAGTATAGGCACCAAATTTGAACTTAATTCATTGTGGAAAACTATTAAAATCAAAATACAATATATACTATCAGAAAATGAGACTTGAGCATAAAATATGAAATATTGAGGATTATTGTTAAGGGTAAAAGATGTAAAACCTCCTCCCTAAATTTTTCATCCCATAAACACTCTCAGGTCCATGGAAACCCCATCGACCCCGTAAAGTATAAAAAAAAACAAATACCCCCTTGCATAACATTTTTCCCTTTCCTTTTCCAAAATACCCATTTTCTTTTTATTTATACCCCGCTAGTTCAACACTAAAAGCATAAAACAGCCCTTTCCATTATCTCATCCGTTCTCATGAACTCCCCCTCCCTCTCTCCCACCAAATGTCCATCCCCACAGTTTATGCGGGAGAGAGAATTCACAGGAAAAGGCGAGAGAGAGGGGAAAATGGGTGTTTTATGCTTATACTATTGGACTAGTGGGGTAAATGTAAGAGCTAATGGTATTTTTGAAGAAGAAAATGGGAAAAAGTTGTGTAAAGTGGTATTTGTCTTAACCAGTTTAGACACCCAATGCCTGAACCAGTCTTTGACCAAAAAAAGGACTGCGTTTTGAACATTGGATGCCCAAACTGAATTGAAGGAATTTGACACTTAAAAAATATTATTTTTTATTTTTTAAAATGGAAGGAGTATTTGTCTTAACCAATTTAGACATCCTGAACGAGTTTTTCGCCAAAAAAGGACTGTGTTTTGGACATTGGATGTCCAAATTGAATTGACGGTAATTTGACACTTAAAAAAGACTTTTTTTTTTAAATGGAAACTATTATGGGATTTTGCCATAAATTTTCCTTAAAATAATTAAATTCTTAATTTAGTTATGGAATGAAAGTATGATATGATCATTCCATCATTGGAAAAGAAAATTAGGGAATTCTAGATAATTTTGAGTATTTATTAGAACTCTATCCTCAAGTATAATTTTTATGGAAATATATACAAAAAGACCATTTACGCTGGGAATAAGGATGTCACAATCATTAGCAACCATTAGATTTGAAATTGGGTGGCTTGGGGTGTGTCACTAAGTTGGCACAAAGTCTAAAATAAAACTTCTTGAACTATGTGACACTCGAAGTTGTCGTATTTCATATCCATCGCTTAAGGTGATTGTGACTGTTTAGTACTAAAAGTGAATTCTCTTATAGTATACAATCCCTATTTTTATATGCCTTATTTTTAAAGTGGTTATTAAAAAAAAAAAATTTCTTACTATCTTATTGGGAAAAACTTAGAAAAAATAAATAATTAAAATTTGTCTTTGTCCTATTTATATATAGCAATCTTATTTATTAGGCATCTATGAGGATATACTACCTTTCACATCCCTATTAACTTAGCAAAATTTTTTAAAGAAAAAATTTTTTCATAATGATAAAAAAAATGTCATATTTCTTATTTACTTGAAAGAAAAATTTAAAACTTTTAAAAAATTAAATTTATCTGAATCCTACATATTTATAGAAACTATTATGAGGGCTTCATAAGGAGATATTCCTAGCCCAGATCTCCATGCACTCTTGATTAGGATTATCTATGGCACTAAATATTTTTTCTCTTTGTCATTTTATATGACTTATTTTCAACAGTTATGAAGAAATTAGTTGAAGTGGAAGGCTGCAATTGCTTGACGATGATGGACAAATGGACATCACTAGAAATTTAGTTTGTAGTTCTTTAGTTGCATATTATCAGGAATATTTGTATTTGTATTGGTTCAATCTTATTTGCAAATTGACTTTAAGCTGTTATATCTCATCTTCTGGGAACTTTGTGTAGGGGCCTCATAGTACCATCTAAGGAAAAGAAGAGAGATAAGAAGTCCAAGATCTTGAAAAAACTTACTCGTAGCAAGAGCGAAAGTGTTGCACCACAATCTCAGGGGCCACCAGGAGTCATCGGTTTATTGGAAACTATGCGTGTACAACTGGAGGCAAGTTCTCTTCAGGGTGTAATCCTTTGGATGGTTCTTTCGTTCCTATTCATCTTGACCTCTTGGATTAATTTCATCTTTTTTTTATTTTTGGTTAAATTAGATAAGTAGGGTCTGTTGGATGTTGATGTTGCACAGAAGTTCGAACATATGCATGCACCTTTGTCGATTATGAAAAGATATGGGTTTGATTCCAAAATTTCAGGATAATGAACTGGAAGCTGTAAATGCTGCTATCTTGTTAATTGTAAAGTGGATTTTGATTTTTATACTATTTTCATTATTCATCTTTGAGAGTAATTATCCATGTTAACTATTTGTCGGCGCTGTAGTGTCAATCCATGTTGCATGATTCATTTAGTGCGTTTTTTATTGTGGAAGAGAGGTCTACCAAAACCCCCTATTCCACGAAAAGGGCGTCTTCCTATTTCGAGGCTGTTCTTAAACCCCCATGGAATGTTGTGCCTCCATCTTACGGCTTCCTCAGGGGTGCAACAAACATGGGTGTGGATTGGTGGAACTTGGCTCTCCCACTACTGGCTACCCAAAATTTCCACCAAACAAACATGCCCTTAAATTATCTGATCTTCTATTTTTTTTTTCCAACTGTATCTGATATAACCTTTTGTCTAAATTCGCCTCCTTCCTTGGGAGTTTTATGGAGAGTCACCTATATCATATCTAAGTTCATCCTGGGCAAATATTGTGGTTGTTCACAGATCTCTGAGGCCATGGATTTGAGAACAAGGCGTGGTTTGCTTCACGCCCTTGTCGGTAAAGTGGGGAAAAGGATGGATACCCTCTTGATCCCACTAGAATTATTATGCTGTATTTCAGAGGCTGAATTTTCTGATAAGAAGTCATATCTACGTTGGCAAAAGAGGCAGGTAATAAATTGAAAAGCATATACTATAAATTGACCTATTTTTTTAGTAAATTTTGTTATAGCGTAGATAAATGTACTGAAGGGACTTGCAATTTGGAAAGTATAGGTGTACAGGTGGTGTTTTGAACCTTTGTTTCCATGCTATCAGTCTTTTTTTTTTTTTGGCTTAGATAAATATGCTAGAAGAAGGACTTCTGAATCATCCTGCCGTCGGATATGGAGAAAGTGGGCGTAGAGCAAGTGATTTGAGGCTTCTCCTACTGAAGCTAGAAGAAGCTGAGGTACATGATCGTGAGAGGTACCCTAATGCATTTTAATCTTTCTGGAGTTGCATGAAGTGATGAATGCAATATATATTTTAAAATTAATTCAACTTTTATGTTGAGGATTTGTAAAATGTATTGTAAATGTAGCATGTCATTGTTTCTGTATTTCGTGTGATTTACTTTAAATTTTATTTTATGTTCTTTACATGGAGTTAGTGTTTGTGGGCCGATTTTCGACCATTGCTTAATGTTGATAGGTCAGAGTTTAGGCAGCTATTGTGCTTCACTGGCTTTCTTACTAACCTTTTTGTCTTGTGCAGACACTTCCTTCTACTGCAATTGAAGTACGCCGTACAGAGTGTCTAAGATCCCTAAGGGAGATTGCCCTTGAACTTGCTGAGAGGCCAGCAAGGGGTGACCTAACTGGTGAAGTTTGTCACTGGGCAGATGGTTACCACCTTAATGTGAGGTTGTATGAGAAATTGCTCTACAGTGTTTTTGACATACTTGATGAGGGAAAGCTTTTACAGGTCGGAATTCTTGGTGCTCAAGATTGTGATCTTTAATGCCAGTGCTTCCATTACTACATTATGGACAATCTATCTCTATATTGTTGTTCTATCATGGCATTTCATAAACTCTTTGGATTTTTTCTCATAGGGAGTAGAAGAAATTCTTGAGTTGCTGAAATCAACTTGGCGCATTTTAGGAATTACTGAGACTATTCACGATGCTTGTTATGCATGGGTATTATTTCGACAGGTATTACACACTTAAGAAACATTATATTTTTGTTTTTCTTTTCTCTCTTGTACTATATCAAACTACCTGTATAATGGAATGTTATTTTAATATTCCTTCTTGCTACTAGTCTTTCAAATAAAGTTTGCATATGACTAGATAGTTTATTTTGCCAACATGAAGTTATGGGCACAACTAGGATATCAACTTTAATTAGAGTTCACTCTGTTTTCTGCTATAGTTATTGTTGTGCTTGTGCAACTTAAAACGTCTTTTGGTCTCCTACTTACTGATATATTTTGCATTCTTATATGTTTTAATTTGATTGAAATGCTTCTTCCCTGTTGTATTAGTTGTGCTGTTGAGAAACTCTTGATTTCTGAGTTTTTTAATATCCTGTATTCTTCCTTAGTTTTCTCTTTCTAAAATTTGAATCAAGACTTAAACAGAGTTGTATTGTGAGGTCTACTAGATTTTGAGCAAGCAGCATATCTGTTATGTGTTCAATATCGATTGCTTAACTTTCTCAACAGTCGGTCAATTTGCTTTCCATGTTTTGTCTAGGTAATCACATGTTCAAACCCAATAGATGAATCGTTTGACTTGATTCTGTGGCCAACATGCAGTTTGTTATTACAGGTGAACCTAATATGCTGCAACTTGCTGCTGAGCAAATGAAGAGAATATCTCTAAGGGAACAACGTGGTTCACAGGAAAGAATGTACTTGAGAAACCTTCGTTGTTCAGTTGAATGTGAAGAAGGTTCTCGAGAGTTGACCTTTATGCAGTCTGTCTTATTACCAATTCAAAAGTGGATAAATAAACGGCTGGAGGATTATCATGTGCACTTTGCTGAGGTTTGTTCATTAATTTAGTAGATTACCACCATTTATTTCTAAAGTTGCTTATTTGATGGGGGGTTTACTGCTGTTTAGTTATTAATGGGCATGACGTCGAATCCAGTCACTAATATTTAGGTAATTTATGTTTGGTTCATACTTAACCAATTACAAGCAAGGTTTGAAAGAAAGGTTTAAATACTCTAGGATTACAAGTCAATTTGTTAGTCCTTAATCTAAAAAAATTGCCTTAGAGTAATACTGCAGAGTGACACAGTTTTAAGGATTTTGTGAGTCTCAGAGTCCTAAAATATGTGAAAGAGCAATGCAATATAGCCTTTGAACTTCTCCAAAGATGGAGATGCTTCGTGAGTGGACAATTTATTATATCTCTCTTGGTGTGATGATGAACTCTGGTGCAACGTTTAGAAACTCGCTGGCCCTGGCCCCGTGGCGAGTTACTCGGGCGAGTCCTCAGACTTGCTAAGTATCGTGCAGGGCCAAAAGGCCTAGAAAATTAAATATATAGAAAATATGAAAAGATGAGATAAAAGTAGTGAAAGTTAAATAAAACCAAAAGCAACCTTAAAAAGTCCTAATGAGCTTATAATAGTACAGAAAAATGGATTTTTTAAGAATTGATTTATATTTGGGGACATTCTAAAAAATTCAAAGAAAGGAAAATATAAAAAATAGGGATTATGGCCAAAAATAAAATCACTCAGCTTTGCCAAAAATTCAAGTTATATATTAAAAGTTAATAATACCGTCCCATGTTTTTTACTATTTAAATTTTTTTGTGTACCTATAGTTGTACATAAAACTCGGGGCAACTCGGCCATCTCCAAGTGGACTTGGCCAAGTCTCATGACACTGATCTGGTGTTTGGCTAGTAGATTTGTATTTACATTAATCAATTAGTCCTTGGAGTCTAGACTTGTGCTTATATTATTGTTCATTGTATGTCTGTGGATGTCAAGGGGGTGCAAACAGGTGCTTGGGTGATTTGTTTGATCTTAGTTTTGAACCTATTGTAAGTGTGCTATTCGAGGGTGGAAATTCTGTTATTTGAAGGATATTCTCCTCAAAATTATGGTTCCATTGAATCATGATAGCATTTATACTCATGATTCTCTTTAGGCCCTTAACTTGGAATTTATAGTTGCTGTTAACATGTATAATTTCTACTGGCAGATGGGATCACCAATCTTCTCTTTGTGGGCTTGTTTATCAAAAAATAATAAAAAATATCCCATAACATCCAAGACACTTTTATCAATTCCATAATGCACATGATTTAATCTTCTTTCTTTGGGTAAAATTTTTCAAACTTCAAGGCCTCAAACTATACCACATGCACTTCTGATCATTGGATACTTTATGCACCAGAAATAGTTATTCCTGTGATCTTCATATTATTGGTCGCTGTTCTTTTAGTTGCATCCCATGCCTAACTTATTCTATAAAGGCTTTATGCGTAGTAAAATGGGGAATGGTATTACTCTCTGAAGATAGAATACTTGCATGGTATTTCAATATTTTTTTCGACTTATCCAATAAGAGGAAAAAAAAAAAAAGCCAAATCATTTGCCATCAATTTTTCTTTACCTCAGAAACACTTTCTTTGCTTGTCCCTGGTAGTACATTAATCTTAAATGATCTCAACAAAGGCTCCACCAAGTTTCCAAGGACAGAGAAACGTTCCTTGGGGTTGTGGATGCTATGGCCTCGGTGCTATGGACCTGCTTATAATATATGTGGTTCACATCTGGTGTATTTGTGCAGCACTTGGTAAAGCTTCGCAGGCATCACAGCTTTCTCGCATTTAATCTATTTAAATAATTCCCCAAGGCCATTTTTTATCAAAAAGGAAAAAACTCTAAGGCCATTTTTGGGTTTCCATATGGCCTTGTGCGAGTGACAAGAGTTGAGAGGCGAGGATCTTGCATGCTTGAACCTATGACTTTTTATGGGTGTGATCCATGTGCTTTGAGTCTATTTCTGGTCCTGCAGTTCATAAGACTCTCAACCTAGAATCCAACAAATAGTGTACTTATGTTTTGGATGTCTTAAGTTATTAATTTTTATTTTTTTCTTCTTTATGCGATGGCAAGGTTACTTGAAATTTTGAATTTGAATTGCTTCTTTATGATTGATCATCTGGATGCTTGGATTGGATGCTAGAAAACACTACACTATATTTTCTAGTCTGGGGTATCAATTGTACCCATGATTGAGAGGCTCCTTTGGTATTTTAACCTTGTAGATTGTTTGAGGTAGGGAATAACAACTCGGACAGAGAGTTGTGTCAAACCATGCCAAAATCAACTTGGAACCTCACTGCGTATTAATATACTGAACTCTGGGTTTACCTGAGGATTTGGAACTCTATGGTGAGTTGATGAGTTTGCCATGGTTTTCCAGATCTTGTTTGACTTCTTACTCTTGCAAGGATTTTTACTTTTTTTGGTTTTGTTTTATTTTTCTTTGTTTGTTCATTTCGGCTGAGAAACACTCAACATTTTGAGTTCTAATGTCTATTAGGGTTTTATGTTGGCGTTCCTCGAAAACCTGTTCACCGCCCTCATATTTTTGTAAATGTCTTCTATATGACTAGCATTTAAGATTTGTTTTATGATGTTATTTTTTACCTTTTTTGCTTCTCTGTACTTCAGAAAATGTTTGAGAACTCATGGTTTTGATTTGTCAAGTTGTTAGTTGGCTTGGTTTTGGCTTGGTCCAGGTCTGGAACTGAGTTTGACTTTTATACATTGATTTGAGGGTGCATCATATGCTTAATCAATCCCTTGAAAACTGAAGCAAATGGGCTGGTTGTTATCAGAGGTTAAGGGAAGAATTGGACCCTTGTTACTTTATTACTTAGCCTTCGGAATTGCAAATGTCATTGTGCAATTCATTGATTACAGTAATATGGATCCATTCATATGAGAGATAGGTTGGGGAATAAAGGGGTGCACATTATAAATTACGCTAATATAGATCCATTCATATAAGAGATAGGTTGGGGAATAAAGAGGTGTACGCTCTAAATTTTTATGCTTAGGACAAGTTTTATTAAGTGGTGAGTGGCCTCTTATATCATGTTGGAGTCCAGATGGACCTGATTTGTTTCCTTATTGCTTAATCTTTATCACATCCATCAAAGCAGAAATTGATTAATAAACCATCTTAACATTTAGATCTTACTAGTGCTCTTGTGATTATAAACAATTTGTCTTTTTATAATTTATGGTTTTGGTTTAGTGTTTTTATGCATTGATCACAAATAATTAGTTACAGTGATAACTGCTTGTGGTTTAACCTCGCTTAGACATGTTTCTTTCTTGTTCTACTTGCCATCAACTCTTGTTATCTGTACAATTAACTCTTTTGAAATTTATTTTTCTATAGTTGTATCATGGTAAGTAATTCATGTGCATGTCTATTTCTATTTATATATATATATATATATTTGTGATATCCTTTTTCCACAGTCTAAGTCCTGTGTTTACCATTTGCTTTTGTCATTGTTCTAGGGGTCAAACTTGATGGCAGGAATGGTTACAGTTGCAATGCTTGTTAGACGTTTACTATTGGAAGAGCGGGAACAGGTTGACTTTACCATCTTTGCTCCTATTATTTTCTTTATTGCAGCACATAATCGCTTGCTCTAAAAGATAGGGATTACTGTGCAATTTTGTGAACCTATTGGTATATCTATTCTTTGTTTGTTTCATAAATGTTATACTGCCTACCTACAGCGAGCAGGATGAAAACCTTTCATGTTCGTCTTATAATAACAGTTATCGTGAGCATAACTTCATGTAATGAATAGAAAGTATTCACACTTCTTAAGCAGTGAATAGAAAGTGTTGACAGTTTTTAAGCAGTGATTGCTGTTGCAACATCTATCTGTGTAGATAAGCTTTGATGTTATCTTTTATTGCATTTACATGAACAACCAACCAATCAACAAGTAACTGTTAGCGTCATAGTTAGTAGTTGACAGGCACACACTAGGAGTGTTTAGCTAGCTCTTTAACCAGCATGAATTAATATCGTGAGGGTGCAAAAAGTATGTGGGTGGGAGGGATTTTCTAGCCTTAACGGCTCCCATAAATTGAGGGATGAAAGTTTCAAAGTGATGCAACTGCCCTGAAAAACCTTTTAAACATTTGTATATATATTTAGGAGTTGTTGATCATCTGGTAGGGGGAAGCTTAAATTTATGAGCACAAGGGCTTCTCTATGATTCTCTCTGTCTCTCAGGAAAAAAAAGAAAGGAAAAGGGTTTTTCTTTGGTAAGTACATATGGGACAATGGCGCAATAGAGTTAATGTAGTGATGATCAGGTTCCAATCCCTCCATAGTAAACTTAAATCGACAATCCTTGGATGGATTTTTTGTGACGTTAATATGCTCCCTTTTGTCTGTGAGTTGTTAATTAATTGCTTGTGTATTGCAATTATGTTCGAGCATCAGTCTACCTCACATGCAATTTTTTGGGGGACATGGGATCTTCTCAACCATTGCCCTCCTGTTCGTGTTAGTGCCATTTTAAATAGCTTTATTCCTGACGCATTCATTAATTCTCTGTAGGCATCGTTATTTCCATTTTTCATTCTTTAGAATAAGGATGGACTGTAAAGTGCTAGTGTGTACATCATTTGGCATTTTATAATTTCCTGAGACTAATTAAATGACTATTCTCCAATTGCATGATGCAGGTGAGGCAAATAACAACTACCAGTGATCAGGATCAGATCGAGAGTTACATTTCATCCTCCATTAGAGCTGCTTTTGCTAGGGTCAGTGGTTCTTTACTGATGCTGATGAGATACTAATTGATGTCTGATGTGAGATATATTCATTTAGGCAAACACCCTCATGGTGTGGCACGCACAATTCACCTTGCATACACATAAGCTCTTTCCTACATGAATGTCTCTTCAATGTTTAAAGACATCCTCTACTCTTAGAGTGGTTCCCGAGATGCCGCCTTGATGTTTCTCTCAGCATCCTGTTTCTATATTTGTTCTACTTCCAGGAAGCTTTAATGGAGTTCCTGGAAAAGAAAAAGAGAGAAAACAGACATGGATGTGGCCTGGCCACAAGGGAAATCGACTCTGTGACTCAACTTGGTCATGAGAGACTCGTTGAGACTAGTTGAAGAACCAAGATGGTGCACTTTAGCTAGTCTCAAGTCAATTTGCGAATGTTTAAAGCTGTTATTAGAATGTGCACTGATATGTACAAATGCATCAATTGTGTTTTTAATTATATATAGCTGCCAAAGATCGGCAGGCAAAACCCCACAAAAATATTGCGGAAGGTCCATGATTAGTGCCAAAGAAGCCTCTATCTTAAAGCTGTCTCAGCCATTTTAAAATTTAAATAACCTCCTTCTCCTACCCCTTCAAATTCACAAAATTTCTTTTCCACCCCAGCACTGACATGAGACCCCCTCAATCCCTACCTTTCCAATACATGGTTATGGAATTATATATTAGATTTTTGGAAAAAATTGATGATAACTACATTATTGTTGTACTTTATCAAATAACAATGGAAATCCATGAATATTTTATCATCTCTCATTTGATGGCAGTCTCCAAACTATGCGAATTAGGATAGGTGTTTTAAGATAGGAAGGCGTATTATATTCCATCAGAGTACATTGTAGATACTCCAAGGGGCACTCCACAATTCAATGCCACTAAATCAAAACTTTTAATGTATGCACCTGATTTCAAATCCCTAGCCTTTCACTTTTATGGGTATTTTCAGATGGTCCTAGGAATAAGGTTTGGGGATCTCATGGCTGGTGTTCAAAACCAGCCCAAGCCCAGGCCAAGTAACTCGGGCTGAGTCCGAGTTACTCGGCCATAGTTGGGCAGGGTCCCAACCAAGCCAAAAAGTGTTTAAAATATAAAAAATCCAAAAATAGGAACAAAGCACATCTAAATGTGCTTAAAAAAGTAGTTAAAAAGTGGCTTTTGAAAAACTCAATTTGTGTGCAGGGGTATTTTAGAAATAATCCAAAAAGAAAGGAAAATGTAAAAATAAGTATTCATAGCCAAAATACTTTCCAATCTTTGCCAAAATGATAGAAATTATAGAAACCCATATTACAAATAAACGTCTTATTCTTTAAGAATTTTTATTATGTTCTTTGAATTTTTTTAAGATCCCTGAGTTGACCACACAACTCGGGGATACTCTCAAGCGAGTCTGAGTTGGTTCGCCTGAGTAATTGAACACTGCTCGTGGGTTATCCAATGGATGGGACTGATAAGAAGGAGCTTCGTCATGTCTCTTGCTTTTGAAGTTTGATGCATTATCTCTCTGCTGGCTATAACTGAAAATTCGTGTATGAGTGCCGTCTTTATTCAAATGACTAAAGCATCCCTTTATACTGAATAATTAACACATTATCCATATAATTCTTCTTCTTCTTTCATAAGGTGTGCCGAGTTATCCGCCTAGGTGGCCTCCTATGATGTTCCTTAGTCGCCACCTAAGCGATGCCTTGGCCCAAAGCCAGGCCCCTCTTAGGTATTAAGTGCCTGCCTAGGGCTGTTTGGTATGGGATGGCGCCTCGAACTCCTAGGCAGCGAGGTGTCCGAATTTTTAGACACTGATTGCATGCAAGTGGAGGCAATTGTGAATCTAAACTATTACTGATTCATACATATTCAGTGGTAAAATATGCATGTATGATCATCCACAAATAAAGTTACTGTGTGCTGAGGTAAGTTATGTTGCCAGTGTAGGTTGTATGCACCTCTTCTTATGTGTTATGTGTTTGGGAAGATATTGTTTTATCTAGTGCAAGGTTCAACACTTTTAATAGTATCTTGTTTTCTTGTTTATTTTTTGCTATTATCAGATTGTAGAGTCTGTTGATGCTAAAGCAGATTCTGAGAGAGAACATAGATTGACATCCCTTGCAGAAGAAGTCAGAAAACTTCTCAAGAGAGAGTCCACAATATATTCTCCTATTTTAGCTCGGTGGAATTCTCAAGCTGTTGTCATTTCTGCTGCTCTTGTTCATCAGCTTTATGGAAAACAATTGGTATGTTTAGTTTGACCTCTATCTTTTTTTCCGAAAGTAGTTTAGCAGAACCTCCATGATTATAACAGGATAACATATCAATCCCTTCTCTTTCTGGCTTCATGTGATGATCTCATTTAATTAAGGTGGTTTTCAAGGGATGTAAACTTACATGATCAAGCACTTACATTGTCAGAAACCTTTTCTTGACGGTGCGGAGCATCTCACTGAGGATGTGGCCTCTGTTTATCCCGCAGCTGATGGTCTAGAGCAATACATTTTGGGTCTTATTATATCTTCAAATGAAGAGGGAACGATTGATGCTGCATATAGGCAAAAGTTGGTGCCTTACAAGGTATGCTTCTTGTGCTTAATTGACATTCTTATCGAGAATTATTGCATTGATCCAAATTTGTGTTGCAACTTGTTATGAAATTGGATATCCTAATATTTTTAATGTTTTGTCTCTCTTGAATGGATTCTTATGGTTTCCTTGACATGAAGTTCCATAAATTTGGGTAATTTTCATATGGTTATTCGATGCATAACCTTGAAAGAGCTGGGTTTTATTCATTTAAACAATCAGTTCCATAACTGTATAGGAAAGAGGCATCAACATGAAAATCTCACCTGTGATCTTTATGTAGATGTACTACCAGATTTTTACAAGATTAGCTAATATCAGGTGTCAGTCTTTTTGGATGGACCTTCTCCTTGCAAGTTCTGCCATAAATTTGACTTTTTTAACTTCAAGCTTTCGAATTCATTTTGTTGTAGTTAGCTTCTTCGTTTTCATACTTTAACTGGTTGAACCATTCCCTAGGTCTCTCCTCCCTTAAAGAAGGATTCTTTGGGATCTAATGCCTTAAAGATAGTTGCTTGGAATCTGAACTGTGGGTGAGGAACCAATTTCTTGGAAAGCCCATTACAAAATGTGATCTCATTTTCCAACTTTGTGGGGAACTGGTTTCTTACATCATCCGACCATGTTTCTCATGTTTGTTATCCTCTTTGTTCTATTCTATCCTTTGTCCAAGTACAATATGCCCTTTGATTTGTCCATTTTTCTTGTTTTCCTTTCAAACACCCAAGAACTTTAGGAGCAAAATGTTTCCCAGATGTTTCCTCACTTCTTCCTTCTTGTGTCTTCAATTCCTTTTCCAGTTTTTCCCCACTTTTGTTCTCTTTCATGATCTCATCATTTTTTTAACTACAGAAGAAAACGATATTCAAACCGACATTTTACAAGGAAAAGTAGAAACATAAAATCAACCTAACGAGTGAGAGTTTAAAAATTTTTTTACATGAAAAATAAATTTGAGTAGCCCCGCAACAGTGCATAGAGTTTTTTGGGCACTTCTCGTCCTTTGAATGACTAGCTGCCATTATTTGTCCGTGGTTGTCAGAATTTTTCGCAAAGAAATACCACAAAACTAAGGGTCATTAGCTTTTTGTTCTTTAGATTTAGGAAAAGTATCCATTCTAATTCTCATCACTGCACACGGTAGTGGCATCTTCGGTGGAGCCCAATCTTCCACTGAAGTGGCCTGAGTAGGCTCTAAATTTTATTTTTTTCCCCCCACTTCGTATGCACCACATTTTTGGCCGATTGAATTTCAAGATGTTCATGGCCCAATACCTAGAGCCAAGACCTGGGAAGTACCTTGCCCAAGTTATCCTAGAACAGATTACTTTAGTAGGCCAAGTACCAGTCCAATACAACCCCGAGAATTCATACACCCTAGAAATTGCCCTTTTTAAGCCCAAATACTACAACCCATTTGAATCCTAACCAAATTAGGCTGATTTATTTGCCAATTTTTAGGGAATTTTGTAATATTTCCGATGGTCCAAGAATCACCTCATTTGGATATATAGTTTGAAAGTTAGATGAAATGTTAATTAACATGTGGAATCCCATTTTAGTTTCTATCACAGCATTTTTCACACTGTACATGACACAAAGTGTGCCCATGCATGGAATGGATTGTTCTCTGCTTCCAAAGACCTTCTAGAAGATTTAGAGACCCACTCTGTGCGTGTGTCCATTTAGGATAGGGTTTAGACCTAACAGATGCCAATTAGGAGGTCAAAACCTACCCATAGATTAAAAAATCCATAACTTCCATGACTGTTATTTAGGTCACATGATATATCAAATTGTTTTTTTAGGAAAGGTTAACTCATGATATATCAAATGGTTGGAATTTCATAAGCTTTCCAATGGAAGAAACCTATTTCGAGCTATCATTGGAAAGTTATAGGCAAATTGCTAAAACATTCCTATAGTGACCATCTAGTTTTCATGGAAAGTATTGTCTTAGTTCTAGACCAGTCCTCTAAATGATTTTCTCCTAGATTCTTAATAGATTTAGGTTAATTCTTTTGAGCCCTTGATTTCTTGTAAACCTGGCTCCCCAAAGTTTACTAGGGGCTCCTTCTGCCCATATAGATCATTGTAGAATTATCAAAAGCTTCCCCGAGCCTCTAAAATTAGGAGAAATTTCCAGAAAAGCTTTAGGGAGCCTTATAAATCAAGAGCGCTCCTAGAATTCTGAGTGATCTTTGGAAAGACTTATTGGCCTGTAAATTACTCAAGCCATAAAAAACAGCTTTTGCAGAATGTCAATAATGGAATCCCTTACTCTACCTTGATCACTCTAATCCCAAAGAAGAAAGGTGGTCTTTCCATGACCGACTTTAGGCCTATAAGCCTTTGCAATGTGATCTACATGATCATTGGCATAATCATTGCTAATAGACTTGAGGAGGTGTTAAACCATATCATTAGCCCTAATCAAGGTGCCTTTCCACAAAACTGAAGATTTTCATGCAAGCTTTAATTTCACACGAACTTATGCATTGTATGACTAAAAAGCATAAAGAAAGCACCTTTTGTTTAAAGATTGAGCATAAGGGACAACAATAAAGGGTACTTTTGGGGATAAGTTTATAAATTGTGTTAAAATGTGTATCACAGTACCTAGATACTCCATTCTCCTCAATGGCACCCACCCCTTTGGCTATTTAAGGGAAAAAATGGGCTTTGACAAGGGGTCCCCTTATCTCCATACCTATTCCTTACAGCCATGGAATGTTTTAACCTGTTTATCAAAAAAGGAATTGAGAGTGAGAGATTCCATCCACCTAGGATCCCTAGAATTGAAACCCCAACCCATCTTCTCTCTGCTGATAACCTTCTAATTCTTGCTAGGGCAAACACACAATCATGTCACTCCCTTCAAAGTAAACCCTTTATTGTTGTCCAACCCTGCACCGCCCATGAGAAAGCTCCGCAATAACAAAGATATTCTTTTTCAATTCCACCACCTATTAAAAGACTTGATTAAGTTTTTTTTCTTTTTTGAAATGTTACTTTTTGGTTCTACCCCGTTATATCTAGGTTTAGCGTTCATCCAATGCAGAATAACCCCTAAACTTTGCCGATCTATTATTGATAAAACCATATCCTAAACTCAAGCATGGAAACTCAAAATCCAATGCTATTAAGGAAGACTCACCTTGCGTACATCATGCCTTCACCCTATTCCAAGTCATTGGGGATGTGTTTTCAAACATCCATCTAGCACGATATACACTCTAAAGAAGCTCCAAAGGAACTTCCTTTGTGGTAATAACCAAGACCAAATGTACCCAAACCTAACTAAATGAAGCACCATATGTAAACCGAAGGGTGAAGGTGGACCTGGAATCAAAAGCATTAAGGATATGGACTTGTAGTTACTAGATGGTAATTGTCTAGTAAAACCCAATCTATATGGGCACAAACAATGGGAAGAAAATATCTTTGGAGCATATGGATCTCTGGAATAGTGGTGAACGAGTCTTGGGCATGGAAAGGAATATGAGAAACACTCCTACTAATCAAAAGAAATAGTCTATGGATCACAAGGGTTGGCTCTAAAATTGATTTCTGGTTTGGTCCATGGCTTAGTGAGGCATCTTAGCATGACTTGTACAGGATAGAAATCCTAAGGGACTTGGGCCTTGGAGGATCTTTAAGCATCTGCCAATTTTGGGATAGAAATGCATGGTTGCTCCCCATCCCTGTAAAAAGGAAGGGATTGTTGCCTTGAGCTAATATTAGAAAATGTTACTTATCTACAAAGAGGGGTTCACAATATGCTCAAATGGGTATCTGTAATGAACATGGAGAAATTATCTCAAAATGTGCTTGTCAAATTATTGGAAAACATGGTGCCAAAACTAAAATACTTGAGACGGAATGGAAGAAACCCATGCACCCTGGGGTCTCATGGTTTGTTTGGGTAGCTTATCAAAAGAGGTTACCAACCTCCATTGCACTACAAAAAGAGGTTGTAAAAGATGCACTCATGCACCCCTATGTAAAGTCGAGATCGAAGATCATGATCACTTCATCACTTGTGCCTTTGTGGATGAGAATCGGAAAGTGATCACTAGGAGATTCAACATTGAAGCTATAGTCGGCTCTAAAATCCAAAGTCTCCTAACAAATTGGTCCCAAAAGAAGTTCAAAATACAATTCCTTGCAAGCTTTGGAACACCACTCTCCCCACGCTAATTTGGGTTATATGGCAAGAAAGAAATCAGTGGGTAAGTGAAGATGTTCATCATCATACCATACAAAGGATAATAAGGGAAGTGACCTGGAAAATTTGAAATAGCATCCTAAAAGAAAAGTTAATCCCTTCAAAGAATTCAGAGAAACAATCATATATGAAAGATGAGAAATACCTTGAGTGATATGAGCAAATGTACTGCGGTCATTATGTCCATTGAGTGATATTGAGTAACTTTTAGTGGGATTGTAAATATCGTATTTTACAATGTAAGCTTTTCATAAAAATTACTGCAATGGATGGGCTTAATGTGCAAACCCCTGCCAACTTATCAAAAAGAAAGGGCCTTTAAAGATGTAGAGAAGCTTCTGAAGTGCAGGGAAGAGAAGGAAACCCTGACCTAAAGCCCCATTATTCCTGGATCCCTTCCTGCAATATTTCAAGCTCCTGATAGATCCTTCAATATTGAAGCTTTAATCCAAGCTTCCTTCAAGTTGTGGAGTCTTGGAGAAGACCAATATATAATCCATTAATCTGATCTATGGCCCCAATGTCAGGTGCTAGGCCTATGGGCCTAGCTAGGTGATTTTCTCTCTTTTATTTTATGTTCTTTTCCTCGTTTCATTTTAGCGTAGAGTTTTGTTTCTTTATTCCCTTCTATTTTTGATATCTTCTTTAAAGTTTTATTCCCTTTTAAAGTTGATATCTTGAATGTTAACTTGGGACTTGGTGAGAATGTAACTCTAAACAACATGCTGTTGCACCTACCACCTTGACCACCTCTGCCTAGGGCCCGTCCTCTTTAAGGTGTAGATTTGTTCCTCTTTAATTTAGTACCTTTTTTTTTGGTGAAAAATTCTATCCTCTTTTCCTTTCTCTAAAACTCTTTTATTTTATTCATTAGTTTCTCTGTTTAAGCAATGTTCATTATTTTTCTTCCATAGTTAGATATTTCATAATTTTTCTCTTTTGTTTCATACAAAAATTTTAAAAAAATTTATTTAAGGTTTTTAGTGAAGTCTAACCAGCACAGCTGACGATGTATAGAGGAGAGATCACAAGACTAATCCTCCTTGAATTAGGAATTGAGGATAAAAAGCCAATTTCTTTGAAGGTTGAGCTTTGAAAGATTTTTTAAGACTAAGTTTTCTTAGTTCGTGCGAGAAATTTGAGAGGGTAGGTCTCATATTTTTCCTTCTTGGATTTCCATACAAAGTTACAAACAACTCTGATGTTCATTTATTTGACCGAAGTGAACAATTTAATAATTCTGGCTTATCCTGCTAATATTTCTATCAGTGCTGAATTTGGTTTCTCAATGATCATTCCTCCAAGTTAGAATTATCCAAGAAAACTATATTGGTCTATGATAAAATATGCGGCTATTCCAATCGCATTTGCTTGAAGCCTTTGTAGTTACATTTCTATGTTGTTTCTTGAAGTGCACAAGGACCTACATGTATACATAAGCTTGCGTTTACTGGAATATTGAGTCTATGTTGTTTCCTTAAGTGCATAAGGACTAACATGTATACTTAAGCTTGCGTTTACTAGAATATTTAGTCTATGTTTGTTCTTCAAGAATAACTTTATCTATTGTCTATCCCACGAGGAATCAAATATTTAATGGATCATCTTCTTTTCTTCTCTGTGTTTTGGTTCCTAAGGTAATGCAGTGGGCCTTCAATGCATTTAAAGCAGTCAATTAAAATTTGATTATGCGACTTGGCCATCCATATATCTATATAGTTCATTTTTTTTCTCCTCAGGTTGAAAGTGTTTCAGGAATGCTGGTACTGCGGTGGGTGAATTCACAACTAGGAAGAATTTCTGGATGGGTTGGACGAGCCGTTCAACAAGAGGTAGGTTTCTTGGAGTAATATAAACTTCATATGTTCTTGTAAAATTAAACTCCGCCATGGCCAGTTCCAAGCTGGTCATGCTGGTTTTGAGCCCGGGTGAAGGTGTGCGGTTGTGTTAGGTAGGGCAGCCAGCGTAAACCTTTGCCGCATCTTTTCATGAATCTTGAAGCCGACCTCAAATAGTTGGGGTAAGACTCGGATGATGATGATGTTCTTGTAAATTAATAGTTTGATGGCTTATGACAGTAACAAAGAAGTATGCATGATACTAGTTCAATTTTGAGACAACATTAAAATGAGGAATAAACATGTTATAAATATGTTAGTCTTGTTCTCCTTTTCTTCCCTAGTGTTACTTTCTATGTTAACGTCTTTCAAAGTTATTGTCAGAGATGGGAACCTTTATCTCCTCAACAACGCCATGGGAGTTCGATTGTGGAAGTATACAGAATCATAGAAGAGGTACTTTCTTGCTTGTATTTACTGTTCTTTGATCTTGTAAAATAAGAGCCTGGCAACAGATTACATATTTCAAACCAGTCTCTTGGTTCTTGCTATTTTGAGTGATTTCTGTTGCATAGTCCAATATGATGTATTCTAATTAAGTCAAACTCTTTGTAATTTCAAGTTATTAATAAAGGAAAAAAGATCAAAACTATTTTAGAAGGATTTGGACTCAAACCTCTCACATAGTGTTTGTGAAAGTAAGACCTTTTCTTAAAGAAAGGATTTGGAGCTCAAAAAGTGCCTGAAATCAAAACCTGCTCCAAAACTGAATCTAGACCATCTACTTAGGTGGACGATCAAGGGAAATTCGTGCTTCAAATCATCCCTTTTTTTTGGAAATTAATGAAGCAAACTGGATTTGAGAAAATTTTCAATCACACAAAACCTCCTAACAAGGTGTTTTCACCATGGTACCAACTGTAGAATTTGGTCCCCCATGACCACTACATACATACCCATTAGTAAAATGTTGAAAAACCCAAACCAGATCCAAAATGCTATGCTGGTGGAATATATATATTTTGAAATGTTGCATCGGTCTCAGAGTCCATAATGAACGAGGTAAAGGTCATTTCAACTGGACCTGTTGGTTCACTCTAATTCCAAAGAATAACATATTTGCGTGAGAAATTTGTTAGAGCGCTTTTTGCTATCAAAACCATAGTACACCATGCTTTGGGTTTTGCGAGAAAATGGTTGCAAAATTTCTCTTCTCAAAACAATAAACAGGAAATGATTGGATTCCAAAGTCTAGGTTTTCTTTTTCGCCTTTGAGAATTCTATGTATTAAAACCAGAGCTGTGACCGCGAGACTCCATTTGGAAGATAAGCTCTTGAGCATAAGATGATTTTTCCTCAGGATGTCCTCACTAACTTCTAAGATTACTGTTGTCAATTTGAAATTTTCTTTTACTTTTATTTGGGAGATAAATGTTTGTCGATCTTCTTGACCTTTTGCTGGTTCGAGATCAGGGTTCTTGGGCCCACCATGGCCAGAACTCTCTTTATACCAGAACACTATTTTTATTCAATTGTCACAAATCCCAACATTTACTGATCATTTTTTTTCACATGCTTTCTCGCTTGATTTAATCTGCAACTACTTAATACAATTTTTGAAATTTTCACCAAATTATGATCTAGCATTTACATTCCAAAATAAGAACCTATATCCTGAGAAGCATTACTGTAGTTTCCATAATTGTAATTAACAATGTAAATAGGTCTCTTAACCTGTGTTTTACTGCTCATGTTTTAATATGTTTGCCGTGTTTGCCTAAAATAGCAATTGGGAATGCACTTGATAGAATGGGTTTGTAACCAACATGTTATGCTTATCAAGAACCAAACTAAGAACTTTATGGTGCTTATTCTATTAACGTTATCTCGAGAGTTAGTTGTATTCTTCAATAACGTGAGAATGGCCTGGAATGTTTGGCTGCTGTGAAATCTGGATGTGATGTTTGGGAGGAGAATGACACTAAGATATATGATTATGACAGGAACTTGGTAAAATCTCCAGCAACTGCAAAACATATACCATGTAAGGTGTCATTTATAGAAACTTCATGGAGGAGATTATATTAAAATTAAAATATGGAAATTGGAAATATATGAATCTAACTTCACAGGTAATATGTATGCTTAATTTGAAAATATGTTCAGTTCTTTATTCTAGGCTGTACCTAGAGCCGTATTTCACCAAGTGCCTGCATGGAACAAATTGACAATGCACACAGAGACGTTTACATTGTTAGTGTGAATGCAAGAATTGGGGACACATGAGGAATGATGATAGGAGAGCATATTATATGATTATGGTGGATCACAAGAGTAAATGTCGTTAAGATTCTTCTGTGGTTAAGAAACAATAGAAAACAACAAAAAAGGATGTAAATGGGATAGGGTCGTCAATGCCACATATTAAGCATTGTTGACATGCTTCTCTAATTCTTTAGGATGGATATGAGACAGGTTGCACAAAGTTTAGACTAAAATTACAAGTAGGATGAGGCAGTTTGGGAAATCTTTGATGCTTTGAAAGTTACCATACAGAAGCATGGAATAGAACCAATCTGGAAATACAATTCCAAACACAACTCCAATGATTTTGTTGGAAAGTAATGAAAAGGAAACTTCTAACTAAGTTTCTTACAGGTAGGATAGTAATGGTGAATAGTGGCATTCTAGCACAACCAATAACATACGATGCCATGAAAAACATGATACTGTTATCAAAAAATTATAAAACACGATACTCCTTTACAAGGTATGCCGTAACGGGATAATTTTAGCTTCGCAATGAAAGCATACAAACCCTTTTTTTGGTTGAGTGTAGAATACAAACATTCGTTTAACACTAACTTTATACACGCCAAAAAGGCATCTCTTCTCTAAGAAATTACGTATCTCATGTCTGGGTTTCTAGATACTTGGAATATGAGTGCATACTATGACCTAGTCTGGTTTGTCTATTTCAGCAACTTGCATGACCCAAAAGTTTGCACACTAATCATTCTTTGAGTTATGGACCTATGCTTGCTTAGAATCTATTTATACTTGTCTAATTTTTTGTGAAGATCCTTTATAAATGATTTTGGAGCACATTCATCATTTAATCTTTTAATTCATTTTTTTTTTAATATGTTGATTGTATTGAACTGAAAGTGAGTACAGAATGTGAGAGGAGAGGGGGCAGGATACCCACAGACGGGTTTCGCCCAAAAAATAGGCAACCCACAAACGGGTGCCCTGTACAGAACCAAGGTATATCAAAAAAGCTTTACATGAATTGAGCCATTATATCAATTCCAATCTGTGATAGGAACTCGAGCAGAGGTTCCCTAAGGGTTGCTCAGGTTGGCTTGAGACAAGGTTGCGGCTGCCTTTGCTAGTAAATTAGCGTCACCATTTACTTCTCTCCAAACGTGATTCCACAAGATTTGTAGATTCCTTGTGAGTTGACAGATTTCTTCGAAGATGCTGTCGAGCCTCCAAGGGCAGGGGGCAGTGCCTGAGGCCCAGGCTATAACACTGTAAGAGTCGCCTTCAATGGTTACATACTGCCCCCAGCTAGTGTCTAACGTCCTGAGGCCTTCTCGGAGGCAGACGCCTCCACAATTGTTGAATCAGAAACACCAATGGGAGTAGAAAAGGAGCAAAGGGTATTGCTGTTGTGGTCGCGGAACAAGCCACCTATGCTTGCATGGCCTGGGTTTCCGAGAGAACACCCGTCAAAGTTAAGCTTGATGTGGCCCACTTTGGGTGGTTTCCAAAGGGAAGAGCGTGGCGGCCTCTGAGTTTTGAAGGAGAGAATGGGAGTCCAGCTGTGGAGAAAGTCGAAGTGGCAAAGATTTTTGAACTGTTTGTGGTGAGTGGCCTAGAAGATGACTGCTTCTCTGATCTTGTCTACTAGGGCATTCACCGGAGATGACTGGCTTCAAAAAATTCTGGCATTTCTCTCCGTTCAGATTGTCCATAGGGTGGCAGCCACCAAGGGCTGCCACAGCAGGGTGCCGGCCTTATGCCAGGGGATTGAGAAGGTAGAACTGATGAGATGAGGGACATCAGGTGGTGTCACCCACTGCCATTGGAATAACTGAAGGATGTCAGCCCATATAGATGAGGCTACCATGCAATGGATGAAGAGGTGAGCATTGGTCTCCTCGTCCTCAGTGCACATGATGCATCTATTTGGGATTTGGAGACCCTTTCTCTATAATTGATCCACGGTAAGGGCTCTCTTGGATCCAGTTATCCAATTGAAGAATTGAAATTTGGGGTACCAAAGGGATCCAAACTTTGTTTACAATAGAAATGGGACAAGCAGGGGGGACCTCTGGGATGAGCTAGAGAAGAGTAGAAGGAGGCCACCGAGAAGGTACCCGAGTGTTTGGGGGCCCAGATGAGGCTATCTTGGCCTCGAAGGGGCAGGAAGACAGAGTTTAGAGTGATGGGAAGGGCTGTGAATTCTTGAATTCTGGGTTGGAGAGTGGTCTTCTGAGGGTAGGAGGACTCCACACCCTCCTGTTGCCCATCAGCTGAAACTGGGATTCCACAGTTGCATTAAAGTCACTGGCCAATAGGAAAATTCTAGGGTATAGGTCTTTAAGGGGTGTATTCTCCAGCCAAGTAACGATCCAAAACGGTGTTTTGTCGCCTTGCCTAGGCCTGTACCTAATCATGGACTGTGTGCGTAAGAACGCGGTATGGACTTCCATATCCCCGAGGAGTTGCTATGCGCTCGTCAGGAGGGGACCCAAGAGGGGTCAGAGCTGCAGTATTTCGAGTTGATCACCTCCTGCCAGAGATGGTTGTTTTGGGTAGCTAAGGGCCACCACCATTTCCCAAGTAGAGCAAGATTATTTTCTTTGAGTGTTCGAATACCCAGCCTCCCTAGAGATTTAGGTTTGCAGACATTCTTCCAAGATATAAGATGGATCTTCCTATCCCCATTACTGGACCACAGAAAGTTTCTCATTGGCTGCTCCAAACGGTGGGCCACCAATGATGGCATATGAAAAAGTGACATCTGAAATATAGGGGTGCTAGAGAGAGTGACTTTAATCAAAGTAAGGCGGCCTGCTGGAGATAGGAAAATCTGCCTTTCCACCCTGCCAATCTACTGATCCCCTAGCAGAACATGTATACTGTACTAGTGCAATTTAAATTCGTTTTGTTGTTACATGCATAAATACAAATACGTATAGATACATAACTATGTAAATTACATACATAGATTCAAAAAAAAGAAAAGGAATCAGGCTTGGGCTTGAGTGGTTAGCAGCTGACATTTAGCAGCTCTACATCTCAAGTTTGATTCCTACCACTGAACTACCCCCAAAAAAAAAAATACAAAAAAATTACATATGTATGTGCGCACAAACACATGTAATGAAATAAGCGAACAACGATTCCTTTCGGGCTCCTGCAAATTGGGTTCTTCAAGCCAATAGAAACTTCCATCTGCACACCGTGGTGTTGCCGTCTAATGGCCCTGGATGCACTCCATGGTGTTGGCTGCTTCTTTGATTCTATGTTGATAGGGGTCACTCAACTGTATAGTATCATATTTTCCTAGATGCTTTTCTCATATCCTGGGAGTCAAACAGAACATCGTTTTTGAGTCAAGTCACCAAGATTAGGAAACTGGACATCTTCAATTGCATCATAACTATGTCCCTTATATCATTTTACCTACTTAATATGCTCTGGTTGTCACTGTTATCTGTAAGGGCAGTCGTTCCATTTGGCCCTGAGCTACTTGCATATAAAACAAAGGGCTCCATTATTCAGGAAATGAGAATCAACTTTGTCTAAATCTTAGGTGTAATAATTTTACCATTCGCTTCTCGTCATTTGTTGATGGAGCATATTGATGTGGAATTCTGAACCACGATGCACATCAGATGCATCTTATGTCTTAAAATGAAAGGCACCACACCACATTTAAAAATTGCAAGTTTTTTTAACTTGGGTTCAACTTTGAGATTGGCATCTGTTCTTATCCATTTCCTGTCTTTAATCAATCATTTTTGGGAATTGGGGGTTTCAAGCTAGATACATGAATGAGCAAGGTATATGCCTTTGTTTCTTCTCCTCATTTTGTTGATATATTTTGTTGGTCTTTTGTGTTTATGTGAACTTGTGTCTGCTGTTCATTTTATGTGATGCATTTGATAGGGCTGACAAATCCTTCACTTGTCCCTTTACACTTATAGTCCCTTCATATTTTGGCATTAAGTGTGAGCTCCTGCTCTACGTCAGTAAAATTATTTTTTATGCCCAATTAGGAACAATCATGTCACTACTCTACTGTGCTTGTGGATTTGATGCAACAAATTTGCAATGGGTATCTGTGACCAGGGTTTATTTTAGAGAGCATATCTCATGTTATACTAGAACATACTTTGAAAATTTTATGCATTACACTCTACTAGTAGTCATGAGAATACTTTGGTTGTACATGATGGTGTACATATACTTTGTAATTAATTTAATGATTATTTTTCTTAGAACTGCTGTGTTGTTTATGGTCTGAGATATTTCTTGTTCATCCAAGAATTTACATGTATCATGTTCTTTTCAATCTATAGTCATTTGACATTCATGATTTTGGATTCATTGCTTAGGTGTTTATCTAGTGAGGAGCATGTGTTTACATTTCCATCCATTCTTCAACTGTCAAGAACTTACTGTTTGCCTTGTGAACAGACTTTGGAACAGTTTTTCACTCTTAAAGTGCCGATGAGGTTGGGAGAATTAAATTCTCTGATTCGTGGCCTTGATAGTGCAATGCAAGTTTATACACAGAATATTGTGGACCAATTAGGTTGGTGTGGATTTATCTCAGTTCTTCTGTCAACGTTTACCATTCCATCTTTTGTATTTAGCATGTCTTGTTCTTTAAGGTGTTTATAACATTTTGAGTTTTTGGTGATTATTTTCTAATGCTTTGACATCATGGAATAATTAATTTACTATGCTATTGTTCCATTTAAACTTGGGAATATGAATAACAAATAACGGTGTTTGAGAAATAAGGTTTGTGAATTTCTAGATAACACTTGGTTTCAGCAGATTAGGGTTTTTGGAGCAGGGTTTCCCTCGGTTCAAGGGTTCCATGTAAGGTAAATAAAAGATATATGCTCATTTACTGAGTAGTAGTTTCAGATATACAAATGACTGATTCTAGAATCAGTTTACTTAAATGTACTTCAGTTGTACAAATGAGATAAGGAATATATAGACATTGAAAGAAAGGAAAAATATATGACATTACCTTTCTATATCATTAACGGTTATAAACAGCTCCTTATAGACTGTTCAATGTCAAGAAGGGAAGCCTGGGCGTCCCTTTTCGTCTGCTCCATGCCCAAAAAAATTTGATGGACTTCTAGTGGAGGAATGAAGCTCCCCACCTGTACTTTGTTGATGTTGGGCGGTTGAGGGACTTTGTTTGTATCTGTGCAGGATATAAACAGATGCTATAGCATAAATTCCTTTGTAAGAAATCTATAACCAAACTGTCCTTGCAATAAAAAGGGCATACACTCACAATCTAAGAAGTTAAGGTTTTAACGGTGCAACTTGTGGAGCCTGAAATCTCATGATGTTCTTGGTGGACGTACATTTAGACTTGAAAAGAAAGGGCATTCGCAAATGCAAAAGTACAGTGGAGAATGTAATCATCGCTGTCTTGATGAATGAAAAATGATTGCTTTGGCTTAGAATCTGAAGTTATTACTTGGAAGTATTTTCATATATGAGAATCTTCTTTTCATTAGAAAATCAGGTAAAATCCACATACCAACAATCTCTTATCTAACATTAGGTACCAAGTGCATCACTTTGTTATAACAATAACAATAAAATTAAAAATAAACAACTTAAGCTGTGAAAAAGACAACTCCAGTTACACAATCACATTAGCCCGTCTTTTTTTTTTTCTCAATTTTGAAGTATCTATATCTCATTCACATATATGTTATTGAATTGAGAATTAGTTTTGAATATGTAGTAACAACTGTGGCATACTATCAGATGAATATTTCTTGAATTATTCCATTCACACTGTGACTAACTCTTGTATCACTGAAACTTCTGCCCAAGAGTTGACATATATTCAAGACATTACTTCAGCTAGTATAATTCCTTTTTTTCAGAGTTTTTTATGGCACTCCTTTATGTTCATACAGGTAATAAAGAAGATCTGATACCCCCTGTGCCAATTCTTACAAGATACAGAAAAGAAGCTGGAATAAAGGCTTTTGCTAAAAAGAAATTAATTGACCATCGGTTGCCTGATGAAAGGAGGTCTAGCCAAATTAATGTGTTATCTACTTCCAAACTCTGTGTTCGACTGAACACTCTTTATGTAAGTTGATTGCCCATTGATTCTTTTACTGAAACACTTCTCTAAATTCTTCTTTGCCTGTCCATGTTATATATCATGTTTCCATTTATTATATTTTGGCATCTTTATTTGATGCCTTATAATTGTGTCCTTTATGTCTAACATATCTAAGATATGGAATCTTAAAAGATTCTTTGTTTTGTGCTTTTTTTGTCATTCTTATGTAGTTAGTCTTATATTCTTGTTCATTTCTTGGAAGTAGAATTCCCAATTAATTTAGTATCTTGATTAATCCATGTACAGATGTGTAAAACTATTAAAAGATGATTACCAAATGTTCAAGACAAAAACCAATTCTAGCTTTCTTGATTTGATGTTGAAATGTTGTACTAGGTTGGTTTTTATGAACTCTACTTCATGTAATAAAAAATCCATATTTTGAACGAAAGTTTATTGATGCTATACTAACAGCCGGACTCTCATTACATGGCATATGTTATATTACTATTCTAATATTTTTTCTTTCTTGGAAGCTGTTATACTCTGGAGAGAAAGAATGGCTTCTTTACAGCCCTCTAAATACATATAAAGAAAACTTGACAAAAACCGTAAAGAAAGCTTACCTCCATGTACTCTCTTCGCGAATTATAGATATGCCTCAGGAAGTCATAGTGTCACATGATGAAGTACAGCAGAAAATTACAATCCTTCCGATAGACATTCAGTATTTAAATTTAACTGCTAAATTGGCTGGAATAAGTCTTTTGGTCAAAATGCAGGATTCTTGCATGTGGGATAAAAACTGCTATTTTATTAGTTTTCATCTCACACAAAAAGGGCGACATTTTTTTTAGTACAATTGTAGCATTCTCAATTTGCACAAGCTAGGATGCTTTCTATGGATGTTGTTATGAACTATACAGTATAATACTACATGGGACGAAATATGCCTGTAACTCTGCTAATGTAATGGATGTCATGTGTAGTCTTTTACCATATCCACAATTCGTGTTGCTCTTTCTTTGAAAATCTAATGGTTTCCTTTTGATGGTTACAGTATGCAGTGAGCCATCTAAGTAAACTTGAAGAGAGCATTCGAGAAAGATGGTCAAGGAAGAGGCCACGAGAAACTTTTAATATCAGTATTACTCTAAACTGTTATGCTTCAGTTTGTTCCATACTGTGCCAGTCAATAATTTCAAAAATCTTTTTTTTTCTTTTTTAAACAAGGTTAACATTTATGGATTTGTAAATGAAACATGTACACTAAAGCGAAATATGTGTCTTACAAGTCAGTGCTCTATGCATCCAATATCAGCGTCACAATGAACCAAAAAATAGGAAGGAAATATGAAAAAAATCAGAAAAGGTTGGACAGTGCTCAAGAAATTGCCTAAATGGTTCTAGCAGTCCCTGAGGTGGCACCGTCTTTTGTGAGCGCATCAGCAACTGCATTGGCTTCCAGCAACGTATTCTGAAAAGGGGATACAGATGGGCCCGCATAGGTCAGTCAAGTAAATGCTTGACCTGCCAAGGAGAAGGAAGGATCTTGATGCCCTGGGAATGATGTTCCTAGAATCCACCAAAGATGAACCCCCATTTGGAATGAATCTTTTGATGCATCATAGTCTTAGAGTTGACAATGCTGATGAAGCATGAAAAGGAGGAGCGGATTCCATTGGTGTTCCCGGAATCCCAAGGTCGCACTCATTAAAATTGAGTTGGATGCACACCTGGTCTGGTGTCCTCCAAAGGGAAGAATGTGAAATCTAAATAGGGTGAAATCAAAATGAGTGGAAAAGTCTAAACACAAAGTTTTGTTAAATGGTCTGTAATACAATAGGTCAATCCCCCTCATCAATTTATTTAAATGTTTGCTGGGCAAACAATACTCAAAATATGGTGTACTGAGTTGTTCATATGAACCAATTATTTGGGGACTAATTTCCAAGAAACAATTTGAGCTTTGAAATTATGTCTTTGTAGAATAGTGTATGGACAAATCATTGGCAATATCTGTAATATATATATATATATATATATAATCATGTGCTGTATGATGCTTTGAAGTAAATCATTAATGCATATTGCATTTGCATTCCTAATAGACAGTGATAAACAAATATCCCTTTCATGCATTAGCATTGGTCCACCTTCAATCTTATTTATTAAAAGTATAACTAGTTCACAGACGGGCTAATGAATGAAGAAGGAGAGTTGAGTTATTTACGTGTTCAGAATACATTTCCCAGTCTCCTTATCTTGTTTTTCGCTTTCCTGTTCCTGTTACATGTCTACCGCCCTTTTGGTAGTGTACTTGCCTGAATAGATGTGTGCTTTTATCTTTAGATACAAGGTTATTATCAAAACGTGTGTGTACGCATGTGCCCGTGCACGTGCATGAATGCATTTTGCCACCCTTAGATGTCGAAACAGCTAACATGCTGCAGCTCTATAACACTGTAACACCCTTAGAAGTGTTAATAGTCTCAGCATCAAGGAAGCATCAAGTTTGAGGTCGGTGCTCTGCCTCTGGTAAGGGCTGTTTATTCAGTCCCAACTCTTACGCGAGCTTTGGCAAAAACTGGACCTCCAAATTTTGAGATGGCAAAAGCTGGACCTCCAAATTTTGAGAAGTAACCATGACTTGGCCACGCCATATTTTTACATGCATCCCAGCTAATTATTATAACTTCATTTCATTCTTTGTTCATAATATTGGTACATGTTTGCTATCATCTTGATGTATCTTGGTCGTTTGGTTTTGGCTCATGAACTTACATCAAATTAGTGGCATAATCTGTCTTGTTGATTGAAGTATGCAGAAATGCAAAAGATGAGGCTGTGTGTGTTTATTGCCTTTCCCATTCAATTATGCCGTGCAAGGAGGAAAATTTTGTAACTATTCATAGTCCTAGTTGCCATATGAAATCAACGTTAACATAATAAACTGAGAGTGCATATCTCTTCTCCAACTCCTCTGCATGGCAGCAATGTGGGTGCTACTCAGATTGCATATAACCTGGTCTTTGATGGGTGCTACTCAGATGGGCCTCCTCATTGAGAGAGCAGCCATTAAGCAGTATCATGGTTGTAAGTTTCCCCTCCCTTGACCAGAGAGTAAACATGTTCCCTGAAGCCGTGACTATTTGCTGACCATAGGATCCTAGGGAAAGCAGTCTATTCTCGATGTTAATCTGGTTTGAGTCTGAGGGAGACTGTATGTGCTAATCAAGTAAATTCTTTATGTACATAAGAGCTTTTTTGTCTATTGGGTCTTCTAAGCTTTTTATTGCATAAGGTTTCTACGAGCCACTTGACTCAATTCATAGTTTTATTCCTTTTCTAAACCCTTGGATTGGGTATGACTTTCTATTTTGATTAGTTTTATGTCACCACATTAGATGAGCTGAGTAATTATTAAAACATTTAATTACATTTGAAGTGTGACATTTGTGAACGTTTTTTTTATTTTCTTGTGCATTCGAAGTGATGTGCAGGTTAACTTCTTGATGAATAGAGATGGCTCAGATGTTTTATGCCTTATCAGTAGTAAATCTAAATGGGGCACATTTAAGCTTCTTTATGGATTTGCATAAGAAAGATAGTCTTTCTTCAGCGTCCTACACGGTCTTTTACTTACTCAAAAATTATTTCTAGGGAAGTCAATTGATGAAAATGCGAGAGATATCACAACACAAAAGATGGATGCATTTGATGGATCAAGAAAGGATATCAATGCTGCCATGGACAGGATCTGTGAGTACACAGGTATGGTACTGTAGTTAATTTTTTTACATTTATCCTTAGTATTTGCTTTCCTTACAGCACTCATTACCTGTGATGTTGCAGGAACTAAAATTATCTTTTGGGATTTGAGGGAGCAATTTATAGATGGCCTATACAAACCGTGTGTCTCACAATCCAGGTTGGAAATGCTTATTGAGCCCCTTGATACGGTAAGTTTTTGCTTCTATTACAAATATATTGTAATCCAAATTCCTAAAGCAAATATGGTAGTGGAAGTGTGGACGAACAACATTATACACACACACACACACACACATATACACAAAAACTATCTTGATGAACATATATGCTAATGAGGTCGAGGATTGAATTGGGCTTAAGGAAATTGGCCTACGGTAGCAAATGTTGGAGAGAACAATAATAATTGATTCTAAGGCAATACCCAAAGCATCGGGAATCTTGGGAAAATGAGTCCATAGAAGAAAATAACACACATCTCCTTACAGAAGCAGGTTAAATAGAATATGGCAATGGCTAAACCATAGTTGTTGGGATTGGGAGCCAGAACGGTATTGGGATTGCGAGCGTGGGATCATGAAATGCTTGAAGATCCCTATGGTTGGGAACACCATCCATATAATGCACATGTTTGAGATCGAGATCCCTAAATGTTAGGGATTGAGATTTCAACCAGTTGAGGATGATCCCGTCCTTTTGGGATCTTGATCTCAAATTTTTGAGGATCTTGCTATCAACCTTAAAGTGTATGATAATCTAGGATTATGTATACTTTTTAAATAGAGATCTCATCATTTATAGCAAGCAAGCAATGCAACTATATTAAAAGTAAGTTTGTGCTGCTAGCTGGATATAAACAAAGAACATCATTAGTTTGGTTGTTCAATCTCTAACATCAGGAACTGGGATCCCTAATGGTGGGGATCGAGATCTCAAAATTTAAAAATCAAGATCCCTGAGAGATCCTTTCCAAGAGCAACAAAATCGAGATCCTAGAAGGGATCGCCTACCAAACTAGGCGATGCTGGTAACTATGGGCTAAACTACCCTCTAACTTGCCGAAGTCCACAAATATATCCATACTGCCCTCAAACTGATGCATGTGTATCAATCATGCAACACATGTCAAGAAGGCCATGCAATTCACTCATTTCTCATGTCTTTTATCATCACGGTTAATTTATCTCTGCTTTTGACATTTTGGCATTGTTTTTACTGCACTTGCCACTGATAGTATACACAACTTGCTAGACCATGAACAATTACCTTGAATCTGTTGAGGAATATAGGTTACATTTACGTTATGATAAACTAGGTCTCTCTATGTGTTTCTGAAGGAGTAAAAGAAGAGGCCAGGTTTCAAATTCATACTCCTTGTCTGCTCATGCCCTAAACAAGCTCTGAATGCCCCTTAAGATTGAGGTGGGAGTTTGGTCGAGTGTTAAATAAGTACCTAAGTGTATTCCAAGCATGTGTTTTATTGTCAGTTTACTCTTACATTGTATTTCTCCCTGATTATTGTATCATATCCTTAGAGATGAAAGACATTGCCCTTCTCTCACAGTCACAAAGTTATAATGATTTAGATACCTAATGTGGCTTAAGTCATAGAGTAAGCCAATCCTTCTGTTCAAAGAAAATGTCTTCTGAAGCAATAGGAACGCATAGGGATATCCATTTGTATATGATAACATTAATATCAGATTGTTCTGAATCTATACAAAATTTGAAATATGAGAGAGTGCTCATTAAGGTCTTTCTTTTGGTTAAGTGAGCATTCAATAGGTTTCTATCCCATTTTGTTTGCATGAAAAAATTATTTTAATTGCTATGACTTTGGTATTAGATTAAAATTCTCATTTAGATAAATTCACACTGAACCTTTCAAAATTTATTTTATAATGTGAATTTTTTACTTGATCATGTTCCTTCATCACTTTGGGCTTCAGGAACTTGCTCAGCTATGTGATGTCATCGTTGACCCACTTAGAGATCACATTGTCATAGCCCTTCTTCAAGCGTCACTGGTTTGTAAATATATTGATGTTTTTGTTTGTTTACCTTGGATTTCAAAACTTGCATTTCATAAAAGTTTTTGTGGAAGTTTCAAAAGATAACTTCTTAAATTGTTGTTGCTTTGGCAGGATGGCTTGGTTCGAGTAATATTAGATGGGGGACCATTGCGAGTATTTGTTCAAAGCGATTCCAAAGTATTGGAAGAGGATCTAGAGAACCTAAAGGTACAAAATATATGTATATGTTCTCAATAGCTTTGTTTCTTTGTAATACTGATATCCTTCTAGAAAAAGATGCTTCTTCTTCCAATGCATGTGGACTATGCAAACTGACTTTGCTAGTTTGTGTTTTGCACAACTATTATAAAAAACAAAAATAAGGGGAAGCATAACACAATTCATATGGTCAAAATAAAATCCGTGACAACGAAGTTGTTCACTGTCCAATCAATTGGTCGGATGGTGATGGAAGTAAAGACCATACATTCATTTATTGAAATTGTATGTTCTGAATTACTCCCTCCAAACCAACCAGCCTTTATAGGAAGGTGAAAAGCACTAGGTCTTGAAGTGATTATGACCTAATCGAACATATTATGTGGGTCAGAAATAAAACCTTCTGTTGTGAATCAGTAGCTTTTTTTATTTCTGAGCTTAGTGGTTCTGATGAAACCAAGGTGGGGTGAGGGAGGATTCTCATGGAATTTCAGAGATATTAGGCATTAACAGCTGGTGGTGCGTACTACCGCAAATTCCATCCATTGAACTCCTGTTTATTGTGATTGCAGGAATTCTTTATATCTGGTGGGGACGGGTTACCACGTGGAACAGTTGATAATTTAGTGGCGCCCGTGCTTCAGATAATAAGATTGCATGGCCTTGAGGTTTGTCCCTTCCTAAATATAGAGTTCAATTGTTTGACATGAGAGAGAGAGAGCGCCAATTCGTTCATGCTGCAAATCCATTAACCCTGCTGCCTTTTAAAATTTAAAATGCAGACTCGAGAACTTATTGATCGGTTGAGGTCCGCAAGCGAGGAAATGGCAAGCGGTAACAACCTGCAGGTTGGCAGGAGCAAAATTGCCGGTGATCCCGACACTCTACTCAGAGTCTTGTGTCATAGAAGCGATCCAGAGGCCTCCCAATTTGTCAAGAAACAGTTCAAAATACCCAAATCTGTTGCTTAGAGGGCTCTTATCATCTATAAGTTCTCATCTTTAAAGAACTTTCAAATCAGATTGGTAGCCTGCTTGTCATTTATTTATTTATTCATTTGTAGTTTCTTTTTTTCTTCTTGATGGCATTATATCTGTATTGAGGCTGAACAATTGAAAGTCAGTCAATTCGTGGAGGGGGTTAATAATTATTGAAGCAATGATTTTACTTTTTTATTGGGATTGTATACTGTGAGATCATTTACTTTTTTTATAACCCTAAGTAAGGTGCATTTTAAAAATCCAATAAAAAAAATATTTGGGTGGTGGAAAACATTCAGATGTGCGGATATATATAAAAAAAAAAGAATTTCAAGTCATAAAAATAGTGCATTTGGTAAAAATTTATCTAGACCATCTATTTTCAATATTTTTAAAGATCTACTTGGCCTATGTTATAATTACAATTGATCATGGATTTCAGTTTTTGTCTCCGGATTTACATCTTGCAAAATATAGCGGCGCCTGAGGTGCGCACTTTAAACAAACCTCTCCCTTAACGGAATAAGCTTTCTCAATGAAAGAGTTTAACATATTGAAACTCATGGTTTCTTAATAAAAACGCAATGCCCGAAACAATAAACCCGGTTTAAAAAACAGATCACTGACCCGGATCGGGCACCTCAAAAATTCATCCGGATGGGTGAATCGGCTAGCCGGATCGAAAATCGGTCGAATCTGTCGGATTAAGCTTTAAAAAAATTTAAAAAACTTATTAAAAGTTATTATAAATGTTGTTTTTTAAGAATTCAATAAGAAATCAGGGTACTACATTATTAATTTTCATTTTTTTTATATGAATATTGAGTTTTTTTTTCTCTGTATCAGCTTATTTTAACAAAAAATAGTTGTATTTTTTTTAAAAATAAGAAATGAGTTTTTTTGACAAAAATATTAACTTATTTTAACAAAAATAAGAAATGGGTTTTTTTGACAAAAATACTTGTATTTTTTTTATAAGAGCTTTTTATTGTTTTGACAATAACTTTTATTTTTTATTTTTTTGAAAAAAAACCTTTTATTTATTTTGACAAGAAAAAGAATTGAAAAGAAATTTTCATTTTTTTTATACGAAAGTTTTTATTTTGTAGATAAGAAAAAAAAAATTTGACAAAAAACGAAATTGATAAAAACCTTTTATTTTTTATTTTTTAGAAAAAAACCTTTAATTTTTTTATAAGAAAAAAATTTGACAAAAAAATTCATTTTTTTATACGAAATTTTTTATTTTATTGATAAGAAAAAAATTTGACAGAAAGTGAAATTGATAAAAACCTTTTATTTTTATTTTTACAAAAAACCTTTAATTTTTTGGAAAAGAAAATAATTTGACAAAAAAAAGAAAAAAAAAATTCAGCTCGTCAACGAGAGGAGTCAAACCCGCATCCGTCTCACAATGAGGACATGCAATAACCGGTATAACACGTGCAACTTAGTGTTTACAAAATCGTTAACAAAATATATAATATATGAACATTTTAAAGTATGACCTATTCACATAGTCCTACATCGAAGAGAGAGAAGCAAATTTATATGAATAAATAGTTCTTTGTACTCACCATTTGTAGTGCGTGTGAAGCAATGAGATTGCACGAAGTGTGTGGATTCTGAGCACACATGTGTGAAAGAACTTAGGGCCATGCGAAGCTTGCGAGGACCTCGTGGGTTCTCGGTCTTTGAAGATTTTTGCCTCAAAATTTTCCAAATTTTACAAAAATGCCCTTTGATTGCAGGCTCAAATTTTACAAAAATGCCCTTTGACTGCGGGTCTTGACGTGATTTACTGTGTAGAATTGCCGACCCTTTGACTGCGGGTCTTGACGTAAATGCCCTTTGACTGCGAGTCCTGACGTAAATGCCCTATGACTGCAGGTCCTGACGTGATTTACTGTGCAGAATTGCCTGCCCTTTGACTGCGGGTCTTAATGTGGTTTACTGTGCAGAATTGCCGGTTCTTCTCTAGAACCGGGCGATTCTTGGATTTACAAAAGAACCGCCTCTCTAGAACCAAGCGATTCCCGGCTTTACAAAAGAACCGACAAAAGATGATCGATTCTCGATTCGAATCGGCCAATTCCGTGCCGACTCGGCGATATTTAAAACACTGGTTTTGATTCCTTGTTGATTTGAATCGGCCGATTCCATGGCGATTCGGTAATTTTTAAAACACTGATTTTGATTATGCGCCGAATCGACGATTTTTAAAACATTGATTTAAACATTATGCCAAAAAACAGTTGAAAATGGTGTATATCCCGTATGTCCCAAGAAATCCTCCCAAATTTTGTGGATGGATATGGATCCATTGCGGAGGGCCCAGGCCCTTTATTCAACTTCATTTGCTACTACTACTGTCCCTTGTGGAGGGCCCAGACCCTAGATTCAACTACATTTGATCCATTGTGGAGGAGGGCCCAGGCCCTAGATTCAACTACATTTGATCCATTGTGGAGGAGGGGCCAAGCGCATGATTCATGCCCACTACCACTATTACTACTGCTACTAATCCGGGGTATATACCATTTAAATATGAAATTAATACCCTATATAATATGGAAAAATATAAAATAAGGCCATTTACCTTTGGTACAAAGTGGTCACATTAATCTTGATCATCAGATATGAAATTGTGTGGCTGCAATTATTTCAATTACCAAGTTCAAACTTCAAAATAAAATTTTTCGAACTTTGTGACTCATCCAAACTATCAATTTCACATCGGATGGTTGTAAGTAATTGTGACCACCTTGTATCAAAGATAAATAGTCACATTATATACAATTGCATATAATATTACTTTGTTCGTAGTTTGATATGTACTATCTATTACTACTACTACTAATGTGGGGTATGCTATCTAATATGAAATTAATATACCTTATGTAATATGGGAAAAATTTATATAAGGTTGCAACCTTAAAATGTGGAATTATATATGCACCTCAAAAATCCATCGGAAAAGGTTGTTTTAATGTTGAAAGATCATCTAATTGATCATCTCGACATCGAGATGTATGAATATATGTAAAAAAAAAAAGATTTTGAGTCCTAGAAATAGTGCACCTTGCAACACATTATCTAGACCGTCCATTTTCAAGATTTTCACATATTTATAGATCTACTTGATTTTAACCATATTTGGAGTTTAAAATTTTATAATTAGATATGAAAATTTTTAGATAATCCTAAGAATTTTTTATACTAAAATTACATGTTATAATAAATTTTGGAGGTGCACCTAATTGGATAGTTTAAGGTTGCAACCTTATAGAAATGCACCTATGTAATATTACAAGGTAGTATTTGTAAGTTTTAATTATTTTTGGCTAAAGATATATGATTGTAGCAAAATTACTCCGAATGAAGAAAATATAACCTTTTTTTTAAAAAAGATAAACTTATATGTAAAATCACTCATACAATTATTATAGATAACATAGTGACGAACTCTATCAAATAACAAATAATTCATTGTCCCATACAATTTTATAGTAATTGTAAATTTACATTAGTGTGCAAAACCACGATTCTGGGATGGGACTTGGCCCATGCCCAAGCCAAGTAACTTGGGCTAGGTTCAAGTTACTCAGCCCGTGTCCAAGCAAGGCAAAAGTGTTAAAAAAATAAAAACCAAATAGGAAAAATATGCTTAAAGTGAAAATTAAACAAAGAAACTTTAAATGAGGATAAAAAATTCGTAAAAAACAGATTTTGAAAAATAAATTTGTGATGGGAGTATTTTAGTAATAATCCAAAAAAGGGAAAAATATAAAAATAATTATAACCAAAATATTTTTCAATCTTTACCAAAATGATAGAAAACATTAGAAATATATTACAAATAAATTTCTTATATTTTTTGATTTTTATAATTTTTGAATTTCTTTTTTAAGAGATCTCCAAGGCTGACAACCTAACTCGGGATACTGTGCACGGCCTCCGAGTTGGTTCGTCCGAGTTTTCCGCGCTGATTTACATTAACAACGAGCGCGTCCAAACAAGGCATTTCTGTAAATAAAGTGGAAAGTTATGTTGTTTCTATCAAGAGGAGTGTCATTTTAATTTCTTAAGTACCGCCAGAGGGACAGCTTCTCAGGCCCTGCGTTCCAATGGCTTCTGCACCAGTGGAATGGCACCTCAGGCCCCCAAACCCTAAAAATCCCATTGTTTTCTTTGATATAACCATTGGTTCAATCCCAGCTGGCAGGATTAAGATGGAGCTTTTTGCTGACATTATCCCGAAAACAGCCGAAAACTTCAGGTACCATTTTCTCTCAGTCTCCATGATACTTCAAACAATTTGATCTAAATTGCTTTCTTGTTTTTATTCGATGCAAAACCCAACTGAGTTCCATGATTTTGGGCACGAATAGTTGTGGGTTTTGTCCACTGAGGAGAATCAGATCATTGTTACTTCTGAATTTTGTTTTCTGGTTAGTTCTCTGCAAAATCAATTTGATTTATTTGGTTTGAGGAAATATGTTGCCGCTTTCTTATATGGAGGATGAGTAAGCTTTATAACTTTTGATTTGTGGTTATTCATTTAAAAGAATGAATTTGTTTGTTCATTACCTGTGAAACACAGTGTTGATTTCATTTTTATGTAGGAAATATATTTTTCAGTTCCGTACATTGATAAGTATCAAAGCTCTGTAACATGTGAGTGTACTTGTTGTTTATATATTTTAGTTTGTTGTTTATATAATCATTGAGATTTCAACTTAATCCTGCTAGATTTGGCCGTGTCATCAAATTTCTAAAGGAAAGTTACATAAATTGTATGTACTTAATAATGTTGTTATTGATTCAGATCACTGGTTGGGATTATGGTATGTTTTCATCACTTGTTCGACTGAGTGAGACTAGCTTTACTCACTGTACGAAAGAAGGAAAAAAGAAAAATGAGAAAGAAATCAGATTTCCAATTTCTGATTTATAAGATACTGAAACGATAAGTTTAATAAAAAGATGAAATTGCGAGGATGTATGAATAACTTTAATGAGTTTCATATGAATCTATTTAGAAGATCTAATGCAGGGATTATATAATTATAATACTTTTCTAGTTCCTCTTTTCTGATGAATATTCACGACTTTGTATTAAGTTCCCTCAATTTTGGGCGAAGTTTTGTTGATTTGAGTCAAGCTTCAGGTATAAGTAACATCATATGTGTCTGCACCAAAACTATCATACCTTCTGGTTCCTTAAACAGAAAAAGAAAAATTAAAATGACTGTCCATCTGTGGTCTATTGTCTAGTTTATAATCAAACAGTAGAATTATTTTGGCCTAATTACATTCTAATGAAAAAATCGTATGATTCTTATTCATTGGTACTTAATCGATACGAGTAATTGTACCACACACAATTCATATATGATACATAGCCAAAGCATGATGCACCCCGCTTAGTTCTCATTTAAATTATCCTTCAAAAGGCAAAAAGAAGAGCCCTCCATTTGAATGAATAACACACAGATAAGAATACACTCCAACAGCTGGTTATTTAGGCATTGAATGGTGTGACGGTTAGTTCTCCTGCTCTTGCCGGTGCTTCCCTAAGTGGTCTTGAGATCAAGTCCTCATCTCAACCTTTTGAGAATGGGCTAGGGCCTTGGCGGTATTACCATCAAGCCCTATGATGAAGTCTCAGGCTCCCTATGATGAAGTCTCAGGCTCCATTCTCACCAAAGGGTAGGGGTCCAAATCCCCACTGATTTGCCTATTTTTAGGAAAAGAGCTCGGGCTTAATTGGTTAGTGCTTGACGATTTGCAACACTACGTCCTAGGCTCAATTCCTACCAAGGGTAGGGGCCCTCTCCCCACTGACGCACCCAAAAAAAATGCATAGCCAAAGCATCCATTGTAGGTTTAGGCCTGGTGATGGACCAAGTGCTCTGGCTAAGCCTGGGCCATGGCCAGCTTATGTGACCAATAGGGCCAGGCCTGGGCCAAGCAGATCATCCCGGCATATCTTGGCATGGGCAGTTTTTGGTCCGGCCTGGTGCCAAGCAAATATAAAGGCCTGGCCCTGGACTAGCCTGTCCCTCCCAAAGGGCCCATAGAACTCTGACCCTCCGGCCATATTGGTTCTCAATGATGAATGGTGGAGATCACCGTGGTGGATTTCCATCAGAGAGTCATTTCCACCAGCTATCCTTGAGTAGGGGTTGTGGATGCCAAGTTATGTATAATGGATCATACACAGTATCATTCACAGGCTCTGTATGGTTTATTTTCCCTTTCAATAATGGTCTGTGAAGCTCTGAGGAAGCCTATACATATTAAAAATGCTGTGAGTAGTTTAGCTTAATAAATTGCCAGTGTCAAGAATATTTTAGCTTCAGGCTGATCTCTTTATTTTACCGCGTTATCATTTTGAACTTTTACTCTTCCCTTTCTCTGTAATCTATTCATATCAAACATTGGCTCATTTTCTGAAACCCATTCTGTGTGATGGCAGGCAATTCTGCACTGGTGAATATAGGTATGTGAAAATATTCTGTCTTCTCATTTCGTATTGTCTCTTCATTCTTTAAATCCAATTAGGCCACTGGGTTTATCAGATTTCCTTCAATCTATTGGAAATTCTTTAAACATTTATTTCATGAATTATTGGGATTAATATGCAGGAAAGCAGGAATTCCAGTTGGATATAAAGGATGCCAGTTTCATCGGGTTATCAAGGATTTTATGATCCAAGCTGGTGATTTTCTGAAGGTTTGTGATAATTGTAAAAATGCTTCAATGATTGGTTTTTCGTTTCAGTTCTATTAATTTTTCGAAAGGCATGGAATCCATCCCTTGATAAAAAAAATCCCACTTATATTGTAGCTAAGTTAGTTTTCCATGGTCCAAGCCTATGGAGAACTCTTCAATAGGCATATTTGGTATTTTGAATTCTTGATTCATGGCTATGTTAACTAGAACAAAATCTCTGTGAGAATTTGGTTCATTTCTTCTTTTTAATTATTGTCTTGTCTATTACAAGTCTATATTGTTTGGGTTATTGAAAAACATGCAAGCATGATTATAGATAGTCAAGTGCTTGTTTGATGTGTATATCAAATGCATTTAGCATCAGAAGATAATATAAATTAATTTTATTTTAAAATACAAAAATTAGGAAATAATATAGATAGAACATGATGATTAATGGAATCTATGGGATGTCTAGGATTATTCGTTTGAAAGAAATCTCCTCCTGCTAGGTTCATAAAAATAAAATCAATAAAATGACTTTTAAATCTGAAAAATGACTACATATTTAGCAAAAGGACTATAAGTCCATCTATCATAAAGTAGGTTTTTGAATGATTATTTATTTCTCTTTATATAGATGAATACCTACACAATCAATTTATTGGTATAAGACTTTGGACCCAAGAAAACAAAAATTATAAATAAAGCAATGTAGAGAACCCCAAAAGATAATGAATTGCATAAAACTAATGTTAAAAGAAAGAAATAAAAATAAAAGTACAATAGTAAATGATGATGTAAATGCTGAAAGAGAGGCTCATATGGATTGGCTCACTCTGTAGATCTCATCTCCTAATCTCTCTCTCTCTCTCTCTCTCTCTCTCTCTCTCTCTCTCTCTCTCTCTCTCTCTCTCTCTCTCTCTCTCACTCACTCTCTCACTGCTCTCTCTCTCCCCACTCCCCAAACTCTCTCTTCTTCTGCACCACCTCTCTCTCTCTCTCTCTCTCTACATGCTTCTCTTTCCTCTAGGATCTTATTTTGATTTTATCATTATCTTTCCTCCATCTCTATCCCTAGTCAAATTCTTATATTCAAAGGAAATTATACCTTACAATCTTTCCCCTATATCTTTTATCTAAACTTGACTATATTTATTTAAACATAGTCCTTATGTCCCTGATGAAATTACATACTACAATCTCTCCTTCATATCTTTATCTAATCATGAATTTCTTATCTGTACTTGAACTTTGAAAAGGAAAATCCCTTGACTTTTCAAACTGCCACACCCACACCCTAAACACACACACTCTGTCTCTCTCGTGTGTGCATGTGCGATTGTGTGGTCACCTGTCCTACCCCTAATTGTAACTTAATATATGTAGAATATCTTGAAAAACTTGCATACTAGTAAAAGGCATTGAAACGCCCTTATTATTATATTATATATGCTAAATAATTATTATTTTGAATCTCGAGTGAAATGATTTTCAATAATGATATAACGTGTCTAGTGTTGTAGGCTCTTATAAAACACGTTAGGAGTTCTAGTTATTTGAAAAATAGGATAGTGACTATGATTTGTGCTTGTTATCCTTAGATTGCGTTGAATCATGAGTGTCTTTTATGTCATTGAAGTTTCTAGTAAAGAATAACTGGAAAATACAAAAAATAATTGTATGTGGAGGTCTAAGTGGAATCTAGACCTCGTACCAATGCGAGTCGTCCCAATAACAAACTCACTCGGGCATCAACCTCCTTTTGGCTTCACGATGTTCGTGATTAGAGATGGCTAACAAAACATTGCCGATTCTCGAATTCCTTCTTAAGAATCAGATGGCCTCTATGGAATGAATGAGTTTCCCTAGGCCGTTTGATTATAATTAGAGAGAACTCAGAATTCAAATGGCCCAGTTTGCTTCATTTCTTAACCTGAGACGTCAGTTGTCATTCTGACACCCTATAGGACTACTATTACCTCTACCTCAGAGGCTTTCTTAACGTGATTTGAGACGATCGTAGCATCGTAATGTAACATCTAACCACTTCACCTTCTCATATCTATTCCCAAGCTACTTTCTGAAAATTTCAACCCCTATCAGAGTTGAATTTAACAAACTTGCAGAAAGTTTGAACCCCATGGATCATCCATCCTTACTCCTTGAAACCCTATTTGTTAACAAATTAAGATGTTTGTTTAATTCAATTTTGATGGGGTTCAAAGTGTTGCTACGACTTTGGAACTATCATTGGTGTCAAAATTGACAAACTTAATTAATAACTACTATAATTCATTATTACCATCAAAGATAAATTTAGGGAAAATATCTCCATAGCCCCTATTTTTAGGTTTCATTTATTGATAAACCCAAGGTTTCAAAAGATACCTTCTAACCCCCTGGCCACTTTAAACTTATTTTTAACCTAAATAAATGTGAGAAAGACATGCTCTTCCTAAACCCAATCCTTTCTCTCTTCACTTATATACCCTAAACGTCTCTCTTTCTCTCTCTTCCTGCATCTCTCTCACTCTCTCTCCTCCCGTGTTTCTCCAAACACCTCTCTCTCTCCTCCGGGTAACTCTCACTTCCATGAAGCCCTTCTTTCTCTCTAGAGGAGGCCATGGCCATGGCTGAAACCCCTGCAAACGCCATTAAAGTAACACCAAAGAGGAGAGAGAGAAATCTTAGGCCCGGCACTCCCTTCAAAATCTGTCCCCTTAGCTGCCTCTCACTATGCTTTTTGGGTCTTTCGCCTTTGCTTGTGGTGGCCACATGTAGAAAGAGAAAGAGGGCATGAGAGCGCCATTATAGAAAGCTCACTCCCCTTCAAAACCTACTCTCTTTCATTCTCCAACCCCTCTTTCTCTCCCTTCAACTATGGCGGCTACTGCAACTTTCTCCCTATCCAAGCTCTCCTCTCTCTTTAGAGAGACAAAATCTCCCACCTCACCTCACCACCACTACCGTTTTCTCTCCTCCGCCTACTCCAACCCCAAAAAATTCTCTCTCTCTCTAAAAGTTGTCCTTTCCAACCCCCCATCGACCCTGCAACCCCGACCACCCACCAAAAAAACCTCCATTCCCCTTTGCCCTCGAGCTTCATCTCTCGCTTCGCTGATGAAGAGCCTCGAAAGGGAGCTGCCATTTTGGTTGAAGCTCTAGAGAGAGAAAATGTTCAACATGTTCTCGCCCATAATTTTAAAAAGCGGACCACCTGGTGCCTAGGTAGCCGCCTAAGCGGTCCAGAAGGCCTCGGTGCATCGCCCAAGCCTAGGCTGCCAAACTAGGCGAATATCCTTGAGCACCTGCCTGAACCCGCTTAGGCGGCCGCCCGGGGCCTGCACCCCTCCTAGGGGTGGAAATGCGGCTCCTTGAGGGTATTTTTGGGTCATTTTCTAATAATAAAGGGGAAAAATTGTGGGTTTTAGGTTCATTTGAAATCTAAAACCCATTAGAGGCTATTTTAGAGAGAGAAAAAAAACAAAATTCTACTAGGCCTGTCAGGTTCAGGGCGCCCGCCTAAGCACTGGGCGGCCTGTACCCCCCGACCGCCTAGGTGCCACCTAGTGCTTTTTGAAGCACTGTTCTCGCCTATCTGGGCGGTACTTCTCTTGAGATCCATCAGGCCCTGACTAGGTCCAAAACCGTTAGCAATGTCCTTTGTCGTCTTGAACAAGGTGAGATATTTACAGTCGAAGGCTATGTTTGATCTACTGGTAAGGTGGGTGTTTGTATAGCCACCTCTGGACCGGGAGCCACCAATTTGGTTAGTGGGTTAGCTGATGCAATGCTTGATAGTGTTCCTTTAGTTGCCATTACTAGTCAGGTTCCTCGAAGAATGATCGGAATTGATGCTTTTCAAGAGACCTCTATTGTCTAGGTAACCAGGTCTATAATGAAGCACAATTATCTTGTTCTTAATGTTGATGATATACCTAGGATTGTTAGAGAAGCGTTCTTTTTAGCTTCATCGGGTCGACCTGACCTTATGTTGATCGATGTGCCTAAAGACATTCAGCAACAAATGGTGGTGCCCAATTGGTATCAACCCATGAAAATTCATGGTTATATTAACCGGTTGCCAAAAAATCCTGAACTTTCTCAGCTTGAACAGATTGTACGTTTGATTTTGGGATCAAAAAGGCCTGTTCTTTATGTTGGGGGTGGCTGTTTGAATGCTAGTGAGGAGTTGAGGAGGTTTGTTGAGCTAACTAGAATACCAGTTGCCAGTACTTTAATGGGGTTGGGTTCGTATTCATGTTCAAATGATCTCAGCTTGCGTATGTTAGGAATGCATGGTGCTGTTTTTGCAAATTATGCTGTTGATAAAGCTGATCTTTTGTTAGCTTTTGGGGGTTAGATTTGATGATAGAGTGACTGAAAATTGGAGGCTTTTGCAAGTAGGGCGAGTATTGTTCATGTCCATAGACCTAGCTGAGATGGGAAAAAACAAGCAACCCCATGTTTCTCGTTGTGCTGATATCAGGCTGGCTTTATGTGGGGTGAATCATTTGTTGGAGGAGAGAGAAAGGAGTGTGTCCGATTTGTTCATGGAGAGAAAGGAGTGTGGGTTTTGTGAAGCTCGTAAAAATGAGGGGATAGAGATGGGAACGTGAAGAGAGAGAGCAGGAGGAGAGAGAGTGAGGGGAGAGAGATGGGAAAGACAGAGAGAGAAGACGTGCGGGGAGAGAGAGAAAGATAGAGAAGTTTGGGAGGATGGCTTTTGGAAAAGGCATGTCTTTTTAGATTTATTTGGCCTAAAAAAACAGGTTTAAATTAGCTCAGGGGGTTAGAAGAAATAACATATATAATTTTTATGCCTCCAAGATATTAAAACTTTGGGTCTATTGTGAAATGAAACCTAAAAATAAGGGGTATGGAGATATTTTCCCATAAATTTACTTATACCTAGTGAGTTTGTTAACAATATAGCATTGGAAGGAGGAAGGGTGTCTGGCAAAAGTGAAGTTGAATTTAACAAATGTATGAATGACCACATTATCCATCCTAAGTTTTTTGGAGCAGGGCAAGGTGCAAGAGCAGGAGCCTACGATTGACCCATATCTGAAGCTTTGTAACTTGGGAGCGACGTAACGAGTGACTTGTTATATGTACTACACATATAAAGGGCCGTGTGTGTCATCATCATCATCATCATTTTTAGCCTTTTTCGTAATTAATTGGGGTCAGCTACATGAATCATGGTTCTTCATTCTGCTCTATTATAGGTCTTATCCTCAGTGATGCCATAAGTCCCCATATCTTTTTGGATTACTTCCAATCACATCCTTTTGGGCCTACCCCTTGCCCTTTTCAGTCCTTCCACTTGAACTAACTTGCACCTCTTATAACAGGTGTCGTACTTGGTCGGCACACCTATGGCCAACCCACCTAAGTCTACTCTCTCTCATTTTATTGTCTATTGGTATCACGCGTAAATTCTCTCGAATAGATTTATTTCGAATTCTATCCCTTTTTGTTTTGCCACTCATCCATCTCAACATCCTCATCTTTGCTACACTTATTCTATGGGTATATTGTTTTTTGTCCGCCCAACATTCCGCCCCTTGTAAATATGGGGCTGTGTGTATGTGAGAAAGAATTTCAAGGGTGCTGGTCTTGCTCCAAATGATGCATCAACTGAATATGAATCTCCAACCTGAACTATACACTCCCAATCTGCTATTGATAGCTCTTTGCCATTGGATTTGCCATCGTACTCTAAGCGGGACATCGTACTCTAAGCGGGGTAGATCCCTATCATGCTGACCAGGATTTTCCACCAGAAACGTATCGCTTTGAGGGGTGTGGGAGGGCATTGGTTATTTACTAGCCGCTGAGTGGCAAAGTAAAGAGGGTGAAATGCTTCACGAAAAGAGTTCCAAGGTCCGATCATCCCTAGCTCGTTCAGTCTACTCCATGTAGCAACGAGCTTTGCCAGTGGTAGCTGCCCCCTAAAGAGCGAGTTGCTTGTATGCATAGCAGAGCAAGTGAGGAGCAGCACTAGAGCAGTCATACTCCCTTCACCCAAATTAGAACTTTATTTGGAGTGCAAATAGAAAACATCAGAAAACCCCAAATAGTCCGGACAAGTTTCTAATGATGATGAAACAGAAAACATCTCCAAGCTTCCAAGTGGGCTTCTCAATCAGGATAGAAGAGAGATTTATTGATAGGCTTGTGTCTGTTCGAACCTAAGAAGTTCTCAAAGTATACCTCCTCAATGTGATAGAGCAACCAACCTGTGTTGTGTTGCAACAATGGGAGGATGGAGTGGAAGTTCAGCAGGAGGAATGGAAGATACCCCCGTACTTGTTCCAACTGTGAGATAAGACCAGGTCACCAGAACCTCAACTATCTACCACCATCATATCAGTCGAGTCGGTACAATTCATTTTTATCTATAGAGAACACAAGAGATCACTTATGATCTTGCGAATGGAGAGGGATTCAAACCCCCAGGTATTCTTATCAATACTTTGGTTTTCAAGACCGACTCTTTGAACTGCTGAGACATTCATCCCTTCTTGCTAATGAGATACGTAGACAACCAATGAGGGACAGTCACAATAAAGTTTTCAAGTCTTTTTCAGATGTAATTGAAGGCAAGATGGTAGATTTGAGATACACTACTTGGTAAACAGGTCAATTATTCGGGTCGTTCTGTCATTGCGGTGGACCCTTTGCTTTCATTACATCAATGTGGATTACCCAAGAAATAGCAATAGAGCTCTTTCAGACATTTGTACTTTGACTTTACTCGAAGACTTTTGATAACCTACCCTTTCATCGACGACTGACTCGGCTCATACGCTCAAGGAAATAGGAAAGATATTTCATTTAACCTGCCATGTCAAGGGAAACACGTTTTGCATATCGAATATCAGATCTAGAGTAACTACACGAAAGACATATCTTTAGTTGCCTAGCTAGGAATAGGAATAGTATATTTGACTACTTCAGGAAAGGCTAGCTCAGCTTGAATACATATTGTCCCTGCTAAGATATGAATACTGCTTGAGTACAGATTGGCTTGGCCTGGATAGACTAGCTGTGTATTATTTTATTAAAATGATAATTAAATAAATATGTAATGTATGTTTTTCAGGAATCAACCATGAACCAGTTGGTTCTGGACAACCCTGGCGATTCGCCAATCTGGGACATCCAGAACCTGGGGCCCCTAGATCTAAGCCAACTTGGTTAATTCTTAGTTGGCTCACTGGTTCACAACTGCTGACGCAACCCATGACTATGAAAATGGAGAAAAAAGAACATCAATAGCTGGTCGTTAGCTAGGATATTATTAGAATGCAAAAAATATCACAGAATCAAGACTCTGGGTTCAACATTCAAAAATTTTTGAAACTCCCCATGGAATAGAGATCCCTTCAAATTAGGATTACACTCTAATTTTAGTGGGGGTTGCAATTCCTTTTAATCAGGGATCAAGATCCCTTGATGGGGGGAGCAAGCTCGGGCTCTGGCTCCAAGATTATTTGGGCGAGATTCTGAAAGGGGTCACCATCCCTCAACCAAGCTCCTCGAGTTTATCCATCTTCACTCTTTGCAGCTCTTCAAAGTTTGTTTTTGAAATTGTTAACTGTTGAAGTTTTTTTTATAATTAATTAATTATTTATTTAATCTGACGGAAGGCGGTGATTGTTTTAGTGAATAAAATCAGAATAGTACAACTGTAAAAAGAGATGCCTAAAGAACTAAGATGTAATCAAGGTTATAGAAATGGTAGAGCACCCACTCCTTTCTTTTCTGAAGCATCTACATCCTATGTGGCACGTGGCACAAGGTGACTAGCTGGGATGCGCACAACTCCATAAATTTGGCCATCACATGGATGACTCTTGAAGGTATAACTGCTTTGGGGAGTTAAGGCTGCAACTTTCTTTAGTGAACTTCTATAAGACGATCGTTAATCGGTTTGTTGCATCATTGGTTTCTAAGACACAGAGATCCTTTGGGGAACCTACATTTCCATTTCTTTCATAACCCTTACAATGCAATAGTTGTGCATAGAGGTCATACGACTGGCATTTTCAAATTGTAAAGAAAAGTAGAACTATTACCAAATCGTACTACCTTGGATAGCATGTATCACATTATAAAACCATTTGGAGATAGGGAAAGGTGGAAGTTTTATAAGCATGTATGTGCAATATGAAACATAATAAGCATGTAAATAGTCCACTATATTATTAGCAACATTACAGTTGCAAGTACTAATTTTCAGCTCAAACTGTACAAGGAGTTTCAGTTGAAATCAAATAATTGTGTTTGGAAGCTCCTACATAATATTTATGTGGCGTAATGTGTGAGATGATGTTGATGGTCAAGACTTTGTGGTTTGTGAGACGAAATCCCATGCCCTAATGCAAAATGCCAAACCAAGTGGTATTTTGCATTATATCTGAAAGCCCTTTTATTCAACTTATAGTGCTCTCGAAAGGCAATTGAGACCTCCCATAAGCCAATAGATGTACAAGGCAATACCTTTTCCAAACAAAGCATTGGAATACAAACTATGGGCTTTTTTGTGGTTTCCTTCCTTCTCTCTGCCTTTCTATAAGTTAATAATGTAGGACATAAGCTGAAAAATATTAGCGTCAGTTGTCTGCCATACTTGTCCAGATTGAATTTTAGGGAAGCTATACAATAGCCAAATGGAATGCCGTTTACGGTACTCCGAAGGGCATTCATCATTTGTTCCTGATGATTTTCTTTTTTCTGACATGTAAACAGGTATAGACAGTATGAATGGACCCCGCGTTCATCTGTTCCCCATGATGACTGCGGAGATTGCCATTGTAGGGGGATGCTCACCCAGGTAGAGTTAATCTCCACCTTCCATCATTGGGAACAGATGGCGGATGCTGTCTGGACTAGTGTATACCATACACCACTGGATATGGTATACTTCCCCTGAGTTTTATTTTCTTACTCTATTTAATATTGGAGTCCATGATTTTGCAGGGGGATGGAAGTGGATGTGTGAGTATTTATGGAAGCAAGCTTGAGGATGAAAACTTCATTGCAAAGCATACAGGTCCTGGTCTCCTTTCAATGGTATGCAATTGCATTTGTCTCTTTTTTCATATCCTACTGAGAAAGTGCACCATAATCCAATGAGCATGGCATGCAGCCTCAAAGAAGCGTCTGTTTTTTATTTCCAATGATGGATGAAGGAGATTTACTGTACATATGGGCACAACTAAGTTTAATCTTCACTGCCTATTGTCAGTAGTGGACAGAGGATGCTGTTTGGAGTTATATGCATACTTGATTGGATTGTGGCATGCTTTCACCTCACTAATTAAACTGGAAATGTACCCAAATTTCTCATAAAAACAGAAAAAATTGATTGGTATACCTATATTCTTGTTTGTTTCTTTCCAGGCAAACAGTGGGCCAAACACTAATGGATGCCAGGTAACTCCAATTTCCTGTAATGTCATTTTCTTTGTGTTTCCTTTATGAATTCAATGCCTCGTTAGATGAGATATCCATTCATTTGGTTGTGCAATGATGACCACCTGAATATTTTATTTATAATGGCATAATTGTTGATGATTTTCAAAGTGACCCCACAAATCCTCAATTTTTTGGAAATGGAAAGAAAGCAATGATTTCTTTCCCAGATTGAATACACATAAATTAGAAAATAAAGTTGAGATTCTGCATTCTAAATGATAAAGAAATAGAAAAAAGGGACTATTTGCATTCCATATAAAAAAAGTATATATTATTCATAACTTTGATAGAGCAGAATGGTGGAACAAGATTCCGCCAACTCTAAATAGTTGGGATAAGGCGATTCGAAAAAAAAAAAAGTTGGGACAAGGCTTGGATGATGATGATGATACTATACACAACCTCTGTGTGGTGTACCATATATAGTACACCACACACAGGTTGTGTTTACAATATTACTTAAATCAAGATTTTGTTTTTGCATTTGGATAATTAACCATCCTTATTCAGAATACTTCATTTTTGGCAAGGTTTAGTCAAAAGTACCAAAAAAACCTGGCCAGGACCTTACTCAGGAGGAGTTGCACAAGGCTATCCTCCACCGTAGATATTTGAATGTTGGAATATTTGCTTTTTATGCACCCCTTGGATCATAATTGAAACTTCACTTTTTGCAGTTCTTCATAACGTGTGCAAAATGTGACTGGCTGGACAATAAGCATGTTGTATTTGGGGTGAGTTCTCTACAAAACTTAACATATTCTTTGCTCTTGATAAATTGTCAAGTAGGGTGTTTCTTTTGTTAATGGTGCATGCTATTTCGTACTTTATTTGAAGTACAATCTTCGTTCTCGTGCCTCAATTTTGATCTGTTTTTATGGTGGCAGAGAGTTTTGGGAGAGGGCCTCTTGGTGGTTAGAAAAATCGAGAACGTCTCAACGGGGCCTAACAACCGGCCAAAGCTTGCCTGTGTCATAGCTGAATGTGGGGAAATGTGAAACCACAACACAAAATTTGCATTTTAGACACTCTTTCGATAACATGTTGTCTTGCCCTTCTGATATATGTTTCTAGATGGGTTATTCCTTGACTGCAGTTGTAATTAATGAATGGTACTATGGGTGTATATACTGCACACTATGTCTAACAATGATATTGACATAGAACTTGTGAATACTCGATTAAAACTTTGACTGGGAATGAATCTTAGGAACAAATGTTGGTCCAAGAGCTTTACAATTAAAGAGATTCGATGCACTTGGTTCTTAGGTAGGGTTGATAATGGGCCAACCCAGCCTGGGTCTAGGCCAGATCAAGGTCTACCCTTGACCCTGCTGATTGGGATCAACCCATCCTTGACCCGACCCATTTACAACTATCCTGGACCCGACCAATTTACAACTCTACTTTGGCAGTTGGAAACATATGGGAAATTTGATTTTGACTTTCTTTTGCCATTAATGGGAAATCAGGTTGGAATATGGTCAAATGTATTACCCATTCACATATATTTGTTTTTTTAATTTTGTGTAACTCTAATGATGAATTTGGCGAGACTATTTACCTTTGGTACAAGAGGTTGTAGAGATCCTTGACTATAAGACTTGAGATTTGGCTCACCTTTTGGCCATTAGACTTGACATTTGACTGATGGGTTTTGTTATTAAGGGAGTCTACATCTGAAATAATTTGTTCGAATTTTTTGTCATGCTTGTATATATTAAATATTATGTATGACGGCTAAGGGTGATTGTGATCTTGGTAATACGTAATCTCGATGTCATTTTCCAATAATAAATGTTTTTCGTTATGACTCCTCTATGAATGGCTTGAAATACTTGAAATGGTATAGAAGGGTGCAATTACTAAAAAAGTGGGTATAAGCAGGTAGTCCTTAACGAGTAAAAATCAGGTTTTCTTGTTGAAAAGAACCAGAGGAAGCGAATTATTCTTATGTTCGAGGGCATGGTAAATTTATATGTACGCCTTACATTTTGATGTAGAAAAAATATAGCGTAGGGGTTAAATGAGTACCTCCTAATCCATCTTAAAGATGGAATTCGGATCCAAAACTTTGCAAGCTTATCATCTAGACTACCCTCGAAAAATAGGGTTGTTAACGGGTTGGGCCAGCCCTAGCCTGATCCGGCATGAAATAGAGGGTGCATTGTAGGCTTGAGCCTGGTTTCATGACAACTAGGCTTGAGCCACGGCCCTGTGGCCAGCCCTAGCCTGATCCGGCATGAAATAGAGGGTGCATTGTAGGCTTGAGCCTGGTTTCATGACAACTAGGCTTGAGCCACGACCAGGCAGGGCCAGGCTCTATATAATATAAATATATGTATTAGACTTAAAAAAAAGGTCTGCCTGGTGGCCCAATCCTAGCCAAATAATATTTCAAGCCTACCCAGCTTGGGGCTGGCTCGCTGTCCTTAGCTTATGACTTGAACTTGACAAGAGAAAACTTGATCGAAGAGCCCAAGGGCCGGTCCATGCCCATTAACGACCTTCCTAAAAACCAGTGCAAATACGAGCTAGCCAATCACCAAATATTTTTTTGAAAATGTAGGAGATATATAATGTGCCGTATGTATGAAGTGGAATGGAGATTTATGACATCATTGAATGTATAATCTTTAATAGAGCATAATGACGAACCAAAAATTTTGTAGTCGATCCCAATTAATTAGAAAAAAAATGACGAAATAATGTGTGAAAAAAAGGCTTTGAAAAATGGAATTACTCGCATTGGATATACTATTGATATCAGTGACATTGCAAAGAAACAAGGGCCTTGGCACAATTAAACCACTAGTCTTAGTGCACATCATAAATGGCAATTATAAAAATGCAATTTGAGAAAATAATGGAGGAAGCATATTTGCTCATCGAAAGTCAAAACAAACATAAGCGTTACACGTGTAGAAAGAGCAACATGGCACGTGAGGAGGCATTGTGCTTTATTCGTGCTCACAAAAGTTGATGCTTGAAAGCAAAGCATGGTATAATCATACTGACACTGATGAGATCGATAGATATGCCCAAGTGTAGTTTCAAAGTCACTTTTGAGTCTCTCTCTCTCTCGAATGTTCTCTCACTCTAGAATGTTCTCTCTTTAATGTTTTCTCTCAAGGAAAATTGTTTCATGCCCGCATTTCTACATTTACAGTCCTCAAGGATATAAGGCATCCATCTTAAATGCAAATAGGTGGTCCATCAAAGAAACAATTGAAACTAGTAGGTGGTCTAAATATTTTTTTAATAAAATTATTATTTTTAATTTTTAAAATTATATTTCTTTATTAATATTCATGATCTCCATGTTAGAGATTATATATCTTTAAAAATTAAGTCCAAAAATCCATCTTAAAAATAAATTTTTAAAAAGTGACTCATTTCTACATGGACTCATAAAAAATGTATCCTTCTCTCGATGCTCTCTTACTCTCTCACTTTTGAATGTTCGCTCCCAATGTTCTTTCACTATCTCTCTCCTAAGGGCCCGTTTGGGTGCCTAAAGAAGCTTGTCCTTACGATAGGCTTCTTTTGGAATTAGCTTCAATGTTGTCCTCTCACTTTCTCTCTCTTTGAATGTTCTCTCTCTCTTTCTCTCGATGTTCTCTCTCCTTGATTCTCGAACTTCTTCCTCTCACACTCCCTTTGAATGTTCTCTTTCTCAATGCTCTCTCTCTCTCTCTCAATGTTATCCCTCTCTTTGAATGTTCTCTCTCTTCAGCTCTCTCTCTCTAGAAGAGATTCTCAAACTTCTTCCTCTCTCTCTATCACTCGTTGAAAAGGGAGTTTAAAGCCTATCTTTCACTGAATTATGAGGCCTAAGTAGATCCTTTTGGATTGATAAGACTAACTACTTCTAAAAGTTAAACCTTATAATTGGTAAAATGATTAGGAAAATCTTGGGACCTAAATTTTGATTAATAAAAGACCATGCTTTTCGTTTTGAGAATCCTCAAGACTATAAAGAAACGAAAGACAAATTTAAAGGGGACCCATTAGTTTTTGCTCTAGGGCAAAATCCACATCAGCATAAGTACTACTATTTCCTCTCTCTCTCTCTCTCTCTCTCTCTCTCTCTAATGGGGTAGGGTCCATCACAAATTGAATTGTATTGACATGGTCCTTCTCTCTCTATAATGAGGTAGGGCCCATAAAAAATCGAATTTGCAATAACATGTACTCTCTCTCTCTCTAATGGGTAGGACCCATCACAAATCGAATTTGCATTAACATGTTCCTTCTCTCTATCTATAATGGGATAGGGCCCTTTAAAAATCGAATTTTGCCCTCTCTCTCTCTCCTCTCTCTAACTCACGATAGAGACAGACCATCACCTATGAGCTTTCCTCTTTTTTAGGATGCTTTTGGGATGAGTCAAAGTAATTTGTAGCTCTAATTTCTCTTACTATGTTTTGCTTAAGGTACTCAACAAAAGCACGCATACATGCTCTTATGGGGACTATGTTGTACATTTACTCTTTCGGTTAGAAGACCTATTTGGGAAGATCTTTTAATCTGGAATTCAATAACCACTTGATGATTACTGGATGATTTTTAGGGAAAATATCTCGCACACCCTGGTTTGGTTGTGCACAAGGTAGCTAGAGAGAGACAGATGAGTTAGAGAGAGAGAGAGAGGGGTGTTTGTGCAAATGAATCTCCATGTTTCTACTCCATAGGGACGAAATGCATTGGTCTTTATCAAGTCAGATAGTAACTAACATTTCTATGTTGTTTAGTGCTAGAGAGAGAGATTATTCTAATTATAAGAGAGATATTGAGGAGATAGGTATTGGTTGTTCTTTTGTGTTGAGAGAGAGAGTGTGTTGTTTTGTTGTTCTTGCTAGGATTTAAGAACCCTATGTGAAAACAAAAATCCTAAATATTAGATTCCACAAAGATTGTGTACTTAACCCGTTAGAAACAAAATAGGTGATAGCACGAGCCATAATATGAGAAATAAAACATAAAACATATACTCCACAAGAAGACAAAGACTTACATGGTTCACCTAATAGTACTTCTATGGGTACAGCAAACTGAAATACATTATAACAATGAAAGTTACATTATAAATTTTGGGATATAGGATTACCTCTATAACCCTCGACAAAATCCAGTACAGTAAACCTATTTAGACCCAGTCTCCCTACCGACACCACCCGTTGATCTCTCATCTCTATTCCATGGTTGAATCATTGTCCAATAATAGACTCATCTATGTTTTATAACTAAACCATTGTTTCTCTATTCCACAGCTAAATCATTGTCCATAAATAGACCTATCTCTGTTCTACGGCTAAGCTATTGTCTAGGAAGTGAACCTTAAGAACAACCCACATAGCTAAACCATTGTTCAGGAATAGACTCATCTCAGTTCCACAGCTCAACTACTATTCAGGAAGATAACATTGAAAATAACCGAGACTTTCTTCCTCTAAAAGTCAAACCGTCCAAAATTTTCATGGGAATCGCTCTTCTACAATAAAACAACCTTTCAATCTGCATGAAGCACATTCATAGTGTTTCACTCCATGAGAAGCTTTTTTTTCTCTAAAGAGAGGCCTTGGCATTGATGCAGAAAAGCCATGCCTCTCTCTTTAGAAGAAATCACCTTTCTCACATAGTGACTTAAATAAGGCATACAAATTCTTTATACTTTCATCTCATATATATAAGGTTCGGAGTCCGCATCAAATAGAAAATTTCCTATAGATATTACATATATCTCAAGAAGCAAGAGATATATCCTAGTTTCATAATCTTTTTTTATTTCTATTTCCTTTAAGAAACTTATCAATATCACTCTAAATTTGACATAATATGTGATTTTCTTATGTGGGTGATTTTGGATAATCATTATATCCAACAATGTTGTCTCTCACCCAAGTGTATTTCTTGTATCTTTGTTGGAGGCCAAGAGATTTTATGCCCTCGTTGAAGTATATTATCCATTTGCCCCTTAAGTAAAATGGAATTTAGTGTTAGCTTTAGGACTCCAAACTTTTGGAACCTCAATAAAAATAATTCCTAATTGCACTCTATCTCAAGATTTATTAGAGGCAGTCCAATTTTATCTCAAGATTGAAAAGAGGCCATCCAATTTTTAAAAGATAAATTCTACATGTTAGAAAACTCAAAATTCAAAAATAAAGGAAAATATCTTTGTACAACCTATTTTGGTATATCATTTCCCCTAGACCTAGGGTTTCAAAAACTTTCTGGCCACATAGTTTTTCTAAACATATATCTTCTAACCCCTTAGATCCAATTTATCGATGCTTTTTTTTTTGCCCAAAGCAAAAACTAAAAAAACTCTTGTTTGTCTAGTAAACCTCTTTCTATACAATATCTTTATCTCTCTCTCTCTAACGTTTTTATTTGTTCTTTGTACTCTATTGGTCAATAAACAATATACCTATAGAATGAGTGTAGCTGAAATACTCTATTGCTCAATAAACAACGTATTCATAAAATGAGTATAGCTGAAATGAGGGTGTTGAGAATTTGAGATAGATGAGTGGTAAGACAAGAAGGGATATAATTCTAAATGAATACATTTTAAAACATTTAGATGTGGCACCAATAGACGATAAGATGAGAGAGAGTAGATTTAGGTAGGCCAGCCATGGGTGGTGCAGACCCAATTTACATGTTAAGAGGTGATAGTTAGATTAAGTGGAAGGCCTAAAAGGACATAGTTGGAAATAGTGAGAAAATATATGGTAACTTATGACATCGTTGAAAGAATGATCTTTAATATAGCAGAATGGCGGATCGGGATGCGGTTAATCGACCCCAATTAGTTGAAAAAAAGGCTTTGATGATAAAGGTATTTGGGCTAAAAAAGAGCAATCCTATGGGGTAAATACTTTTTTGTCATAAAGTTTTTAAAACTCTAGGTCTATAAAGAAATAGTATACCAAAGTAGAGTACGCAAAGATTTTTTCCCTTATTTTTAACTTCAAAAATTTTAATTTTTGAGTTTTTTAAGACTAGAATTTATCCTCTTAGAATTGGAAGGTTTGTGTTCAATCTTGAGATAGAGTGTAATTAAATTTTTTTTATTAAAGTTATTCTATCACTTAATAAGTTATATCTCCAAAATTTGATGCCCTAAAGCTTATACTAAATTCCATTTTATTCAAGGGAGTAAATGGATAAATATACTTTAACAAGAGCATAAAATCTCTTGGCCTCAAAGGTACAAGATATACAGTTGGTGGGAGACAAAACAACAAAAGATCAAACCACACACACCATCTCTCTTAATAGAAGAGAACGACCAATCCCTATCTCTTCTATTTTTCTCTTATAAAAAAGAGAATAATTTCTCTCTCTAGAATCTCCCCCTCTCTCTCTCTAGCACTCCCTCTCTTTTGAATCTCCCTCTCTCTCTCTAGCACTGAACATCATGGAAATGTTAGTTACTAACCTATTTTCTCCCTCTCTCTCTCTATCCGTAACATCCACGTTCAAACTTCAGAGCATTCGCTCTCTACTTGTGCACAAGTACATGTACATTCTTTCTTTCTCTACCTTATGCCCAAGCTAAATAATACATTATCTCTGCCTTGCTCTCTCTCTATCCACAATATCATGTACTTCCTAGTCTCAATAGAATAGTTCAAAACTGCAAATATATTCTCTTTCTCTCTATCAAAGTTATAGTTTAGCTTACATGAGAGAGGTAAACTCGATACGGTCCGAATTCGAATCCGTGTGTTCATGCTGGCAACCCGAACCTTTTACCATCGCACCAAACAATAGCCTCAGGATTCGAATCCATGTTTTCATGCTCGCAACCCGAACCTTTTACCATCGCACCAAACAATGGCCCCTTTTTTTCCTCTCTCTATCTACCAAAAAAATTCTTCCTCTCTCTCTCTAGCATGCACGTAGCACATAGTCTGAATAGAATAGTGCAAATGTTCACGCTCAAAGTGTGGGCAGGTAGTAGTGAGCAGTGCGCTTCTCTCTCTTTCTAACTCCCATTCTCTCTTTAGATTTAGTTTCTCTCTCTAAGCAAACCCATCTCTGACTCCCATTCTCTCTCTAGTTTTAGTTTCTCTCTCTATGCAGGCCCATCTCTCACTCCCATTCTCTCTCTAGTTTTAGTTTGAAAGCAGGCCCATGTCTAACTCCCATTCTCTCTCTAGTTTTAGTTTCTCTCTCTAAGCAGGCCCCACTTGTAACGGATCCTTAGAAGAAGCTCTCTCGCATCACTGTACTCCACTTCCCCCCCAACTTTTCCTTTTCCCAATTCCCAACTCCTTGCTCAGATAAAACCTCTTTCTCTCTCTAAACTCTCTTCTCTCTCTAAACTCTCTTCTCTCTCTAATTTAAATCTCGCTCGTCCCTCTACTTCCAACCTTGAGCCCACCTCTCTGCAAAAACCCAACTCCCACGCCTCTCTGCTCAAACCCACCCCCACCCATTTCCCTGTCCCCCCTTTCTCTCTACATTTTCATGTTTTCCAACCAACCCATCTCAACAAACACCTGCATTTACATTTTCTCTCTCATTCTAGGGTTTCAGAGTGCTTCCAGCCATGGCCGAGCTTCAGGCCAATGGCATGAGCGAGTCTGCAACTAAGCCTTCTTTCACCTCCTCGGCTTCCTTCAGAGAAGGAAAGAGCAGGAGGAAAACCCTAACTAGAGTTGGTTCTGAGGCTGATGATTTCATTAATCTTCTACATGGGTCTGATCCAGTTAAGGTTGAACTTAATCGACTCGAGAATGAAGTGAAAGGTAAGATTTTTTTTTCTTGTTCATGCTCTGTTTTCTCCCCCTTTCTTGTAGTATTTCTCGTTTATTTATATATATATTTTTTGTGGGTTTTGGATGAAGCATAATGTGAGCTTATTTGATTCTTTGCGTTAGTTATTGTTCTCTTGGCTTTATTTATTTCTTGATTCAGTAGGGATTTCTAGAGGAAGAAACTATTTTCCTCTGCTGGCAATTTCTAGTGAGTGAGAGAGTAGTTTCTGTTATCTTTTTGGAAGGGGCTTCTACAGAGGGAGAAAGTAGTTTGTTTACGAAGGTTACTAAGTATGATTGGGGTTTTCATGTCTTAATGATATGTTCTTTCTCTTGTTTGTTTAAAGTGGATTATGAGCTGAGATTTTTCTTGAATATGTCATGTCGGCCGTAAAATGTGCGTTTCGGCCTTTCCACTGCTTAAATTTTCGTTTCTTGGCTCTGTAATCTGACATTTATTTATTTTTCCTTTTATTCTGTCAAAGTTGTTCTCTCTATATATCTTTTTTGTATAGAATGGAGATGATTTGTTTAGATGTAATTTTAGATTCAGAGGAATTTAAAATTCATCTTTTGTAAAAGATCCTGAGGAGAATTTTCCAATAAGACCATTTTACTGTCAAAGTTGTGTTTTTCGAGATTTAGTTTATTGGAATTTCTGTTGTTTTATGAACTTGTTGCCTGCTATGATTTGGAAAAGTAATGAAAAACGTGAGTGCATTATAAAATTTAAGAAATTCATTTGAAATACTAAAGTGTGCATTTCGAACTCGCAATGACATTTCTGTTGCTTAAATTTTCACAGTTATCTACTGAATAATAAGAATAATTTATTTTTCAATTTACCATTTGTACTGACCTACATGATGATTATGATTTATGAAAGATAGCTGTAACCAATGTAGTGCAATCTGTAGCAAACAGGCCAGTTTGATCAATTTTGATTGATATAATATAGCGACCCTCAGGTCCGAGATATTCAGAGAATTGGTCAGAACTGCGACCAATTGGAGTGTGTTAACCCACTTATTGAACAGGATTGGACTAACTATCAGATCGGATTGGACTGGATCTTGTCTTTCTCTATTTCAACTTCCATGACAGTTTCCGAGCTGTTAATTATAATCATTCGCATTCATAATTCAACCTTAAAACAAAATTATGAATGTTAAGCTTCAATTTGGAGGCCCTGATGCTAATAAATAATTGTAATTACTAAGAACGAAAATGACAACTTTCCCAACTGATAGCGAGAAATCCAGAGACTGAGATGAAATCGAACTCTGATTTATGGGAAAAGTCAATCCAATAATAACACCGGAGCATTCTGGGTTTCGTATTAAAACTCGAAGCGATGATGATTGTGGAATAGTTTTGAGATAGAAAGTAAAAATATAAAAATTGTATTTTGCTTCTTCACAGATAGAATGGGGATGATGATGATGGGGTAAAAGTTGGAGACTGAGTATCGTTTTTTGTATTTGTTTAGAACTTCCCTTTTGAAAAATTGTAGAACTTTTTCAATTGAAGAGAAATATTGGATTTCATGACCAATGTGCCATGTACGAACATGAAATATTTTTTGTTCAATTTCATTGAGGGTTTTTGCAATTTTTGTTGGTCCCAGATAAAGATAGGGAATTGGGGGAAGCTCAGGCAGAAATCAAGGCATTGAAGTTATCTGAACGTTTGAGAGAGAAGGCTGTCGAAGAGGTGTACATTTGAATTTTCAAAATCTTATCACTTCAATACCAATGGAAAGCTTTTTTTTTTTAAAGAAAATTATCATTCCCATGGCTGGGCATCTTTTAACATTTTATGCTTTTAACTTATTGTCAGAGATTTACTGATATATGAGATTAATGTCTTGTCTATTGCAGCTCACAGATGAACTGCAAAAGGTGGATGAAAAGCTCAAGGCAGCCGGTGCTCTTATAGAAAGCAAAGTATGATGTTTGTATTATTATGCCTTTTTCTTACTTAGGCATTCAAGTTTAAACTGATAGCTCTTGTAATTACAGTTGCCCGTTTCTAACTGGAACATCTAAGACATTCAATCAATGCCACATATACTTTTTATAGGGTTTTAGATTTTCTGTACTTAGTAATAGAAAAGTTGTAGGCTTTATACATTTTCACTTCACGTTTCTCATCAGTTATATGTCTTGACTCTTTCAGAATCTTGAGATTAAGAAGATAAATGATGAGAAGAAAGCATCTCTTGCTGCCCAGTATGCAGCAGAAGCCACTCTCAGAAGGGTACATGCAGCTCAGAAAGATGATGAGATGCCCCCAATTGAGGCCATCATTGCTCCACTGGAAGCAGAGCTGCGACTAGCTCGGCTAGAGGTATGTTATTATGGAATGTACTCTTAGCCATGGGTTAGGAATATAAGTTGCACAAAAATACGGAAAAAAATTAAGATGACAATAAAAAATAATAATAAAATCGAAACAATTGACGATATGTTGAAGGCATGAAAACAGATGAAAGAAACAGTAAAGTGACAGTGTTCTGCTAGACATAGGAAATTTTTTTGTTATTGTCAGAATGTAGAGGTGTTTTGGCTATTTCTAGAGATGAAGTTTCAGAAAAAGAAAAAGGATAGCAGTTGCTCAGAGGATTGGAGAATTTCTTTTCTAGTGTCATTATTCAGGGAAGGGTCAACTATGGCCACAAATATGTAAGTGTTCTGCAAAGCCATTAATAATTTGAAAGGATAGGAATTTTTTGGATATTTTTCAAGGGATAAAATTGTATGTGCTAGTGGTTATTAAAGGGAATGTAAGAATTTTTAACGTTTCGAGTGTTGAAGCTCTTGCAATTCACTCTAGAAAAGAAACTTATGTGCAATGACTGTTATCTGTTCTTGATAAGTAGATGTATTAAGCAAGTACTTATTCTGAATCTCTGATAATTATTGGAAAATGTATGTCTCCCGTTCCCCAGGCCGCTAAGTTGCAGGACGACAACAGGGCGCTGGATCGCCTTACCAAGTCAAAGGAGCAGCGTTACTCGAAGCAGAGAGGACTGTTCAGGTAGCCTTGGCTAAGGCTGCCTTGGTTGATGATCTCCAGAACAAAAACCAAGAGCTCATGAAACAAATAGAGATATGCCAGGTAGTCTTTTGTTTTGGTGTTTCAGTCTTCTATCATTTGCAACTGCTTGTTTTTTATTATTTTCCTTTTTAATTGCTATACATTTTTGCTGGTATTAATCATACACTATACCCATGTTAGGAAGAGAATAAGATACTCGACAAATTGCACAGACAAAAGGTTGCAGAAGTTGAAAAGCTGAGCCAGACTGTTCGTGAGCTTGAAGAGGCGGTTCTTGCTGGTGGTGCTGCAGCAAATGCTGTGCGAGATTACCAGCGAAAATTCATGGAGATGAATGTAAAACTTCCACCAATTCCCAACTTTTTGTATAATTAAAAAACAAAAAAGACATAAATTTTCAATATATTCTTTCAAGATTCATTCCTTTTCGTCGTGCTTATATGCAAATTCTCATGAAACTCTGCTATTTACTTTTCATTATTTGCTTTGTCACTTTCTTAAGGAGGAGAAGAAAATATTAGATAGAGAACTTGCTCGTACAAAGGTCACCGCAAATCGGGTTGCAGTTGTGGTTGCAAATGAATGGAAAGATGCCAATGACAAAGTCATGCCTGTCAGGCAATGGCTTGAGGAAAGAAGATTTTTGCAGGTTCAGTATCCTCCTTATTTCCCTTGAGTTGTCTTTTCTCTCTCCATTTCCTGCTGTTTCTTGGTTTACTCTTGCTTTTTTTATTTGTAGGGAGAAATGCAGCAACTTCGAGATAAACTGGCCATTGCAGAACGGACTGCAAAATCTGAAGCCCAGTTGAAAGTGAGCCCTCTCTCTCTCTCCCTCGCTCCCTCCCTCCATCTCTCCCCCCACCCAACGGCCGTTCTCTAGCTAGCTGCTTAACCATTGTGGCTTATGTTTTGTGTTGATACTTGGAAGGGCTACTTGACCTCATTTATTTTTCTTGGATACTTAGGAAAGGTATCACTTGCGGCTCAAAGTTCTAGAAGATGGGTTGAAAGCATCTCCAAGTGGACATATCCGTCCTTCGGAGGTGAGAAGTGTGAGCAATGGACGTTCACGTCGCCAATCACTTGGTGGGGCAGAGAATTTCTCTCGATTGTCTTCCAACGGCTTATCCCGGAGAACCCCAGCTTCTAGTCCCTCGAACAATATAAGTACAGTGTTAAAGCATGCAAAGGGCTCATCAAGATCATTTGATGGAGGTAATAGATTATCAGAAAAGAATAAGGTCTGCTTGAATAATGGGGTGGTGCCCAATTCTTCACTTAACACAGCTGTTGAGGAACATAGAAGGACCGAGAACAGTAATACATGCAAGGAGAACCAAGATGTCAAACAAAGTGATACTTCAAAAGCGGATGCGGATGATTATGTATCTGGATTGTTGTATGATATGCTTCAAAAGGAGGTTATAGCTTTGAGGAAAGCTAGTCATGAAAAGGATCAAAGCCTAAAAGACAAGGATGATGCTATTGAGGTTGCCCTCTTTTCTTTTAATTTGTTAAAAGTTTTTACTTTCTCTGTCATGGGTAGCCTTGCCTCTCCTTTGATTGTACCAACACTCTGCCAAATGTGCCTGAGTTTTCATTTGACAATCCTTTGGTGCATGCTTCGCTAGCTTATTCTAATTTTTATCTATGCGTGCGATCCTTGCTCCCTTGTTCAGATGCTTGCAAAAAAGGTAGATACTTTAACAAAAGCGATGGAGGTTGAGGCCAAGAAGATGAGAAGGGAAGTAGCTACCATGGAGAAAGAAGTAGCTGCAATGCGAGTTGGGAAGGGGCATGATCTTAGGACAAAGCGTCTAAGTAATTCCAAGGTTACTTCTCAATTAGTCCCAGGAAGGTAAGGTTTGCTTACTATTTCATAATTTGTATCTGTTTTAGATATGCATTAAATGGTAAACCTATAAAAAGATAGACTTCGATATTTATTTCTTCCTGGAAAAAGTTTACATAAAGTGTCGACCTTATACTATAGAAGCTCAATGCAGGACAACCCTCCAATTGATCATCTTGATTGTGATATGTTATCATCATTGTCAAAGCTTTTTTTCCCAACTAATTGGGATCGGCTGACTTTGATATTTATGTTTATGAAAGAAAAAATAGGTTTTAAGTCCTAAAAATAGTGCATTTTTAACACATTATCTAGACCATCCATTTTCAAAATTTTCAAGTGCCTATAGATCTACTTGATTTGGACATTTTTGGAACTTGAATTTTATAATTAGGGTTGGAAATCAGTTTTTAGGTCATCGTAATGTTTTTGGCACTGGAACTGCATCTTTCAGCAGAGTTTAAAGGTGTGCCTCACTTTGATTTTTTAAGGTGAACACCTTTTATAAACCTCACCTTCTATTCATATATGTACTCCATAGCGATAGTAAGGCAAAGGAAATAATGGGTGCTGGTGCTCATAAAAAAGTTACAAAAAAAGAGCAAGACCTACGTAGAAAGTCATTCACCAACTCAAATAGACTGGAGATTTTTTTCCATAAAACATTTTGTCTTTCAATTGAAGGAAGATGAAGGTTTGACCTTTGAAGAGCTTGCACCTGTTCTATTTGACTCACCTGTTCTGTTTGACTCACCTGCCCACCAAGTCACCTTGGCTTCATGACTTAGGCAAGTTGAAGCGCTTGCAAACATTGACTTTGATGAATAGAATGATGTATAACATCAATAGAGCAATGTATAAATATGAGAAAATGTTAGAGAATTGTTTCTAAGTATGGGGTTTCTTAAAATAGATTGACATATAAGAAAATCCTGGTATGTTGCTCATGTTTAGATCGCTTCCATCCTTCCATTCCTCTAAATCCTTCAAATTAGAAAGCATTAAATTTGTAATGGAATGTAAAAATTCAACTATCCCCCTTGGCATTAAATTTCCATCCTTCCATTCGGTAAATTTCCCCCTGGGTCTTCCTCCAAACAAAAGTTTTTATCGAGTTGCATTTGATTTTGGGTTGTGTAGGTCATTTCCTGCCTTGGTTCAACACTAGGGCTTATCCTTTTGAGGTACCCAGGTCATTTCCCACTGGGAGCCTAGGTAGCGTAACCCCTAAGTATTTACATGAAGTTCAGATTCTCTATTAGGATTCCAATTCAAGTAGTTACATTTTTCAACTTTATGAGATCATGATCATGAGCATGACATTTCCATTATGTTTTTTTTTTCTTTTACATTGGTGGCAATTATATGAGATTCTTCACACTACTTTAAATGCATATTAGTTAATATGCAATGCCATGCATTTGCATCCTCGTGCTATGAGCCCATTGGGTTGATTTGGTCAATGAATGACAAAGACAAGAAACTTACTCAAGATATGCTAATTGATTTCATTTTGGTCTGTTGTATTTTGTGGCGGAATGATTGTCGAACGATATATCAACATTCAAAAGCTTGAACTTGTTGGCCAACTCTCTCAATGCCAAAACTGAGTCAACTTGGAAACGGTTTAACTTGGAAAAACATGGTGATTTTTTCAAATCATGTGCAATGAAGTTGAAAAGGCAAAGTGTCTATGATGGGACTCAAACCCAGATTGTCACTAAGGCATCTCACAATGCTATCACACGGTAATATACCATTTATCCGTCAAAACAATATAGAAAAATACATACAGTCAAATATTCACTTAAAAAAAAAATGTTGCCCACGAAATGAGTAAAGCTGACTGAGGCAAGTTTTCAAATTTGGAATGAATTTTTTAATCATGGTTTTACATATAACCACATTTCTCTAGAGAACAAATTTTTAGATGATCTATTGGATGAATGGGTCATCTGTCCTTTTATTATTTATAATCTGTATAAAAAATTATTATTTTCAATATTAATTGTACTAACTTATGTTTCCAAAAACATAGAATAAAAACAAAGAATAATTGTACAAAATAGGTCATGAGAAATATCAATAATATAACATCACGAGTAGTATATATTAATAATATAACATCAAAGGCCATATTAATGAGGATGTCAATCTTCAAATTCATGATCATTTCAAGAGTAGTTATGATGGTAACGTGACTATGATGTCACTATTACTCTAGATATCTTGATTCCTACACAACTCATAATTGCATCCATTTCAGACAAATGAAGACCTACACAACAGGTGGTAAAGAAAAAAATGTGAAAGAGAGAAAGTAGATGTGCAAAGGATGAAAAGGAACAGAGAGGGAAAGGTAGGATACTGGAGAGCAGATATAGAAGAAATGGGAAGAAGGGGAAAAGGGTTGGGGAGGGTGAATGGGGTGAACCAAATATGTTCTTCACTTAGTTGCCTTTTATATATCTCTTTTGAATATCATAAAGTTGAACTTGAAAAGTGGTGATTTATTTACAATGTATTGTATTTGCTATTTTATTGATGTATTCTGGTTTTGTATCGTCATAAAGAACCTCAGCTTCTATTTCCATCCAATTATGTACAATTTTGTTTGCTTGTGTTAATTTCTAGATTCTACCATTTTTCCTACATGCCACGGGGTTATAAAAGACATAGTATTGAATACGAGAACCAGGATCTCATCTTTGCGACCCATTCATCCAATGAACCCATTACGAAACTATTTCTAGTTTGGTGTGAATATATAGATGGTTCCTCTACTTGGTGTATTTCATAAAGAATACTGAAATCGATTTCACAGCCAAAGGATGGATATCTCTGCCACGATATACGGATGGCTATAAAGTAGTCCAATATGTCATGTGATTGCCACCTTTTGGCTGAGTAATATAAAAGGAAATATCAATGCTAAAGAGCTCAAAAATTCAAATTCAAGATCTGAATCTGATATTTGAATTGAAGCCTAACATGATAAAAGATCAGTTGCTGTTTCTTTGAAGTGGGGTATAGTTGTTAGTGAGGTTCTTACCTGGAGGTTGCTTCTCCCTGGAGGTTCTTCTGGCTAAACATTCTTGGATTTTGAAATCAAGAAACAAAAGTCTTGAAAGGTTATGAATTGCTAGAACACACCAGGAATAGTGAAATAAAAAATCAACATCAGGTCTACAAATCTGAAACTTAGTACCTTTTGGACTATTTATATCGACTTGAGGTTATCAAGCTGTAAAAATAGAAACCTTGTCCAGTCCATGTTGGGCGTTGTGGTTTAAAAGCTAAATAAAGAAATGTGAATAATGGGTTGCTGGTCTAATAAGGGTGATGACCTTAAACTTTCCCTTAACATGTTCGAAGCTTGCCACGTCTTATCTTGGATCCTGAGTCGACCCCAAATCATAGGGATAAGGCTTGGATGATGCTTTATAATGGGTTGCTGCAGGGTTGAGTTAATGGTTAGTTGAACGTGCAAAGGATGCTCGAGTAGTTGATTAACTTGAATTGCAAGGCTGCATAGTTGATTGCTTAGTATTTTTGGGTACTTGATCTTTGATGAAATAGGTTCTGCATGCATGTTGATTATGTAGTAATGTAATGGGTAGATTCTTGCCCACTTTCTTCTTCAATTATTGTAATACTTTGCCTTTTTTTTTTTTTGAAACGGTACATGCTTTGCCTTGTCATAGAGAACCTTTGATATATAACTTTAGCTATAGACTCTTCAAATATGTGGCCGACCCCAAATAGTTGAGAAAAGGCTTTGATTATGATGACTCTTCAAATATGTTCATGTCTTCATGACCCTTTCTATTTGTTTAGTTGGTAGTGATCTAAAATTGGTACAATTATTTTTTTATATAGATCTTGAAAAACTGTGCTGCTGAAAGTTTCTGATAATTAAAATTTGAACTGTTTGGTTTATGAAAGGAAAATAAAATAAAGTTTAATGATTGGTTGAAACAATATTTTCATTAGAATTCTGCATGGTGTATAGTTGTTTAATCTGGCGTATTGGTTTCTCTAATGGCAGGAATGTGAGGAGCACTTAACCTAGCTAACGGGGCGGTTAACACATGACTGAATCGGTTTGGCCATTCTATGTTACTTCGATTCGGTCATTTTTATCTTTATTTTTCTTGTTCCTTTGTCTGATAATTTGTTCCTCTAATCGATTTATGTACCGTAATTTCTTTTCGAGGTGGGTTTTAGGTCAGATTTAAGATCCAAATCAGGCTTCTGTTTTTTCTGGTTATTGGTTTTTCTTTTTTATCTTTCTGCTGTTTATTCTGACCAACTGGTTCGATTATGAACTAACTTTGTATATTTTTGTTGTATTGTGAATATATTTTGTTATTTTCTTCTTGCTGATGAATTAGAGTGATAAATTTTTGGATCGTGAGAAGTTGGAAGGCTTTCACATTTCACAGTGCAGCTTGCTTGGACCTGGCAAATAAAAGCTTGTTTGCACGTCATCTTATTTGTGAGAAAGTGGTTTCTGCGCCAGGGGATGTATAACTGCATTCGTAGTCGTGGTGTCTCCAAAAAAAGGGCAAAATCAACGGTTTAAATTTTTTAAAAAACATATCATTTTTTAGTTTTTAATATTTATTTATGTAGAATGAGATGAGTGACTATATTAAGAAAGTGGCAAAAAAAAGTTTTGGAATAATCTAGAAGGAATAGAAATTCTGATAACGAAACTTGGTGTTGGAATGGTGAGGTTCAGAATGACATTAGTGAAAAACATTCATTTTATAAAATTTGACAGTGTACTAGAAATTATCACAATTTAGAAAAATGTAAAAATGTTAAGAAAAATAATAAATAATAGTAAGGTTAAATTTAAGTCATATGATAACCTTTACACTAAATCGAGAATAAGAAAGGATGAAAAAGATATTTTTAAATTAGCAAAAATGAGAGAAAATGTGGGGATTTAAATTGTATTAAACGCATCAAGAGTAAGCATCAAAAGATCTTGATGAAGGATGATGAAGTCAACATAAAGTAGAGAGCTTAGTTTCAAAAACTATTAAATGATGAACACAATGAAAATATAGCATTAGAAAGAACTGTTGGCCTAAAATGAGGGCAAAAGTAATGAATGCATCCGTAGGATTAGAATATCGCAACTGAAAATAGCTTCGAGAATGATGAATATAAAAAGACTTTAAGATCATATGATATCTTGATAGATGTTTGGAAGTGTTTGGGAAAGATTGACATTGATTGGCTAACTAAGTTGTTCAACAAGGTCTTGAGAACAAAAAACTTGGCTTTTTGCCGTATCAACCAAAAAAAAAAAACGGAAGATGCTCAGCTTTTTCAAATTTTCCACTTGTTGAGGCTTCTTTTCATTACTTTTGTTTTTTCTTTTTTTCCTTTCTTTTCTTCTCTCCTATCCCTCTTCCTACTCTATTATCTTTCTCCTTTCTTTTCCTTTCTGGTTAGCTCTTTTGTAATCTCATTTCTTCAATGAAGTTACCGTTAATATTAAAAATAAAATAAAAAGTGCATGTAGGAAAAGTATTTTAGTATCTATTTACAATAACAAATGAGACATACATAATTGTACGAACTATCGATTGATCAAACTTTTGAGCCACATTATAAAGTTGTGGGCGAGAGTGATTGAGCAACGACTAGCGCATGAAACGAGTGCATCAGAAAACTAATTCGACTTTGTGCTAGAGAAGTTAACAACCATAGCTAATTTTTTGATTTGGTAACTAATTGAGAAGTTTAGAACAAAAAAGAAATACCTTCACATGGTCTTTATTGATCGAGAAAAGCTTATGATAAAATACCTTGAGATTTGATTTGGTAGGCATTATAAAAAAAAAAAGTCTCTAGACACTACTACATAAACTTGGTGAGAGATAGGTACATTGGGGCGCTAACTAATGTACGAGCAACTAGTGGAGAGACAAATGAGTTTTTAGTGATAATAGATCTATATCAAGGGTAAGCATTGAGCTCATACATCTTTGTCTTAGTTATGGACGACTTAAATAGGCATCTACAAAACGAAATATTGCAGTGCATGTTGTTCACAGATAGCATAGTTCTGATCAATAGGAATTAAAATAACGTCAATACAAAGTTAGAGCTTTGGAGGGATGTTCTAAATTCTTAAGGTTTTAAAATAGCTGCATTAAGATATAGTATATGGAATACAAGTTTAATAATAATAGGAGTAGAGACGAGGAAATAGTTAATATTGAAGTCCAAGAAATACAAAAAAAAGCGTACTTTCAATATCTTGGGTCGATAATCCAGGAAAAAAAGAGAGCTTGAAAAAAATGTCGCACATAAAAATAGAGCTACATCGGCGAAATGTAGATGTGCAACTGCAATTTTATGTGATCAATGTACTACCAATGAAGCTGAACGACAAGTTCTATATAATAGCTGTGAGACCAGTTGGTTCCATGGGGAGAATGTTGTACGGTCAAAAAATAATACACCTATAACAAGAGTGTAGCAGAGATGAGGATGTTGAGATGAATACGTGACAAGTGTAAGCTTCCATTGGTCCCAAAAAGGACAAAGCAAAGCGGAGACAAATAAGGCATTGTAGCCTCAATTTAATCCCTCTGCCTCTATCTCTCTTTAGGTTTTTCTCTCTTTACAACCCTATCTGTCCCTCTCTTGGACTCCCTCTCTCTAGGTTTCTATCTTGCTTTCTAGGCTCCGCACTTCTCTCTCTCCGACCTAATAAAGAACATGGCCAATTTGGGATAATTACCGACGCCAGTTCTCTTTCAAAAGGCGCTTGATATGGCCACTTCTCTCTCTCTAGATTTATTGTCAAAAACTAGTTTGTGACTCGGCCGGTCAAACTGGAACCAGGCACTGGCCGATTCAGTTTCGGTGGTCCGACTGGGTACTTTAAAAAAAAAAATTCAAAAAAATATAAAATCCCAAAAAGTAAGGGATTTGTTTGTAATATGTTTTTGAATGTTTTTTACTATTTTGGCAAATATTGAAAAGTGTCTTGGCCATATAATACTTATTTTTATATTTTCCCATCTTTTTGAAATTTGTATTTGAATTTGAAAATATCCCTTGATACAAATTGATTTTTTTTAATTCTATTATTTTTTACTACTTTTCAACTTCATTTGGATGTGCTTTGTTTAATCATGCTTTAAATATACTTTCATATTTTTTTTATTTTTTGTTTTTTTAACGTTTTTTGGACCGCCTAGAACTTGCCCGATTAGGCCAGTTGAACCAGCCGATCAGACCCGGCCCTTGGCCAGTTTTCGAGGCCGGTTTGATTTTTTGAACACAGTTCGACAATGAATAACTGGTTAAAGTTTAAACAATATCCTCCCTCAAAGGCTTAATACAAAGAGGCATTAGAACCGCCTTTAAATCAATCAAGCACAAGTGGTCCACTGGTTTTTGTAAGGATTCTTGTAAATTATTTGATCAAACGATTTCGAGTACAAGAGAAAGATAGATGAATTGAAAGATCCTTTGAACTAATGAACATATTTCGTAATAAAATTATTGGTCCCTCGAGAAATTATCAAAATCAAGAGAGAGAAAAGCTTACAAAGGCTTGTGAAGAGTATTTTGATGGAGGTGAGGGTGGGGAAGAAGAGAGGGGGATACAGGAGCAGGAAGGGAGGAGATGGCGGGTGAAGAGAATATTTTGGTAAGATGAATATTTAGGTATTAATCACAACCATGGGATTTAATTTAATCTAATGGATGAGATTAACCCAGCACACGGTTTCATTATATTACGATAAAATGGTTGCATTAGATCACTTCCTCCAAAAATTTAGGTCAAAACCTCCAAAATCCTTTTAAAAAATGGATCATGAATAGGAGGCATATTTATATATGAGTCTTAGGAATAAAAACTTGTCTCATTTATATTGTATATTCATCATCATCAAAGCCTTTTTTCAGCTAATTAGGATCGGTTCTTATTTATATTGAATGCTTTCGCATTAGCTTATAACAATAACAATGGTTCAGAAAAAGAAAAAAAATGCACAAAATTTGGTTTCTCTTGGAATTGGCCTATTTTTGGAAAAAGGTCGTATGGTGTTTGGATAGCACTTGATAAGAAACATGGAATATGTATGTCCACTGTTTGAATTGCCTAAAAGATGTGAATCCATGGAAATTTAGTTGCAGTTTTTGTATTTTTACCCTAAATTTAATTAAGCTATGCTAATTAACTTCTCACATTCATTCCAAACTTCAATATCGTTTATTAATTATGATGAAATACTTATTTTTTTCTTTTTCTTTTCTATTGTATCCTTATATATACTTTTATTACATTCTAAAGATTCTATTAACGTCAATGTATTGAAAATGTATCAAACTATATATTTTCTTATTTTGAAACTTTTAATTAATATCTCGGACAAACAATGTACGACTTATCTCAAAGTCCCACTCTTGACATGCTTTGGAGACAAAAAGTTCGTGTTCCCCATTTTTACATTTTTCACAAATAGAACCCAACAAATGAAAACAACAGCAAAAAATAAAAGGCAATAATTGGTGTGCCCCTCCAAGAATTACAAAAAGATAGTGGATTGACTCCAAAATGTTGGCTAAAATCATAGAACTAGTTTTTAAATTTATTCATTTATTTAGTTGTCGTTTTATTATATTGGCTCTTTATGTTGTGTACAATGCTTTACATGGAGGTCCATGACTGGTCTGTTGCTTTTGTCCATTGGACATGGTGGCCTCTGAGAAGCTGGTTTTTATCTTGGTTCCATCTTTTTTAATAAGATAAATAATGGTGGGTAAATTTCATAGTGTATTTTCTTTTTAGTCGTTTATTTAGTTGTTCTTTTTTTATATATTTGGGTCTCTATGTTGTGTAGAATACTTTTCATGGAGGCCGATGCCTGGTCTGTTACTTTTGTCCAATGGACATGGTACCCTTAGAGAAGCTGGTTTCTTTTTTCTTTGGAAAAGTAATAGTCGGGAAATATCAAAATGTATCCTCTCTCGGCAATGGGTCGGTCAAACCTGGATCCAAAAAATTTATGGGACCCACATCAGACTTAAGCAGATCCGATTGGATCCTAAAAGTAAATAAATAAATAAATTGTACTCAACAAATTTAAACATATATATACCATTGTACATAGAGTTGTTTTTAGTAAGGGTGTTATTTGTTATTAAGAGGAGTGCGATATCATCTATATGCGTGTGACATCACTTATATAGAGCATTAAATGCAATTAGTGCGTTCCATGCAGGTGATGTCACACCCTATAAGGATAATGTCGACCAAAAATATCCTTATTAAAAAAAAGCTCCATGTACAAAGCAAAGGTATATAAGTATCCAAATTTTATTAAGTACAATGATTTATTATTTAA